ATGAATGAGTGTGTGAGAGTGAGAGTGAGAATGATGGCAGTGATGATTGCAGTGATGATGGCAATAGCGAGTGTAGTAGCGGTTATTAATGGTGGGAATGAGAAGAATGATGGAGTATATGTAAGTAAGAATGCAGGTGGAATAGCGAAGAGTGTGATTGTTGTGATGAGCACGTGTGTAATGGCAATGACAGGATGGGTAATACAGGCTATGGGTGTAGATGTGGAAGTGAGTAGTGAGATGAATAATGAAATGCTGCTGCAGTAGTAATAATGATGAGATAGATGTATGAAATTTGGAATGAGAATAAATGGATTGTGTGAATAAGTAAGTGTTTGCATTGCATTGTACTGTGATTAATATCAATATGAATGTTGTACATGCACATTCCCCGGATTGTCACTCCCATTCTTATTGCTATTCTCGTCCTTCATCACTGTCTTCTTAAACACCTGGTCCTTAATGCTTGCTACTCCATCATGTATGCGCCTCTGAATATCATCACTTCCCTGTTTGTAGCAGAGTAAATCCCAGAATACGCCATCTCAACATGCGACATCATTCCAACAGAGCATTCATCAAGTCCCAAGCACATCTTTGATACATATGCTTTTATGTCGTTCATACTGGCATCCTTCTTATCTACATCGCTACTTAAACTTCTTTTGTTAGAATCTCCTTCGCATTTATCAATCGCCTCATTTACCTTCCTCAATATTGCCTCAATGTATGCTTTCATAACAATTTCATTCTGGCCTATCATAATATCTCTGCCGCTAAGATTCGTGTTAATTCCATACGCATTCTCTATAAAGTTCTTCATTAGGCCGCCATACTTACACAATATGCCTTCTCCATCACTATGTGTTAACTTATCATTTACCTGCTGCAATATGCCAACCATTTCTTTGCCAACACTTTCTTATTGCTGTACATCTGTAGATCTTGAGTATGCTCAGATCTGCTAGCCCATTCACATCGAGCTGTGTCATGTAAAGTCCCGTAATGCCGAAATATGTTAAATTCTGCATAGCTGGTAGCACAGCCATCGGCCCAAGCCATACGCAGTCCCAAATACTAAAGTGGCATAGATCTGTGTACTTTTCCAGTCCGTTTAGTGACTTTATTTTGCATTTGGACAGAGTAAGCCTATTTGTATCTGAGGAGACTGGTGTTATTGAAGACACATCCTCGTACACACCGTCATTTATTTGCACTATCTGTACAACGGTGCATGATGCTGATTTTATATTTGCGTCATATAGTTCGCATAATGTGATTGGCTGTTGCTGTAAAGGTGCTTGCGTGTGGATCGATCAAAAATGCAATGCACATGTATAGTATGGAACGAGTGAAACATAAATGTAGCAGATACACTTATAGATATGTATAATGCAAATAATCGCGTAAAGTTAGAGCATGCGTGCATCAACAAATGTTGTGGATGTAAAAGATGACTACGCAGATAGCACAAGCAATGTTGGTGGTAAATACAAGGCATGGGCATTGATAATAGCGGCAGCATGGGTAGTATATGGGATATACAATGCGCTGTTTGAGGATTCAAATGTATGGATTGAAGTTCTGATTATGATACTATTTGCAATGCCATCTTTGATTGAAGTCAAGGCATGGCTGGATGAAGATAATGGGTACAGTGACGGCAATGAAGAAAGCCATGCGCATGAAGAAATAGAAGAAAAAGATCGTGTGCACCACGATGGATATGCCGATCGCATTCGTAATCATTACAAAGGAAAAAATAATGGCGATGTGAATATTGACGATGATCAGAATGCTGAACGTAAACATGAAGATAATGACAATAAAGAAGAGGGGGAATACAAAAGGCCAGGGCTTGTAAGTAGATGGATATATAGATTGTTGAATGTTGCAATATGTGTGTACTTGTTTATTACATGCGTTATGGCATTCAAAAAAAACATTCAGGAGAAGATGTCGCTGCTGTCCATAGCTGTTCTTACAGTTGAGGACATGGTACGAATGGGATATTCAATGATAGCGGCAAGGAATGGCAAAGGATGGATACAATTGATAGCGTTTGTGAGCATGTGTATTGTTTCTGGCGTGATTTGGGTAGGAATAGCAATCGGGTTGATTGATTGAGGAAGCACGAACTGTTTTGATTGTGCGGTGAGGAGAATGGATAGTGATAAGATAAGCTAACAACTAGTATGAGGAGCAAATAAATATTTGTATTAAGTTTGAATTTCAATATTGGAACTATTAATAGAAATTCTACTATCCGTAAAAAAATGGAATATCTCGGTATAGAAGAAATTGAATGGATAAAGCGGCTTGCATAAGATGCTTGTGTTTTGCGTGCTTACAATTGCATAATAAATATGTTTATTTACTTTTTCGCCATTCACATTGCGTGATAAGCTTTTGTGCTTTTTGATGAAGACCCTCGACATCCTGTGATATATTTAGTAACTCTTGAAGCTCATTGATAGTGAAAAATGAATTGTCCACACAATCCTGAAGGACTGCAAGCGCCAGCTCGTCTCTTTCGGCATCGTCTCGTTCATCGTCTTCGAATCCCATTTCTTTGCTTGCTGCCTGGATGTTTGTTATGTTGATTACCTCCATCCTGAAAAATTCTATTCTGACTCTTGAGTTTTTGCTGTTCATCCGGATTGCTTTGAGAAACATTGCCCTTGAGCTTTCGAGATCGCCCACACCAAAAAGTTTCATTGCACAGTATATCCAGAGCTCTACATCAAGAGGAGATTTTGAACAGCACTCTGCGAACACATTCTTCATTTCGCAGTACATCTTCTTTTCGATCACATATGCAGTAAATTGCGAGATTATCTTTGGATCATTAAATCTGTATAGTGCACTTCTGTACAGCTCCACGATTTTCTTTGAGATGCTCATATCATAAAGCGATGCATTTGCATTCTTTTCGCCCATTCTCTTATCTCGTATCTTTTCTAGCATGTATTCGCTTTTTATGTACCGCACAAAGTCAAGCAATTTTTTTTCTGGCCGTTGGAGTCGAAGCTCGTGCATCTTTCGTGTTTCAACGATTTTTCTGAGCTCGTGCGAAGAGAATATTCCTCTTTTCTTGTAATATTCGAGCTCCGATATCATTCTTTCCATGCTCAGCTGTATTCTTTCTGTCATGGGCGCTTGCATCCAGTGGTTTTTACATCTGTCTGCTTTTTGAGAATTCGCCAACCCGATTCTACCCTGGATGCTTAGGAAAGCAGAAGAGGAAAGTCTTGATGTAAGGATACGAAAGATATCGTTTGGAATACTGTCACCCGATGAGATAGAAAGGCTATCTGTACATTCAATTTCGAGCAAGGATCTTTATGACATGCATACCCGAAGACCTTTGGCTGATGGCCCATTGGATCTGAGGCTGGGCGTAGGAAACAAGAGAGACAAGTGCAACACATGTGGAGAAGGCTTGGCAACATGCATTGGCCACTTTGGAGAGGTGAAGCTCACGCTTCCAGTGTTCAACATTGGGTTGATAAAACAAACGATCTCTGTGCTGAACTGTATCTGCAAAAGTTGTGGAGAAGTGCTTCTTAACGAGAAGAAAAAGGTGTATTTTAAGAAGAAAATCAGAGAGAGCAATGAGCGAAGCAGTTTGGTGCTTGTGCTGAGGAGGGTTATTGCTGAATGCAAGAAGTGCAATACATGCCCCGTATGCCTGGCAAGAAACGGACAGGTCAAGAAAACATTTGGGTTCAAGATGGTGCATGAAGTGGATGAGGTAGGCAGAAGAAAGAAGAAAGAGGATGTGACCGAATGCAGCATAGAGGAGATTAATCCTCTTACTGCACTTAACCTTTTTGGGATGATGAGGCCGGATGATTATGAGTTGTTTGGGCTTTCTGAATCACCAGAGAGATTTATAGTGCAGAGTGTGATTGTTCCACCATGCTGCATCCGTCCAAGTGTGTCGATGGAGGATGAGGGGACGAATGAGGATGACATAACAATTAAGATTAGCGAGATAGTGCACACAAACAAGATACTGAGCGAAGGTATAGAGAAAGGCAACTCGCTGAATCTGATCAATGACGACTGGGATCAGCTGCAGCTGCTGTGTGCATTGCTGATCAATTCGGAGCTTCCGCAAATAGGGATTCCTGGGCAGCCGATTCGAGGATTGGTGCAACGGTTAAAAGGGAAGAATGGCAGGTTCAGGTGCAATTTAAGTGGAAAAAGGGTTGATTTCAGTGGGAGAACAGTTATATCGCCAGACCCGAACTTGGGGATTGAAGAAGTCGGCATTCCTGTAAGAATGGCAAAAATAATGACGATACCTGAGAAAGTAACCGAGTTTAATAAGAAAAGATTACAGGAACTAGTGATGAATGGGCCTGAGAAGTATCCTGGTGCAAACTATGTTGTTGGAGAGAAATTCAAGAGGTTTTTGCTGTATGGAAAACGAGACACAGCGCTGAAGAACGGAGAGATTGTTGAGAGGCATCTTATGAACGATGACATTGTTTTGTTCAACAGGCAGCCATCACTGCATAGGATGAGCATTATGTCACACAGGGTAAAGGTGCACAAAGATCGAACGCTTCGGTTCAATGAGTGTGTATGCACGCCTTACAATGCAGATTTTGACGGGGATGAAATGAATGTTCACGTCCCGCAAACAGAAAAGGCAAGGGCTGAGGCATCTGTATTGATGTCTATTTGCAACAATATTGTTACGCCGAGGCATGGAGAGCCGATAATAGCAGCCACACAGGACTTTATTACTGGAATGTATTTGATAACTGGAAAAGATACGTTTTTTGATAGGGAAAGGTTTGGGCAGGTTGTAAGCTACTTTTGCGAGGCACGTGTGTATGCCAAGCCAGCAATAAAGAAACCGATTGAGCTGTTTACTGGAAAACAGTTGATTGAGGTTCTAATAAGAGATTCACTGCATGTGAATCAGAAGTGGAATAAGAAAGGAAGTGCAGTGGATGCAGTGTCGATTATTGGTAAGAACAGGGGATTTAAATCATTTGAAGATCCGAATGATGGAAATGTAGTCATATTGGACAACACATACTACTTTGGACGACTAGACAAATCGATTATTGGAGGAGAGAACAAGAAGGACAGTCTTATATATGCCATGATGAAGATTAGCAACGAGTCGGCTGTGCGAATGATGAATGGAATGACTAGGCTGTGCTCTAGATACTTGGGAGAGGTTGGATTCAGCATAGGGTTAGACGATGTACAGCCAGGCCCGATTCTTAGGAGCAAGAAGAATATGGTGGTGAAGAAAGGATATGAAGAATACGAATTGAAGATCCAGGAACACCAGTTGAAGGAAGAAAACAGCAATGAGGTGCTTGAGATGGAAGTTTCGTCGATTTTGAGCCATATACGAGAAGAGTGTGGGTCTATATGCATAAAAGAGCTGAGTGTTAGAAATGCACCTAACATAATGCAAGCATGTGGATCGAAGGGATCGAAGATCAATGTGTCGCAGATGGTTTCTTGTGTAGGGCAACAGATTGTGAGTGGAACAAGGATCCCCAATGGAATGGATGGCAGATGTCTTCCTCACTTTCGAAGAGGAGTGAATACACCTGAATCGAAAGGATTTGTGCTGAATTCGTTTTTTGATGGGCTGACATCGCCTGAATTTTTTTTTCATGCGGTGAGTGGGCGTGAAGGATTGGTTGACACGGCAGTAAAGACTGCAGAGACGGGGTACATGCAACGGAGGCTGATGAAGGCACTTGAGGATCTGAGTGTACAGTACGATGGCACGGTACGCACATCTGGTATGGAAGTGGTCCAGTTTGTCTATGGAGAGGACCAGATTGATCCTGTAATGGCAGAGAGCGATGAGGTGATCAACTTTGAAAGGATGTTTTTGCACGTTAGGTCACAGTTCAGGAAGTTTCTGGAAAGTGGGAGAAATCCAAGGATGCTGAGTGAGTTTTTGAATGAGAGTGAGATAGCCAGCATGCTTGAGCAGCGCATACCTCGAGAGTATGTGCACAAGCATGTTCTTAACAAGAAGTTCTTGGGCGGAATGTATAAATGCATTATGGCGAAGGCTGAAGACACTTTTTTACTTGGAACGAAGTCTTTGAATATTTTGCTGTGCATTGAGTTTATGGAAATGTTCGCTGCAGAGGTTTCGAGGAAGATAGTGCAGATGATTGTTGAGCCGGGGACAACGGTTGGAGCAATAGCAGGGCAGAGCATTGGAGAGCCTGGAACACAGATGACTTTGAAGACGTTTCATTTTGCAGGAGTGGCTAGTATGAACATTACGCTGGGAGTTCCGAGACTGAAGGAGATTATCAATGCGGTGTGCAATATATGCACTCCGATAATAAATGCAGAGCTGGAATCGCCGCAGGACCTGTTCCGTACCGAAGTGATAAAAGGAAGTATCGGGAGGATATTTTTGCGTGACATCTGCTCGTCGGTAACTGAGGTGATTGGAAAGGATGAAATAGCACTTGATGTGAGCGTGGATATTGACAGCATATCAAGACTGAAGCTGAACCTTGATATGCATAAGATAGAAAGATGTCTAGGGATTCAGGAGCCAACAAAGATTATGGATGGGAATGTGATCAGGATAGGGATCAGGAAGGTTACGGATCAGAGCTACTTTGGGATGCAGAAGATCAAGAAGAAGATTTTGAATACAAAGGTATATGGAGTTTCCCAGGCAAGCAGAGTGGTGATAAACAACAGCAGAGGGATGTATAGTTTGGTGATTGAAGGAGGAGGCCTGCAGGAAATCATGAATATTGACGGAGTGAAGGGAGAAAGCACCACATGCAACAGTGTGTCTGAGGTGGAGGCTGTTTTGGGAATAGAAGCAGCCAGAGCACAGATTATCCATGAGATTGAGTATACAATAAGCAACCATGGGATTAAGATTGATCCAAGGCACATTATGCTGCTGGCAGACACAATGACATACCGAGGAGAGGTTTTTGGAATAACAAGATTTGGAATATCGAAGATGTCGGGCTCAACGCTTATGCTGGCGTCTTTTGAGCAGACAAGCGACTATCTATTTGAAGCAGCGATCCACAGCAGGTCTGATATGGTTTCTGGCGTTAGTGAGTCGATCATTCTTGGGATTCCAATCAGCATAGGCACTGGATCAATGGACCTGTACTGGAAGGAGAAGAAATATTAAAAGAATAGTTGTTTATATGCTTGTGAACAATTTGAAAGCCGTTTGATTAGTAGCAAATATTTGTATCTGGTGTCATGTGTGCAATGCTTTGTATTTACGATTGAGTAAAGATCCCTGATGTCAATACATGTGATTGGAAAGGCAGTGGATAAGTTTGCGCCATTAAGGAAAGCGAAGACAAGCTGGGACAATGTCGGTGTTCTTGTGGATTGTGGAAGTGAGGATGCAAGGGTCCTGTTGACAATAGACCTTACAGAGCCTGTACTGAATGAATGCATTGAAATGGGGATCAGGAACATACTGGCATATCATCCTGTAATATTTGCACCATTGAAGAAGCTTGACTTGAAGGAAAAGATTGTTGTTGAGTGCATCAAAAACAACATCAATGTATTTTGCCCGCATTCTGCACTGGATAGAATGATGAATGAGTATGTATACAGAATGATGAATGATGGATCATTCTATCACAAAAAAAACTACGGGCCAAACACTTCAACAATAGAAAGTGCGATTCGAGTTCTCAAGGAGAAAAGCGGGCTGCAATGCCTTCGTGTGTGCATGGCAAGAGCGCATACAATGAGCACTGTGCCAGAAACGATGTATGTTGGGGTTGGAGCAACATTCAGGCACACGATAATCAAGAGATCGATTGTTATTACCGGAGAGATGTCACATCACGACCTTCTTGCATGCATTGCAAACGAGACAAGCGTCATACTTATGGAGCATAGTAACAGCGAAAGAATATGCCTGGAGTATATTGGCACGAAGTTAAAATCAGAGCTTCCTGAATACGAAGTGTATATTTCAAAGAGGGACGTGGATCCAGTGACGATAGTATGAGCTTGCAGCTGATAATGATGTTGAATGCCTTGAGGATATTGAGAAAGAACATACATATTTTTCAAAAAAATTATCCCTTGAGATGGAATACATAGCAGGCTCTATTTTGCTGACCAAAGTTGGAAGAGATGTTGATGCAAAGTCGCTGGAGATGCTTTTCAGGTCGATAGATGCGTCTATTGAGAACGAGACTCTTGATCTTTTCCTGTCAAAGGTGTCTGGAAAGAGCATGGAAGAGTTGATGGCGAGCGGCAGTGAGCTGATGAAGTCGTTTGCTGTTTCGTCAGCGCCTGCAAAGGCAGAGGAGAAGAAGGATGCACCGGCAGCGGCAGCTGCTGCGAGTCAGGGACAAGAAGAAGATCCCGACGACTTTGATATTTTTGGTGCATTTTAATTAAATGTTCTTCTTGGATACTGTGTTGATGAGTGAGTGTTTTTAAGTGTTGGTTGGTATGCTGTAATGCTAAAGAAGTATGGCATGTGGAGCTGTGTACCAGATAGACCGTCGATGATTTTATTTGTATGTGCAATCCCTGTGATGAACCAATGCAGATACTGTGGCTTCAAAAGGATTGTTGCTCTGAACTCAAAATACTACTGCGAAGAGTGCGAGGTGTATTACACATATAGAAACAGTAAACAGGAATACTCGAATTTTCCTATGGAAGAGACAGACCAGATTACAGTCAGAGGTGGTTTGTGCAAGAAGTGCAAGGTGAAACACGAAAGCGGCGGATGTGTTTGCTGCATTACGTTTCGGGAATACTTTAGGAAGCTTCCATTCTGTAGAAAATGTAAAGAAACGAATGAAAAATGCATTAAGAACGCCTTTTTCAGAAACTTCATACTTTACAAAGCACACAACAGAGTGTTTTCGGTGCTGCACGTTATTATTTATGCCTTCTTGCTGTACTTTTTACAAAACAGCATTCTATACAGCATTCCTACGCTGTGTATAGTTGAGTATCGCATCAACAGATCATTTGGCGCCTTGATGATTGCAAGACTAATTTTTGCAGCTGCTGTGTGGCATTTGCCATATGGAAAGTTGGTCTACTGCTTGTATTGCATGTACTTGATGATGTTCAGCAAGAAATGGCAATACAACGTTCCAATCAATCTAGACAAGCCTCCAAACGACCTCCTGAAGCATCTACAGCATCTTTGCATAGGAAAGTCAAGCACAGAAACAAAATCACAAGCCAGGTGATCACTTCAATAAAACAGCCCAGCTTATGCATTCTGTATAAAACTAGCTCAAGAACTAATTAAATTTTATTCAACTTTGTGTTTCTTCGAGGCATGCTCCCTGTCAGATTCCTCTTCCTGATCGCCATCAGCACAAGCATCATCCTCCCAGTTTATTTCGAATGAACTTATCACCGGTGGAATCATTAATTTCATTTCAATCAGCCTTTTATCGATTGAGTATCCACAATACTCAAATACATCGCTGTTCTCTCCATTGACTTTTTTGCAGTGCTCTCCAACACTCATATTCAACTCTTTGTTTATTTCAGAGTACGAATCAGATCCAACTGCTTCCTCCATCTCCTCTGCTTCTCCCTCCGACCCAAAAACTCGTTCATCGCCATCGATAGCTCGTTGTTCTGCTTTCTCAATCAATGTCTTTGCTTCTTCTATCCTTTCATTCTCTTCATTGCCGTCCATATCCTCAGATCCGTCTTCTTCATCCTCTCCTTCATCTTCTATGTCCTCATCTCCATCAGACTCATCAACACCCTCCTCTTCTGTAATCTCTTCAGACTCATCTCCCTGCTCATTGTTCTCCAGCAAGCCGCTGGGAATCCCCGGATAGCTAACATCAACGATGTATCCTATCCTTACAAACTGCTGTTCCTTGTACTTCCCAACTATAAGAATGCTCGTCAAGCCAAACAGCTTGTCAAGTGGAATAAGATCCACATTTGGCGCATCCGCCTCAATCGTAAACTCCACTTTTCCCTTTGGAATGGGCGCAACCTCAATCTCCGAAAGCACCTGGTCGTTCTTGTCCGAGTGCACATCCATGTTGTATAGAACAACAAACTCCACTCCGCTTCTTATCTCTTCGGTGCATGCCAGCTGAATCCTAAAAGTAAGAGGATCAGCAAGTCGTTTTCCTGCCTCCTCAACCTCAATGCTTTTGAACTTCAAGTGGCTCATCCCGGCTTAGAAGGTGTAAATTTTTAGCATTTACATGGCGTGCGGAGTCAAAAATATTTTTTTTGTTCACGCTGTATCTATGGACTCATGCAGCATCAAAACTAAAACAAATGAACTGCACCGAGTCAAGGAATTCAGAGACCTGGTGAGCAATGCGAAAGATTCTGATGGAGACGAGCGGATCGCATTTGAGTACAAACTTCTTTTGCTGCTTGAGCAAGTGCTTGGCATATCAAGAAATGACATTGCAGAGTATGTAAAGATATATCGTGATGCAGAGCCTGGATACCTACACAAAGAGTCTTTAAGGTTGTTTATGAAAAAAAACGAGCTGGTGAATGATCATGTTGCATCCGTGTTTACTTGCATATCGAGTCTTCTTCCGATTGGGTTTGTTGAGATCCTCGTTGAAAACGAGTGTGTGTGCAAGTCCTACGATAAGGTACTACAGAAGATATATGGAAGCGTGAAAAGAACCAGAAAGCGACTGATTACTGAAGAGCATGATCCTTCTGCTGTCAAAAGCATATCCAATTGTACAATATCTAATATGATGAAATATCCAGGGCTGAAGCTGTATTTTACAAAGAATATGATGCAGATGGCAGAAGATCAAAGAATGTATTTTATAGTGAAGCACCTGAAGAGAGAGGATTTTGAATACTACCTGAATGTATTGGCTGACGAATCAAATGATTCAAGGTATAAAGATATGCTTGATGAGTACATGATTAATGGGGTTGCAACAGAACCATCGGCTGAATATCATGTGTTTATGAGTCTGTATCGATATATAAGAGCCAAGACTGATGACACGCAGATATTGGAAAAAATGCTCAGAACCTATAATGCTGAAAAGCTTCTTGAAGATAGCATAGGAAAGATGTTTGTTAGCAGAACGATAGGATACATAGCATGCAGAGTGGATGAAGTCGAAATATGCAGATCAACTGTGCACGATGTGCTGAAAGCGAGCAATTCTCGTGAAATTGACGATATTGTATGGAATGCATTGAAGGACAAGCGGCTGGTGTTTTTGGAATGCATTGAAAGGTTCAAAGCGCCTGCAGATCAAAGCCTTGCAAGCATTCTTATGCACTCTAAATGCATTTGCGAGAATAGACGTGTGCCTATATCTAAAGCAATGAGCTATGGGGAAGGAATATATCGGAATGAAGCGGTGCAGTATATCAATGACAGGTTTATGCTGCATGAAATAGTAGATGCAGCTTTGAATACTTCAGAGGATGAAAGAGATTTTCTGTTGGAATGCATATACAGAAAGTCATTAATTGGAGAATTAGACATAAGAGTGTTGGGCATCGAAGATGCAGGATGGATTGACAAGACCTTGGATGAAGTGTTCAAAGTAATGGATCCCACGATGTATGAGATTCTACTCACTAATAAGCCTGAGATGGCGTTTGACTATTGCTTCAGGCATTCTGAGTTGCGTAAAAGATACTTTGACGGGGTTGACAAGATGAAATGCACTGTTGAAGAAGCAATATGCATACACAAGATCTTGAAAGAAGAGCTCTGCATCAATAATAATTCTGAAGTGATGGTTAATTCGTATGCTAGCTTTGTATATGGAGATGAAGAGCCAGGGAATGCAATCTACATGGCCAGTACACTTGCTAATCCAAAGCAGATTGGAAATATTCTTGAATTTGTGTATCTTCTGACACTGATTCGTCCTGGCGATGCAAGGTATTATTTTTGTGAGTATTTCAGAGAGATCTGTTCTCAGGCAAATAGCAAGGAGCTTGCTGAGAATGATTTACTGGGTGTAAGTGGGCATGAAGTGCTTGGATTTGATGACGTAAGAATGATATACTCGATGCCACTTTACATAATGCTTGAGCATATTTTTTCAACGCATTTAAAAGACAAGTATCTTGTGTATACGATTATGGATGACCTGATTGATGCAATACACATTGGGGGGCAAGCATTTAGATTGCTGGTGTTGAAAGCCATGAATTCGAATTTAGTTGCGCCACAGCACCTCGTTGATTTTATTGGCATGGTTACGGTTCTTATTCACGACTCGAATGTTCAGATATGCTACGAAAGCCGAAGGCTCCTTATGGAGATTCCGGTTGCATCACCTGAGCTGAAGTGTTTGAAATCGCAGATGATGCAAGCGATAATGGACAGGATCTATGCAAAGTCGTTTTTTGATGCATTTAAGACACAGCAATTCAATCACTATCTCTGCTTTAATGGGTTGAATTTACTTGTCCAGGCACTCAACATGCACATGAAGGAGTTTCGTGCGGATGTGTTTCCGATTCTGAAAAGCTTGAGGTTTTTTGCACACCCAAGTGATTTGAAGTCTTTGATTCCGATTATATTTGAAAATCTTTCATTGTTTGTGATTGAAAATGCATTTTATACCGATGAATGCTGTGAAGTTGTATCGCCACTGATGCGATTTGGTGCATGCATATCATTTCAAAGGCTATTGGACAGCATAGGCCAGTCTCTCAGGGTCAATAAGTTTCTTGTGAAGAGTTTAAGGTCATGTGAGGAGAATATGGTTGACGAGGTTATTAGCCAGATCATAAGAAAAGGATCAGGTACGCATGAAGCGAATGAGCTTTATGTGGAGCCGTATTTTCTTGCATATGCACCAGAGCTTTCTATTTTTGAGAAGTACGTTCCTGTGTTTATGCCGTTTCTCAAGAAATTGTTTGTAGATAGTGACTATGCAAGGCAAGAGATTGCATTCAAAGCATTTGAATCGATGGATGTGATAGACTTCCTGCTATACTGCTGTATTGTGGGGCAGTGGAAGTCACGATTGCTATGCATAGAGCTTTTTGATAAGAAAGGAGCTGCTGACGGCCGGATGCTGGCGATGCTTTTTATTCTTAAGAACGACACGCACTCTGCATTGAGAAAGCGAGCATTTGAGATATGGAAATCGAGGATACCCAACACAAACTTGGCATTGAAAGAGATCTACACAATTGTTCTTGGATGTCTAAAATACCAAGGATGTTCTGGATCATTCCATGATGCAATGGAGGGGGCACTAATCGACATGGTTCTAAAGTATACAAAGTACGTTGAAAAGTATGTTACAGATGTTATGGAGCAGGCAGCATCTGGATTTATTGATGAGAGTATAGTGAATCCACTGGGAACTGGTGAAGACTTGAGCATGCTAGAAGGTGTAAGCCAAAGCAAAGTTGTTGAAACAATATTAATTGAGTGTGTAAAGGCAGAGAAGTGTGTTGATATTGCACTGGAGTTCAGTATCCGCAAGTGTTCAATAGACATATTTAAGCTTTTGTTGAATAACTCTCTGTATAGAAGCAGAGTTATTGATGTGATTGGAGAAAGGATTGATGATCCGGCCATTTGCCAGTTGTTCCTGGGGAATGGCCAGCTTGTGCATGACCTGTTTATAATGACAAGGAAGACATTTCTATTCAAGTTTCTGAGTAATTTTCACAAGACAAATCTTGCCGAGCTTCTGTTTGAATCCGAGCATGAGAATGCAGAATACATCAAGGAGCTTATGAGATTTTCTGAGCCATCGAAAAAAATGGAGCAGCTTTTGTTGGTGCACAGGCCAATATACACATCTATTTTTTACGGCAGCCTTGACAAAGCAGAAGACTATGGATGTGCAGTTGATCTATTTAAGAGGGTATTTGATGTACTTGAATATGCAGATCTTGCACCATTGATCAAGAAGCAGTACCTAGAGTATTTGCTGTGTGTTTCATATAAGAATGTGGATGATCCACAGGCAATGGTGGATGTGTTGTGCACATCAGACAGCATCAAGGCTCTAGAAAGGTTGGACGAGATTCTTATGCAAACAAGAGTCGCAAATGTCTCTGCTGTATGCGGGCATCTTCTGAGAAACTATCTGTCGTATGAAAAGCGTGAGCCGGTGATTACTTGTCTCAAAACACTAAAAGAAAAATATGAAAAGTCTTTGGATATTTTTGGTTTGATGATTGATCGTATTTTGGGCGATGATAAGTGCTAGTGTGTACTTAAAGGATCATCTTGATTTCTGAATGTGTCTTGCAATAAATATGGTTTGTTTTGATCTGTGTATCTGATATAACGGCAGGCTGTGCAGCAATACAAATATTTTTCTGGATTATGGACTGTATGGGGTTTTCAAAGATTGCAGAAAGGAAGTTAACAGCGGTACCAACGGATTTGTGGGTTACAGAGAGCAAAGTGTATGTGAGTGTAAAAAAAAACCATCTGGTTGTGACTGCGCATGACATGTCAAAAGCCAGGCATGTCCGTTTGAAAGAGAATGCAAGGGCGATTGCTGGATGCGAAGACGACTTGTTTATTTTTTCAGAGAAAGGGAGTGTTTCGTCCTTAAGTGTTGCCATGGAAAATGCCAGGGAGGAAGCAAAGAACGGAAAAATGGCTGTAAATACAGCAGTGTATGATAAGCGTACGAAGAGCATAATAGCTGGAACTAATAAAGGCAAGGTTCTGGTGATGAAGGAAGGGCTTGAAATATCGAAGAGAATGTACGAGTCACAGTCTGGAGTTGTGTGTGTGTCTGTATCAAGTATGGGAAGGATTGCATGTGCATACGAAGTGGACTCTACTGTTCGAGTGTTTGATATGAAGAGCTCTGATGTGAGAAACATCCGGATTTCGAATGGATTTCCGCAAGCAGTCTGCTTTGAAGGGCAGTACCTGGCAATTGGGTCTGATCAAGGAGTGGTGTATTTAGTAGATGAAGCCGATCTGAATATTGTCGGGAGCTTAAGTATTCCATGTGCTGTAGCATCGTTATTTTTTAAGGACGGACGTTTGCTCGTTGGAACAGAAGGATTTCTGTATCTACTGAGTGTAAAGCAGGGATCTATGGAGATCGTCGATAGCTATTGCTGTAATGGAGTGGTGAGCATGATTAGCTCGAGCAATGACTGCATAGTGATAATAATAGGAAAAGAGCGAAGACTTGGGCGATGGATAATAAACAAAGATTGGGAAAATAAGGTGGAGGTATTAAAAGTGAATTGATTGAGCAGAGCACTGATTGCTCTGAAGATACCTTTTCTACAATAAATATAATAAATAATGATGCTTGCCATTACTTTTATAGTGAAACACAGTTGAATATTTAAAAGTTAATGCTCTGTAAATCCAATGTGAGCCATTCAAAGCCAAAGCACTTCAGTAGTATGTGTGGGATTAACGGGATGCATTGTAAATAAATGCCATGCAATCCACAGGTTTTGTACAATGAAACTGAAAAAAACCAATCATGAAGTGGAAGTTGTATTATGGACAGTATCAATTGGCATTTGTGTTTTGTTATCACACTTAAAACATGTACAATGTTAAAACCATGCATATGGATGGTGTCAGTTTGGGGAATGAACATCATCTCTGCTCTTATGGGAAGTCTGTTGATGAATGGGCTATCCGATAAGATGTATATTTCTCGCGAAGAGGAGTTGAAGCCATATCTTGAGCATTGCAAGACGGAGTACGAGTTTATTCCAAAAATAGATAACTACAATCTTGAAAAGCTACTAGTGGTGTTTAGGCATGGTGCAAGGGCACCTTTGGACAATGTCTCTGAGCCATGGAAGGATCACAGTTGCGTAGTGTGCGAGACTGCTCAAGGCACAATATCAAAGTGCAATACAAAGAAATGCTCCGATGGTGAATTGACACAGAGGGGATTTCGTCAGATGACTGATCTTGGCAGATTCATAAGGAAAACATACAAGCACCTCCTAGTGGATAAGGAAATCAAGCCTGAACACATAAAGGCAAGAGCAACAAGAATTCCCAGAACGCAGTCTTCTCTTGCCGGCGTCATTGAAGGCCTTACAGGAAGCAAAAAAGTGAATAAAGTGTATATACCGGGTGCAAACGACTCATTGATGAACACGTTTGGATGTGTGACATCTGATGAGAAAATGGAAGCCAGAAAGCTGTTTCAAAAGGCAAACATACTTCTAGACAACGAAAAGTATGTATACCATTCATTGCCACAGTACAGAGCCGACCACTACTACACGAGCTTCTGTAGTGGCGTGGTGTTGGATTGTAAAGAATTGAACTGCAATATCAGCAGTGTGGTGGATCACATGAATGCAGCAAACAAGGTATGGGAGAGAATGGCGGTTTCTGTATCGAAAGATAAAGCAAGCAGGCAGTATGCATTCAAAGGCTTTGCAAGAGACTTATTGTCCGATATTGGCGAGAAAAAGTATATTGTGCTCTACTCAGCCCACGACTCTTCTTTAGGGTCGATTATTTCTGGACTAGACACCGGCATATCAAAATGGCCATCGTATGCATCTGCATTGTTCATTGAACTGTGGTGCAACATGGGCAGGCAGTACGTAAGAATGGTGCTCAACAACAAAGTGATCAAGCCAAGAATATTTGCCGATGATTACATTCCCATAGAAGAATTCATGAACTTTCTTGGAGACATTTCATCCATAGACAGTCAAGGCGCTCTAAAACCGAATACGAATAAGAAATATACATAATATAATATATAATATGCCATAAAGCACAGGATTATATTATATGCAGTGACAGCTGTACGCCATGCAGATTACCAGCATACTACTATCAAGCTAAAGCATAGACTGAAATCGTATGTGGTGACACAAATATTGATAAAACGAATCCATTTACTTCTTCTTATAATCCATCCTGGTCTCTAGCTTCTTTGTATTTGCTATTTTCCTTGCTGATTTTACAAAGTCCTCGTGCTTTACATAGTCTCTTTCATCCTTCAAGGCAAGCATTCCAGCCTCAGTGCACACATTTCGAAGATCCGCTCCATTGAACCCTGCCGTCAACTTCATGAGTATCTCGTAGTCGATCTCTTCAATCGAGTTCATCTCCTTCGAATGAATCTTCAATATTTCCTTTCTACCTTGCTCGTTAGGAAGAGGTATCTCGATCTTCCTATCGAGTCTTCCAGGCCTTAGCAAGGCCGGATCAAGAATGTCGGGCCTGTTTGTTGCCATGATCACCTTTACATTGTCAAGCTCATTGAACCCGTCAAGCTGGTTCAGAAGCTCCATTAGCGTCCTCTGCACCTCTCTATCTGAGGAGCTTGAGTCCTTGGATCGCTTTCCTCCAATCGCATCAATCTCATCCATGAATATTATGCATGGTGCTTTTCGCCTTGCATATGCAAACATTTCTCTTATCATCCTTGAAGACTCCCCAATGTACTTTTCAATCAATGCAGAGGACACCACCTTCAAGAAATTCACATCCATTGTTGATGCAACTATCCTTGCTAGCAGCGTCTTTCCGGTTCCCGGAGGCCCATACAACAAAACACCCTTTGGCGCCTTGATTCCAACCCTTCTGAATATCTCCGGGTTTTTCAGCGGAAGCTCAATCACCTCTCTAAGCTCTCTGATCTGGTCCCTAAGCCCCCCAACAGACTCAAAGGATATGTCTCCCGGATTCTCCTCCCCCATCGAGTATATCATCGGGTCAACCTCCCTGGGAAGCACAACCATGATCGTCAGCGTTGTTATATCAAGTGCAACACGTGTTCCTGTTGTTATTTCTTTTCTGTCGATTGCTTTCATGCACCCAACCACATATCTTGGCCCTTGACTGCTCTTAACTATAAACTTTTCATCACTCAGCTTTTCCAACACCTCTCCAATGATATGCCCAACAGTCTGCAGTGCCTTTATGTCCCTTTCGCTCTTTTCAAATTGCTTATGTGTTTGCTTGTACACCTCCTGCTCCATTTTTAGTGCTTTGTACGCTTTTTCATTGCTGAGAAGTGCCTGTGCATACTCATCGTAAAGCTTGTTTTTCTGGTCCTGAAACATTCCAAGGGGTCGATACAAGATCATTTACTCTGTGCATATGCATCGCAGACAACATCAGGATGTTTATCAATCACTAAACCTTGCTGCACTAAATAATACGCTGCACGCACTGTTGAGTAATAAATACTTTCACACACATGTGTCTTGTATCCAAGCATTGCCGATGCATTGGTGCTCGTGTGTATATGTGTTTGTTTGATGCTAATGCCACACAGACACTGAAATTGATGGAATTTGTCCCCTTGGAATGACAGAGTTCCATCCAAGCCTGTTCAGAAGAAAGTGTAGGGCAGAAGGGCCAGCCGATATGGAGCTGGATATAAAGCCTGCTCCGATTCCTCAGAACACACTGTATGAGGAGCCATTGGTATCCCAGCACCGAGTCAAGAAGCGATATGTAACGGTGTATGGGTTTACTCCGGCGAATCTCGAAGCTGTTCTGGACATGATCCGGTCTTGCGGAGACATCCTTGAGATTGAGTACGGGAAGAATTGGGTGAATGTTCTGTTTGGGGGCGAAGAGGGCATCAAAAAATGCCTGAGGATGAACACGTCGATTGTTGGAGAGGAGATGATTGGGGTGTTCAGGCAAGGAGGTGGCGTTGTTGATGACAAGGATATTTTTGTGAGGCACAAAGGTGTTTTTACATCGATAATGGAGTACTTTTTTGGAGATTAAATTGATGTTGGCTACGCTCTAGTGTGCAGTGTATGATTCTTGCCCCACGTGAATGGGATCTTGCTTCTGGGCAAGACACCCCTACGAGAAGATGGACTATGAGCCTGTGATGAAGGAGTTGATAAACAAGGTTGTTCGGAAGTTCTACGAGCCGCATCATGTTGTGATAATGGGAATTCTGCTGAATGCCACACTTCTATATGACAACGAGCTTTGCGAGAGAATGAAGATGCTTTCGAAGGAAGTAAACAAGCTGATCATCAAGCTAAAGGAGGACAAGATGATCAAATACGAGACAAAAGTTGAGAACAGAGAAAACAACGGGCAAATACTGCGTACGGTGTACTACATCAACTATGCAGAGGTGCGAGATGTCATCAAGTACAAGATCTACAAGATGACGAAGAATTTGGAAAACAACATCAAGATGGGGCAAGCCGAGGGGTATATATGCATGGAGTGCAACAAGGAGTACAGCTCGCTTGATGCACAGGGGCTTATGGAGAACTATGTGTTTAAGTGTGAGGATTGCAAGGGAGATCTGGCTGAGAACAGAAGGGATCGAAGTGAAGATTGCCAAATGTATTCGAACTTGATGTCTGAGCTGGATGGGATTGTTATGCTTCTGAAAGAGACAGACAAGTACAGCATACCATCTATGGATTATTTCCAGGTTCTTGAGATGAAGAAGGACAGAGAAAGTAAGGATATGCATATGCAGAAGGAAGAGGAGTATGTGTCGACGCATCAGGCGGGCGTTGAAGAGCTTGAGCTCGAAAGCCACTATGCAAATACTAGCATGGCAATTGAAAGCGAGGCCAGCGTAGAAATAGATGAGTATGTGATGGTGGGTGAGGTTAGAAAGAGGTTTTGTGATGTGACAGAAGAGGACAAGGAGAAGATGTCTGAGGAGGATTATGAGAAGTATTACGAGATATACTCTAAGTATTATGAGCCAGATGTTTAGTGTAGAGACTAAATTATGTAAATATATTGATGTGGGTTGAGAATCCCTCCATGCATAGCAAGCCTGAAGAGGCGGTATTTGCAGAGAATGCACATGGAATAGAGGATGCATGCATGCGTAACGATTGTGTTGATGTTCTATGCAATGCTGAGAATGAAAGGGGTGATGTAGAAAGCATGCTTGAGGATATGAGGAGGATGCTTGAGATTGGAGATGAGGAAGGGATTTCAGAGATTGTTACGAATATTGTGGGTGATGAAGGCATGTATGCGGAAGTGAATGAATGGTGGAAGTCTGGACGATGGGATGTGAATGATGTTTTTTTCTACATCTTAGTTTGGCTTAGAATACGTAGGCTTAGGCTTGATGTTACAGGAGCTGAGAATGTTGATTTAGCACTGAAGCATGGCGCATCTGTTGTTGAAAAGCATATTAGCAGATGGAAGGAGATATGCATGATATCGATATTGAAAGAGATCAAGATCTATGCTGAGAATGAGATTTTAGGGTGGAATAGAGATGCGATTTTGATGTTTTTATGGAAGGTTTGCATTGGCAGAAGTGGATCAAATGGAACTACGAGAGTTTTTGCATTGAATCTATGCATGCAGATGAGCAGGGGGACAGATGCAACAGATATTGGGGAGGTTGCTTTGAAGGTTGAAGAGATGAATGATTTTGATGTTGGAGAAATGAGCTATGGCGATATGGTGATTTTGCAGATGTACTGGAGGGAGTCGTTTGAGCAGGGAGTTTTTTACAAAGATAAGCATGAGTATGCTGTTGAAAGACTGTTTGATCGGTATATGTGCTGTGGAGAAGACAGCAGATACCACTCGAGGCCAAGGTTGTTTATGTATGGGTCTATTGAGTCGATCGCTCTGTGTGTGTCATTTGTGAAGTGTTTTCTCAGAAGGTTTGGTGGTAGCGAAGATGAGTTTAATGCAAAGATGCTGAATGTTTTGATACGAAGGATGGCGGAGATAGCAAAGGATGCTGATGATATCGAGTGTTTTCAGTGTTTGTTTGGAAATGCAAAACCAGTTGTGGTGGCTGGGACGGCGCTCCAGTCACTTGTGCTATTACTGTTGAGAAAGATGGGCGACACGAAGTGCGGTAATCAAGCGAAGGCAGCAAGGATTCTGAGTAAAATAGATGCACTGGGTGTTTTGCCTGGGAAGAAGGTACGAAACAGAATGATCAAGATGGCCAAACAGCACATTGCACGAAAGCAGGAGGTGATTGTGGAAGCAAGCATCAATGTGCTGCATTGCATAGATCCAAATGTGTTGCGGATAGAGATGCAAAAACCCTACTTGATGCAGACAAGAAGGAAGATGTTTGAGAAGGTTAAGAATGAGATGCAATCTGAGGAATGCTATAGAGCATATATTGAGCTACTGAACAGCGGATTTGCAAATGATATTGCTTATGAGATCAAGGAAGTAAACATTTTTGCACGAGTTTTTCATGCATTAGGGAGAAAGAGAGTGTGTAAGCTTCTTGAAATAAGGATAAACGATGTGAGAGATGTTTATGTCGCAGAGCTAGCAGTTTGTTATTCGAAGGAGCGTCCAGAAAAGTTTGATGTTGTTGGTGTGTCGTCAGTTTTACTTGATTCTGGCGAGGAGATAGTTAAGAGCAAGAATGTTGTGTTCTATAATTACATTTTGAGAATTTTGATGAATATACACTACAAGATGGCATTTGAGCTTCGTCGCAGGGTTTTTTTGTTTTTGAAGAAGTTAGTGTTCTATGGGCCGTACACAAAGAATGCAGGAATGCTTATAAATCGCTTAGGATATGCAGGTATGGAAATTCAAAGACGGACAGACTATTTTCTTGCCATACTTGGAGCATGTGGAAGTATTTTTCTGAGAGAATATCTTTGTGACTATACCTGGACGATCAACAAGGAGCTTGGGCTTGTGTACAGCCTACAATTTGATCCTGAGCTAGGAGTGATGTACAAATGGAAAATTGATGAGATACTGTCTAGGGTATGCAATAGGTTAGAAGGAAAGGAAGCTACAGTATGCATAGAGCTTCTTGTGTTTCTAAGGGAATCGATTGAGGAGGAGGGAAAGTGTTTTGAGTTTGCATTTGATATTGTAGCAAATAATTGCAATACAGTGATTTGTGGAGCGAAGAATACGAATCAGGATGTGTGCAGAGAATCGTGCATGCTTCTCAGTGCAGGGATTATTGCAAGAGCAACTATTCCGCATGTATGCATTCCTGTTGTGTTTCAGTGGCTACCGGTGTCGTCTGAGATAGTGCAGGTGTATTTTGCAACTGTGGTGAGCACGATTGGAAGTATTATTGATGGGAAAATTTGCAGGTTCAAGGAAGAGGGGAATATAAGCGAGTTCAGAACGATATATGAGATATACTTGAGCTCACCAAATAGAATGGCGCTTGTGGAGAAACTAATGGAGGTTTTTGACGGATGTGCAGTCAAAACATATTATTTGATGGTACAAGTGATGAAATTTGAGAAAAGAATGAGGGTGAAAGTGATGAAGAGCATTGAGGAAGCAGTTCATCTGTATGATGTATCGGAAAACAGACTCTTTTTGAAGATATGTGAGCTTTTTTTGTCACATAGCGCCAGCAGATATGCGGATGTTCGAATTAGTGATGAAAGTGTGCTGTTTTGTAAGGAGCCTGGGATAGAAGAGATTGAAGGTCTTGAGCTATACATAATAAAATGAGTTATTATACTATTATAGTGTGTGCAGAAGATGCTTGATATGAGCAATTAGATGAATTAAAAAGACACACTGATGCTATGCTCACGAGCTATCGAGCCAAAGCTCAGGTGATGCCATCACACAATGCCTTGTTCGATTGTGTGATCGTACAAAATGGTTCCACCGAGATTCGAACTCGGATTACTGGATTCAAAGTCCAGGGTGCTAGCCATTACACTATGAAACCTCCATAGTTAGGTCATCATTATGGTGCACATTGCCATGCAGCAGATTTGCTATTCACAAAAACATTTCTGGGCTGCACTTAATAATTGTCTTTGTTCAAAAGCCATCACCCTACGATGAATGTCAACCTGAAGTGTATCCGTGAAAAGCTTAATAAGATCAAGCCTTATGCAATAAAAACCGTGTCTGATACATTGCAAGGATATGCGTTTGGATGCATGGTGGGGGCCTTTTCTCCGGACAGAAAGCCCACTTTTAACAGCATCCACAGGTCTGGAAAGTCGTTTGCCAAGATATCCATGATTTACTCCTCAACGGAGTCTGTTTTGCATGTATGTGGGCTTAAGGAATCTGCCTTCAATAGTTTCATCAGCGGGGCCGTTGCTGGCGGACTCGGGTCAAGTGGCAATACAAAGGAGTCTGCACTGTTCCGAGCATCTGCACTTGCAACATATGCTGGCGTATCTTCGATATTCAGTCCAGGGCTGCAGAAGTAACGCAGCATTAAATTTTGGCACAAATACTGATTTTGTTTGTTTTGGATTTCAGATGGCATTTGAGCACCCTAATGGATGAAGCCGATGTGTTACTTGGCGAGCTCAGGATTGACTGGGAAACACTTGTTACCGAGGATTTCAATCCATTGAAGCAGGCCTTGCGCAACAAAAACAGCATAGTTGAGGCATCCAACTTCAGAAACCTGTTCCACAAGGTGGAGAAGGTAATGGAGGGCATAATAGAGAAGAACTACAAGGGGTTCAGCGACTCCGTGCTTTCGTACATGGAGTCGTATAAGTTGAACAAACGATGCTCGGAAAGTATCTTTGAGATCTCCAGGGCCGTCCAAGGGCTTCTGAGAATGAAGATAGATGTGAAGGGCATGGCCAAGGAGTATGAAAGCATGGCGATGTATGAGAGCAACTACAGCATATGCGATGTGCTTGTTGAGATGCGGAGATGCTTTGAAGAGTTTAGCATGATTAAGGCTGAAATTGAGTGTGATATGAAGAAATGCAATGGTGTGTATGCCACAAGCCAAAGGTTTCTTGCTGCAGCCAAAAAAGCAAGCAGATTGTATGACCTAATTGAGGAAAATGGATTAATGGAGATGGAATGTGTATCTAAGTTCAAGGCAGAGGCAAGCATTGAAGTACAGGAGTTCATGGCCATGGTGTATAAGAGGCTCGATAGGTTTGTATTCTACAATGAATATGATTATCAAGAGGATTTTATATGTGTGGTTATGCTTGGAATGCTTTGCAGTTTGGACAGATACCAAACGGAGAACTTTGAGAAGGAGTACTTTGGAATGGTTGAGTCGGTTATCAGGAGTGTTGATAGGGAAGCGGGGAATTGCAAGGCAGAGAAGCTTTCTAGAGCAATATGTAGTAGAACGGCAAATGTGGTGCACAACCTCCGGATTCTTTGGGAAATGGCAGATGCATCGTTTGAAGGTTTGAATAGAAAGGCATTGAATATCCGTGGTAAGGCCAGTATGCACAACAGAGTCGATATGGATGTGAATGCATCAAGCAATCGAAGTGATTGGGATGCAGTTCTTTGCATGTATGGGCCAGACTGGCAAGAATTTGTGGAAGGAGCGATTGTTAAAATTTTGAAGAAGTTTGTTTCTGAATGTGTTGAAGGGATTGAGAAGTATCTTGATACTGAAGTGTTTGAGGCTGAACACTTTGCAGACGATATAGACTATGCTGCGGTGTTTGAAAAGAAGTATGTGATTCATGAAAGGATGATTAGGGAAGGGGAGATTGAAGGAACGTCGCCAGAGAGATTTACTAAGATGTTTGTATCTGGGATAGATATTGTGGTTTATCTTGAGAATTATGTGACAATTGAGCAAATGAAGAGGTATCTGCGGGAATTACTTAACGAGAAGTATGTAAAGGAGAAGCAGAAACAGATGAGAAAGAAGATTGCGTATTTGTTTGAAGAGGATGACTGGTATGAAAATGACTATTCGAACTGCAGATTGTTGTTCTATTCAAACTACAAGAAATTCATTGATGAATTTAGTGTTCATGCGGATCTGTGCAGTACAGAAGATGTGTTTGACTTTTTGGATAGTCTTTTTGCAAGGAAGTTTAATGAGCTTTACAGGAGACTGTTCAGGTCTGATATCATCAACACGTGCTTTTTGGAGGAGGAAGGGAGCAACGAGGATCGGGACGAGAGATTCAAGAGACTTCTTCTTGTCCGTGCAATGGACATAAACGCAGTGTCTTTTCAGAAGAAGTACTATGAGAACATGCTATTTGCAGCAGAGACAATTAAAGAAGCGGCCTCTTCCATCAATGGAAATAAATCGAAGAGTGTTCTGAGTAAGATGAATGTGGCAATCCGGTTCCAGATGGTTCTTGAGATGCTTTATTTCTTTGATTTGTTTTACAGGGAGGGAAATTACAGAAGCAAGGATGATTATTATTTCCAGAAGATAGTCAGGATTGCAGATGATATAAACAAGTCTATTGTTAAGATGGACATGAAAGGTATTTTTGAGTTTGTGTTTGACTGCTTGAACTTCTACATCAAGCACAATGTCTTGCGACTAAATGTAAAGAGCATGGATGACCTGAAAGCATTTGCAGCTAAAATCACGCTGCTAGATGAGATATTATGCTTGGTTAAGGGAGAGGGTAGTATGATGGAAGCTGTACAGTTTATTGATGGAGTGGTTTTGGGAGATGAGAGAAGTGACAGCGGAGTGAAATTGAAAGCGAAGCTGAGTGGTGAGCACTTGAATGAAACATAATTTGAAGCATAATTAGCCATGGAGCATTTGTTGCAGAAGTAGAACGGGTGTTTATTGGCTATCTGCTGGTATAAATGCCAGTGTACTGCTACAGCACGATTTGATGGAGAGCTACAAAGACAGCATTGAATATTTTTTGAGGTATTTTGAATGTGCAATGCCTGACGATGTTTCGTTAGGAAGCTTAGTTCTTTTCAGCGAAGAGAATGCTCGTGAAGAAGAGTCCGAGGCACCGGTGATGTGGGACGAAAAAGACCTGCCTCGTACATGGTATCAGGTACAGTTTGTAGATGGCAGCAATAAAAGAAAGTATATTAAGAGGATGGCACATGCAGAGAGCATGGATGTGTATCATATTACGCCGAAAAGGCTTTCAAAGGCATTGACATCGATTGATCTGCAGCTGCTGAAAAAAATAACACCAAATGACTTAGTGGGATATGATGGGTCTGAAGGCAGTGAACTAAACAGCATAAGGCAGATTAGACTGAAGAATGAAGGGCTGATGAACTTTGTGGCACATGAACTATCCACGAAGAGAAACTATGACTACTTCTTCAAGGTTCTGGAATATCTCGAGAAGATCAGGAATTTCAACTCGATTCATTGCATAACCCGAGCATTTCAGATGCAGAAGCTTGATTTAAAGAAACTAGGCAAGCTCTCTGGATATGTAAAAGCAAGCCTGAGCTACTTCGACATGCGGCAGGTTTTAGACGAGCTTACTGCTGACGATGTGTTTCTTGTATGCCCAATTGACGTGTATATCAAGGATGTTGAGGAATCTAATAAGAATAGAGGTAGCGAGGTTGCATCGATGAGGTTTTGCAGGCTCGTGGAGATTCTGATAAGATTGCAGGATCAGCAGCATGATGTTGGCATTTCACATCGCATAGAGCATTTTCTATTTAGCAAGTTTTGGAAGTATGCTCGGAAGAACTCGATCTTGTATATCCAAGACGATGCTATGAAGTACGATGGACAGTTTTTACTCCTGTAATTAGCATGTTTCAGCATCAGATAGCATGCCCATATAAAAGCAGCTCTGCACATGAAAAGCTTTGATTCTGTTATGCCTATTGACTGCCTGTGCATAACGAGTGATGTATTGGTTGCGGGAGGATATCTGTTTACTGAAGAATGCAGGTCGGGAGGAGTGTACTTGTATGACCTGGAGAGCATGCATATCAGAAATGTGTTTGGAACAACAGGTGTTCTTGATTGTAAGGTGAACGGAGAGATGGTGTTTTTTGCAGGCTGTGAAGAATTTGGAACGGTATGCCTATCAAATAGTGTTGTTGATAGAATATGCACGCCAGCAATTAATACTTATGTGTGTGTCGATGCCAACAGTGTTTTCTTGTGTGATGTTCTGGGCCATGTAAGGCAGTTTGAAGGATATGGATTAGTCAGTTCCGGGGATTTCGCGATAGGAGAGGAGCCTATCTGGGTAGTTGAGGCGTATGGAGATGGGATTGCATGTGGATCTGAAGATGGCATGCTGAGATTTGTTGATACCAGAAGTTGGACTGTGCATCAGCAGATGAAAAGAAAGTCCGGCGTGACATCAATATATCATGCAGGGAATTATGCATATGTAGGATCGTATGATGAGCATATTGAGATTGTTGATAGGAGGAAGTATGATGTAATAAGGAGAATTTATGTCGGAGGAGGGGTATGGAGGATTTGCTATTCCGACGGAATGCATTTTGTTGCATGCATGCATGAAGGATTGAAGGTTTACGGAGACGACTTTAGTCTGTTGAAGCATTATGCAACAGAGTCTATCGCATATGGTCTAGCACTATCTCACGATGTGATTGCATTTACATCGTTTTACGATAAGAAGATCCACAAAATTGAGCTTGAAGGTATGAGGGACTAGCACATTGAGGAGATTGCGATTGGATACTTGTAGTTGTACCTGAAGATGAAAGATGAAAGGGGATGTTGTGATGGATGGGGGAATAAAAAAGTTGATTTGTTTACCCTCAATGAAGATAAACATTCAGCACCTGAAGAATAAATTTGTTGTAGAGATTGATGACCTAGATATTACAATTGAGGAGTTGAAGAAGAAGCTGGAGGGAGTGATGACTGAGCCTGTTAAGATTCCTGCGACTGATCAGGCGTTGATATTTGAACGTGAGAAGATGGACGATGGTAAGAAGCTTGCAGACTATGTGAAGAGTACGAAGGACGAGATTAAGTTGTTTGTTATTAAGCAGCAGAGGAATGCTAATCCAATATCAAAACCGGTAGCAAGCTCTGGTCATGAAAGCAATAATCAAGTAAATTCGACACCGAATCCATATCTCAGCAGTAATCAACCAATGAACAATCCATATGCAATGTATGGACAGATGCCGTATGGGTATGGATCTCCACAGCCAATGTATGGACAGATGCCGTATGGGTACGGATCTCCACAGCCAATGTATGGACAGATGCCGTATGGATATGGATCTCCACAGCCAATGTATGGACAGATGCCGTATGGATATGGATCTCCACAGGGAGATGGATACAACAACGAGGCGTTTTCGAATGCCATGATGCAGCAAATGGAACAAATGCTGAACAATCCGGCGTTGTTGGATCAAGTGTTGAGCATTCAGAATCCAAATATGACACCCGAGCAAAAGGAAGATCACAAGAAGTTGTTGAAAGATGCTTTGAATATGATGAAATCAAATCCGGGGCTTTTCCAACAAGCATTTACGCCTGAGAATGTGAACATGGCAATGAACTCGATGAATATGATGGGGCAAGGAGGAATGTATCCACCGTATCCACCAGCTCCGATGGGCGGCTATGATCCAAGGCACCCTAATGCAAGGATCGCATGGAAATATGGCGGATATCAATCGCCTATGTATGGAGGAGCAAGACCTGAGCAGCAGCCGCAGCAATTTGATGAGCAGGCATATCTGATATCGTTAGAGCAGCTAAAGTCGATGGGATTTGAAGAAAACGAGGCCATGGATGCATTAAAGAAGGCAAAGGGAGATATAAACAGAGCTTTGGACATACTTCATGATGAAAGGAGGAAGAATAGCCAAAGCAACGGATCATATTCAAAAAAATAAATGTTTCACTGCATGAAGTGTATGTGTATGCTTGAGATGTGCTTATTCTGTATGCTTATTTGTCTTTATGCATGTGCAAATTGATTATGCTTTTTTTAACCTTGTATAATTAATAATGACTGCAGAATTTGAACAAAATGCAATTTTGCTTGCGTCACCCATGATAGTCAGTGGGCTTGCTGGTATTTTGAACATATACATGTTTCTTACCGGTGTTTTCAAGGCATCCGAACCGCCGAATCAGGTTTCGAAAGAAGCGGTTTCTGATAGCAAATACACAAAAGTGATATATCTGATGCTTGATGGGCTTAGGTTTGATTCTACAGTTGCTGTTAAGAAGGAAGGATGTATATTCAACAAGATGCAGCATTTGAACGCTATTAAAACAAAATACCATGCACTGAGTGTTAGCGGAATGCCGACTGAAACAAGTGCTAGAGTTATTGGGCTCACCACAGGCGCGCCTAGCAATTTCTTGACAAGCATTATTGCTCTACAAGGGACGGTCATCAACAAAGACAACATGGTTGATCAGCTGCTTAAAGATGGGCGATCATGCGTATTCTTTGGAGATTGCCAGTGGACGAAGTATTTCCCAGTGCTGAAGTCGTGGCCTCACTTTACGATAGATGCATATGGCAGGCATGAAATAAGAACACAGGAAGACATGCTAATCGAAAAGATCGTGGAAAGTGTGAATAGCTATGATGTGATAATTGCGCACCTGATAAACCTTGACTCATATGGTCACATATACGAGACCATCGATCATGAGATGATGCAGTATGAAATAGAAGTGTATGATAAGCTCATACACGACATATACCAGAAAATGTCGACAGACACATTATTGGTAGTGTGCAGTGACCATGGCGTTGATGACAATGGCGCACATGGGGGAGTATCTACATTGGAGATGGCATCTGTTGCAACCTTTATCTCTAGGGACGATAGATTTACAGGCATATTGCCTCTGGAAGGCGCTGCTAAAGATGCTAGAAGAAGATGCATATCGAAGACATATGATGATGGCCAGGATGTTATCAAAAGCACAAGCTCGTATCCAATAATTCATCAGGACGATATTCTGCCGACGATGTGCTATTTGATGGGCATTCCAATTCCAAGGCTTTCTGGAGGCAATTTTGTTCATGAGCTGGTTTCAGAGGTTGAGGCGTACAGAAAATATGCACAACAGAAGTATGATCTCCTTGGAATGCCAATCAAAGTAGACACAAACAATCGAGATGAGCTTGTGCATTTGAATTACATGCTTAGTGAAAGCATACTAAAAAGACTTGCAGGGCGAAACTATACAAGGCTAGGCCTATCGGTGGCTCTATCACTAAGCATTGCGGTTGCTATGCTATTCAGACTTTCAAAGTCGAAGTTTACTAAGCTTCGAATCGTGTTGGCATTTGTGCTTGTGATGACTGCACACTCTGTATTTTCGATCATTCACGAAGACTATCTCTGGATAGCGTTGTTTCTGGTGTCCAACCCATCGATAAAAAACCTGCTTGGCGCAATAATGTTCTTGCAGATTGCACGGCCAGGATCAAGCATGAATGCATTTTATGTGCTTGTTGTTGAGAGAGTTAAACTTTGTCCGTTCTTTGATGGAAACTGGCTGTTTATTGCTGAGCTGCTCCTTTTTGCAATGATTAACAACAGGAAGCATTTTGAAATTTCCTTGAAATACGTTTGTAATAGTGCAGCAATTGTATTTAATAAGCATCCGCAGATGATTTTTTCAATCATGAAATACTTTTTGCACAGTAGACTAGAGAGCGCAGAGTGGAGGCTATGCTTACTTGTACAATATCCCTGTATTGATAGTCTGCTTGCATTGATTCTTAGGCCGATGGAGTCGGTGTATCTGATATACATACTTAGGAATCTTGACATATGCAGCAATCCAGAAACATACTTCTCATTGACCAATATGGCGTTCTTCTCCTCTGGACTGTGCAAACTATTGCAGTCTATCAACTACAGTGTGTTTTTTGCTTTTTCTGACAGATTCATCGCCATTCCTTCAATTGTAATAGCGTTTTATTATTTCATGTATCCAAGGCTCAGGGCGATTTTATTGATCAAGAATAGTGAAAGGCTTAAAAGAGCAAATGGTAAGCATGACAGCAATGCTGCTTTTGAAGATCTCACAGATGTGGTGTTCTCGTTTTCCAGTCTCAACATTCTACTTGTTATGTGGTCTGGATATGCAATCAGTGACTCTCTCTCATTCTACAAGTTTTTAGGTGTTAGAGCATTTTTTGAATATCTATACTACTTGTGTGACATTACCTTGTTTTTCATATTCAGGATAATTAAAGCAAAGCTCTGAATACATAATATGCCTTTATATTTATTAATCACACATCTGCATGTATCTTGGCAATGCAGAGTGCTCACCAAAGCATAAAAAGCTATGCTATGCAATCTTGGATTCATCCTCATGCTTCCTCACAAACGATGCTATGAAAAACCCAGTTGCGCCATCCGTGCCTTTTTTGCATCGTATAATGTATTTGCTCACTGGAGATTCAGACATTGCATTCTGTGTCCAAAGTTGGCTTATGTCTTCTAGTTGATATCTTGAATCCTTGAGAACTTCTTCCACAACATCATCGCCCTCTTCCCTGTGTTCTGAGCACACTGAATACACAAGCCGTTTGGGATTGAACTGTAGCGCGTGCTTGACCATACATATTTGGAATTGCTTCAGCTTATTTACTCTTTCCGAATCCATCTTGTAATTCAAGTGCATTCCAGATCCAGAGCAGCTTGGATCGCATAGAATGTATTCAACATCTCCAAAACTCTCAGGCACTGATTGTAGAAAGTCGTCCTCAATCACTACTGCGTTTCTAACTCCAAGCTTTTCAAGCTGTGCTCTAAGTACCTTTGCTCTTGACTCGTCCTTCTCAAACGCATGTATTTTGCCTGTGTTCCTCATGACCATCGACAAATGAGATGTCTTGTTTCCAGGTGCTGAGCATGTGTCTATCACAATAGACCCTTCTTCTGGGTTCAGGATGAATGTTGGCAGGCATGATGATATGTTTTGTATCACTATCTTTCCTTCATTGTATGCCTCAGATCCATTCAATACTTCGGGATTCATGACCTTGAAAACTCCATCAAGAGGCGTCTTTTCATATACAAATGCATTCATGTCGCTTTCACAGCCGCCTCTCAACGTGTTGATTCGGACAAACACAGGCTGTCTTGTAAACTTCAGCTTAGCTCCTCCCATCAGCTCAACAAACTTTCTCTTCATTCTTGCATTCTTCAGCTTTCCATCAAGTATCTGATAGCATCTCACCACCGCCATTTCAAGATCCTCATTCATATAATTGCTCTTCTTGACAATGCTAACCAATAGCTCGTAGTTCTCAACAACCGTGTGAACAAGCCTATGGTACATCTTCGGGTCTTTCTCTCTGTATACCACTTTTCTTAGCGTATTTCTTCCACTAAGTATCTGCCTTATCATCTCGACACACTTCTCATCAAATCTTTGCTTTGCATTCCCTCCCATATACACCAGGATGCGACTTTCTGTTATTAAATGCCATTTCAGCATCATTCATATTCAGAGCATAAATCCTTCAAAACATCGCATTTTAATCATTTAATACATACTTCATAACATTCAAAAGCACTCCAAGAGCCATATACTGCTTAGATATAACTACACAACTGTTCTACAAACAGGACATTTGTTAGAGTGACCGAGAAGCCATTTGTCAACACACTTCATATGAAACTTGTGCTCACATGGCAGCATTCGCAGTTTCTGTTTCCTTGCAAAGCTACACATGCATATTGTGCATTCTTGTGCTTCATCCCCCTCTCCGGCCTTTACAATCGCACTCTTGTCGAGAGACTCCTTCGTAGCCGTCACAGGCATCTCTGAAGATCCATCAAGTATGTCAAAGTTGATCTGTATTTCATAAATAACTCCTCCTCGTGGCATTTCATTCGGAGAAACAAGCAGAACACGAACCTCATGAGCAGGCATCGGTGGCAACCCATTCTCATGCTCTCTACCACTTGCTGCTCTCCCTTCTGCATCCACTGTATTGTCCCCTTGGCTATCAATAGATGTAGTAGCCACTGGAGATCGTCCACTTCCTGTAACAACAACAGATGTCCTCAGAACAAACGGACTCCTGGTATTCGAAGTTTCCTGCGGATTTTCATTCTCAGTTGATCGTGCATTTTGCCTACGACTCCTTGATCGGCTCAATTCCCTTTCTGCTACATTCATTATCCTATTGCATCTGTTAATTATCTCGCGTTCCTCAGCATTTGGCACATTGCTATTCACAAATCGGTTTCTTCGGGAACTTACTGCGTCTGTTATGGCGTTCTCATCCCCATCTGCTCTGTTCTCTGCTGCATCATTCTCCATTCTACCGCGTACAAGATCAGACAGCCTACTTCTTAGTCTATCAACAAATGCCCCGCTATGCATAGGCCCTCCATCTACAGAATCCATTCGCCCATCCAAAAAGCTTAGCATCGACCTCATGATATCTATAAAATTATTGCTTCTCTCTCGTCTTGCCATAGGGCCAACACTATGCCTTGATTTATTCCATTCATAATCTCGAAAAATCTAGAAAATCAATGCACTGTCTAGAAATACTCCAATCAAGGTTTAGAATCAATCATTCAAACAGCATTCATAACCAATATGGCTAACCCAGGCACGCCTCATATCGCTACTCAAAAATTGCATTTTACTCGGGAAACTCTTCAGACGACATCTCTGCTCGAATTCGCCTTCCTCCAAAAAACCTGCCGTTCAGAATCCCAAACGAATGTCTTGCTTCGTCTTCTGAGGAATACATGCAGTAAACAGCCACTTCGGGTATCTTCAGCACCACAAACTTGACGACATTCCCCAGCTTCCTCATTTCTGCTTGTATCTCCTGCTCAAACTCATCGTCAGCTTCCTCATCATCTATCAGGTTCTTCAAAACAACCATCCTTCCCTTGCTGAATAGCATGCTTTCAATTCGTCTTTTAATCTCAAACACCCTTTTTGGAATCTCAGAATGATGCACGGGCTCGGGCATCTCCATCTTTATGACTGTCGGGCCAATCCTTAGCTTCATGCCATAGATACAGATCTTGTTCGTGTATCCAAGAGCCCTTCTTGCATCAGCAGCAAATTCAAACTTGACATATGCATATCCTTTATGTACAAACCATGAATCATACAAAAGCCTGACCGAATTTACCTTTCCTATCCCTGAAAATATTTCCTCGAGATGTGCTTCTTCTACCTCCTGGCTAACATTGGATACATACACAATGCACTTATCTGGATTTCGTATTTCATGCGGAATTTCAGACGGAAACGAAGATGTTCTACCGGCTTTTAATGACTTTCCATCAACTACCATTCCATTCACCTCCTCCATGCACAAATATGCAGCATGCGGATTGTCAAAGTCCACAAACACACATTCCTTGCTGCAGATGTAGTTTATTGAAAATCGGCCAAATACATTCAGAATGTCCAGTATGGTGCTTTTTGAGCAGACAACATTTCCTATGTATACCTTGTTTAGCAAAGATACATCAAATTTTGGCTCTGCATGCATTACTTCCGGATTCATCACCCATTTGCTATATTTGCATACTTCAGAATATGCAGTGTGCATTATGTGTATCTCATGCCTCTTAGCATCGGCAATACTGTCAAGCAATCCAATGAGCTGCTCATCTACGAACTTTATCATCAGGGTATGCATGAGTTCGGCATTACGCGTGCCCACGAAAGAGATGTGCCATATCGCGTGCTTTTATACACGCTTTTGTAGAGAATTGCTTGTGGCCAGAGAGTGAATTGCTACTTTACGCATGCTTATGCATAAATTCATTGAGATTGAATGCCTTTGCATGGAGTCTGCAGAAAACAGAATTGAGTTTATCAGGAAGCTTAGATATAAAGGCACTAGCCAGCCATGCAAGCGCACATGCATACAGCGGGGCTCGGCAGGAATAAAAATGGTTAATCAGATCATGAAGCGGCCATCACGAGATTCGGCATGTTTTGCACTTGAGATAATCAGATGCCTGTATGTGTACGAGCCAATGCTTGGGACTCCAAAATACTCGTTGGACAAAGCATTGGTAAGCCTTTGTGATAAAGTGTTTGTTAACGAAATATATGAGGAGATAGAAAGAAGAATCAGAAAGCATGCTTTACAGACAGAAGAAAGCAAGAATGTTGACATCTGTCCTGAAATGTGCTCTGAAGATATGCTGCTTGATGAGGTTCTTGTTGGATATTTCATTATCAAGCACAGGAAGTATGGTGTTTTCTACGCGAGAATTGTGGATTTGATTGACAGAGTTAGTCCAAGGCTAAGATCAAAGGCAATCAAGGCTTTCAATGGATTAGCTCAAATAGGAACAATGCACAGGTTTGAAGTAGAATTGGAAGGGCTTGCTGGCATACTGAAACAGAAGTGCCCGAAAGCAGTATTGGCGCAAAAGAAAAGCCGTGTATTTGCTGAAAACGAGTGGGAATGTGTAAGGCAAAACTATCTGTTGGCTTCGTGTTTCTATGCCATTCCGGAGACAGTTGCAATACCTTATTATCATCTGAGAAGGAACTTTGGGATTGAATGTTTTGCATACATTGAATGCTGGAATGGATTTGTAGAAGGCAATGGACTTGATGATCTTGATGGAGGCACAGATGCTCCGTTGTTGAAAAGCCTGTGCTTTGGAATGTGTATGAACAGAACATACAATCTGAAGCTGATGGATGAAGTGATTACAAGGACTGTATCGTTTGAAAGGATGTTTCTGGAAGGATATACAAGTGTTGTAAGGCAGAAGCATCTGATTGCAAAATCAAAGTTCAAAGAAGCTCTAGAGGCAATCGCTGGGCTTGGAATGGCGTGTGTGCCTGAGATTCTTCTACATGTGTATGATTTTCTTTCGCTATCGCACATGTACTGCGGAGAGTACTTTGAATGTATTTTTTACCTGGGCAAAGGAATTGAACTGGCACATAGGCACCGCGTTGGTTTTATAGCAACATACTTTTTGAACTGCATGTTTGCTGTAGAGCGAATATCAGGGATGCATGGGCCTGCGCCAAAGATTCGGCTTAATCTCTGGAGAGGCATTCATAGCATTGAGGATGTGATAATGGACGAGAGGTTTGTAGCAAACAATAGAATATGTGCAAACGTTGCTCTTGAGAAGGAAACAAGCAACTTAAGGGAGCTTAGGACAATCGAGAAGTTTGAGGCATTCAAGCCGTCTATGCTTTTTGGCAGTATAGAAAGAGCATTGCTGTTGTTTACGGGATGCTCTGTTATTTCGTTGTATTGCATTGATCGGGACTTGTATGTGAATGATTTCAGAAGGGTTTTCAAGGTTTTCGATGACTTTATAGGTGCTAAGGAAAGGATGAATAGGATACTTAGAAAATCAAGATGTATTCTAAAAGAAAACATGAATGGATCTGTTGATAAAGCAATATGGTGGGCAGAAAGGATGAGGATGGATGTGGAGCTTGGCGCTGTTTTATCTGATGTTAGCAGAGGGTTTGATGTGATTGGAACAGAATGCAGGGTGATTCTTGTGTTAGATGAAGCAACAACTGAGTTTCCGTTTGAATCGATGCCGGCTTTCAAATCCAAAGCTGTTTATCGGGTTCCGTCGCTGGAGTATTTTGAAAAATGGTTTGAAGTGCATTCGAGCGGGTTAGTTACTGTTGATGCAAGCGAACGGTCTGTGTTTTATGTGTTGGATCCAGAAGGCAATCTACAGAAGACACGAGAACGGATTTCCGAGGGCTTGCGTGTGCTTGGCGTGACGAAAGGAGTGTGTGGAAGAGGTTTGTCGAGTAAAGAATGCAAGGAGGCAAGCGAGCATGATACATTACTGTATTTTGGTCATGGAAACGGATCAAAACATTTGCGAACACATGGAGATGGCAAGACGGTGCTTTTATTTGGATGCAACAGTGCAAGGCTTCTGTGCATGAAGAACTACAAGAGAAATGGGTTTTTGATGAAGCATTTGAGCAGAAACTCAACGGTGATGGGATGCCTGTGGGAGGTTACTGATAAGGACATAGATATTTTTAGTATGAAGGTTATTGAAAGGCTGATGAAAGGTGAGGAATGCCTTGGAAAGCTGGCATCGATGTTCAGGGATGCGTTTAAGATGAAGTATTTGAATGGTGCCTCAGTTGTTGTTTATGGCCTTCCAAGAAGACAATGAGCCGCATGGTGTATTATGTGTTTTGTTGTATCCCGGGAATGGGTTGGTATCATGTAGAGAATTCATGTGTGAAGCTAATGGTGAAGGTAAAGCCAAATGCGAAAGAAACAGGAGTCAGGGAGGTTGCAGACGAAGAGCTTGTTGTAAATGTAAGCAAAATTGAATAATTTCAGATAAGAGCACCGCCAGTGGATAACAGAGCAAATAAGGAATTGATTGCATTCATCAGTAAAGCCCTCAAGGTTCCAAAAAACTCAATAAAGATTACATGTGGAGACAATACAACAAACAAAGTCGTGGTGATAAGTGGATGGGATAAATGCATAGAAGCAATAGAAGCATTGGACCAGAACAGTTAATTCTTGGCTAGTATGCCTGGCTTGCTCAGTAATAGATCGGCAGATTCAAATTTACAAAATCAAACAGCACAAGGTATATAAGCATTAAATATCTTAACAGGATTTATTCAATAAAAAGGATTTGATTGTCAATTTAGTCTTCCACAGTGCTTTATGATGAATGGATGATTCAATGCTTCATTCAGCTCCATCCTGTCGCTTGGATTAAATACAAGGAGTTTCGCTATGAAATCAGAAGCATTTGGACTGATTGTTTCAGGGATGGTGTATTTCAATGAGTTGATCCTTTTATACGCTTCTCTCATATTTCTGTTCTTACTTTCAAATGGCGTTTTTCCCGTTAAGAACTCGTATGTAAGTATTCCCAGGCACCACAGATCTATTCCTGAGTTGTGTATATCATTGTTGACCATTTCAGGGGCAAGGTATTCCATAGTGCCACAGAATGTCATTCTTCTTTTGTCTGCATTGTACACTGCCCATCCAAAGTCTGCTATTTTCAGCTGATCGTCTGCTCCAAGCAGTAGATTCTCGGGCTTGATATCTCTGTGTATTACATTACATTCTCTCATATACATCAGTGCCTGGACAACCTGTTTGATGTACATCGATGTTTCTTTTTCTCCAAACTTGCCGCCCTTCTCGCTCAGAAACTTGAAAAACTCGCCCTTTCCTGCATACTCCAAAATCAAGTATATGTTTTCTTTATCATAGAAGTGGCCATACATCCTCAGGATGTTGGGATGCTTCAGATTCGAGTGTATTTCTATCTCTCGTCTGACTTGCCTTGCCGTCTCAGGCGTTTGTATTGCATTGATCGGTATTATCTTCAATGCAACAATGTGCCCTTTTGTCTTTTCTCTTGCAAGCCAGACCTGCCCAAACTTTCCACGCCCAAGCAGCCTTCCTATCTCAAAGTCATCTAATGTTTGATTCTCAGCCATGGGTGCCCAAAGGGATTGCCAAACTCAAATATTTGTATCGAAGATCTTATGCATTCAGAAGTGCATTGAGAATGGCCGGAATAATTGCATCCATGCGTGGCTTCTTCATGCTATACTTTTCCCTGATCCTCTTGATACTGACTTCAGACGCAACAGCCTCCTTTTCTGTCATGCACACAAGAATGCTGTCTAGTGCACAGCAGAAGATCAGACACACAACCAATGTCTCTGCTTTGTAGTCGTCCTCATTCCCACTCACCAGATACAGCTTGATGTAATTTATCAACTCAACCCTCGCATTATAATCACACATCGTTATCTTGTTGAGTATCATATTTTTGCTTGCAAACTTACATATGCGCTTTTCCTCAAGGCTCTTGTACACCCTTCGCCTGACATTCTTCATATGAACACATCCTCCCCTCTTTTCTCCATTCAGTCGGTACATGAGCTCTTCAGGAGAAAGCTGCGCCATGTATATTTTGCCCATCGCCTCCTGCAAAAGCGGATTGCCCACTGCCTGGGTCTTGCCAACAACCTTTCCTTCGACCAATTCTATGGATTTTCTAAGTGCAAGATCAACTATTATGCATGCTCGGAGAGACAGCGAAACACGATTGCACAGAAATTTTATTTCGTTTCTTGTCCTCAAAAGAATCACCAATTGCTCGCACAGCACGAGACTGCCGCGATCTGATGGGCTTTGTGCATGGTCTCGCCTACGCGTGGATATTTCTTCCATACAGGGCTTGCTTGCAATCATTATTGGTGTCGAATGTTTGGAGCAGGATGGTTCGTGTGATGCATCTGATACATGCATATCCAACATCATTGAGTATTTGAAAACATTCATGCAGCCCTGCGGGTGAATGGCGCACAAAAAGATGCTTAGAAGATTGATGGTCCATGACATCCAGCGAATTCTTTTGTGGATGTTCAATTTGCGTAAGAGGCCGTCATTCCTGCCTCTGAAGACATCTGAGCGGCCCACAACAGCCATCATGGTAAAGATGAGGGACACACCTATAAACATTGCAAAGCTTATATCAAAGCTCAGAATAAGAAATCCGGTGCTGATCAACGAAAGGATTCCGTTTGACATGTTGTTTGACTGCATACTAAGAGAGGGGAAGTATGAAGATATCCAGCCTTCCCTCGACTGTGTATCTGCTGAGAACCTGAGCCTTGTTCCAATGGCAGACTTCAGGACGGTTCAGTGCTCAGGGATATTTGTACCAGAAAAAACACCTCGAATGGAAATTGACATGCAGAAATACAACGAGTCCCAGCAGATGTCTGCACATGACATCCTTGCATTGGATGTTGAGAAGGTCAAAACAAGCCAAGGAAAAGAACTAGGGCGGGTTTCACTTGTTGATGGCAGTGGAAAAGTGATCTACGATAAGATAATCAAGCCAAGGAGAGGCGTTATTGACTACTTGACAAAATACAGCGGGCTTACAAAAGAGATTGTGGATAAAGGCATAGATGCAGAAATATGCAAGGAAGAGGTACTTGGGCTGATTGGAGTCAACACTATTATTGTTGGGCATGGGATTGAAAACGATTTAGAGTCTTTACAGCTGTACCACAGTAAAATAATAGACACAGCACATTTATTTTCAAGTCCTGAAGGAAGGAAAATATCACTGGACGAGCTTTCGAAAAAATACCTTAAAAAGTCGATTCACAGTAGCACGCACGACTCCACAGTAGATGCACTCACGTGCCTGGAGCTTCTATCGATCAAGATCCAGCATGTTTTTAGACTTTTAAATCCAGAAACACAAGGCATTAGCATAAATGCAAGAATTTGCAACATGCACATAGAAGATCTTGCTGGCGAAATAGAAAAAGGATTGCTTGGTATGGTTGCCACTGACTGCAAAAACATTGAAAAGCATATGAACATCCACAAAAAAAGAAAAGACATATTGTGGATGCTTATGTATGAGGCAGATGGCAAGGCATACATTGGCTTCTAATTCATTCTGTATGCTTTCGTGATAAATTGTTGTTTTTGTACACTTTGTAACTCTTGGCTATAGCTATAGCTGCTTGATCTAATAAATTACAGCTCATCTGCAGCCGCTTGGCTTCTCTAGCACCACTACGTCGCAAAACTCCTCAAACAAGTCTTCGGTTCCTAAAGGCGTAATAAGAATCCCTTGAAATCCTTGTTCCTTGAAAAACTGCAGTAGAAGCTTAATGATATGCTTTCTATTCAAACTATCCATGAACACATCAAACTCATCAAGTATCTTAACCGGGCATGGCAAAGATGCCCATAATGAAAGCAGTAGGCAAATCCCTGCAAACGATCTTTCACCTCCAGAAAGCATACTCCGTGCCCCAGATTGCTTGTTGCCATGAACTCTCATCTTGACACCCAAGGTTCTTTTTTCATGATCAAACTCAAGGAATCCCTCATATCCTCGATTCTTGGTTGTTCTAGCAAATTCATCAGATGCATTTTCTGCAATTGTACTTCTAACCAAATTTCTTTTGGCTACTCTTGATTGGATACCATCAAGAATTCCATTCATCTTCTCTTCGCATTCATCAATCAGGCTGGCTTTCTTCTTCTTCATCTTTCTAAGGCTCTCAAGTGACTTTTGTACATCACACTCATCTCTTGAACTCTTACACATCTCAAGCTGTGCTTTCAAACTAAATATTTGCTCTCTAAGCTCACATTCTGGTCTTACTATTGAGTTTTCGTTCCTTCCACTGCTACTCAACACTAACGCTTCTTGTTCATATGCTTCCTTCTCTCTTTTGTATTCCTCATTCAGAGCATGCACATCTTCTTTGCATGCATTTCTTCTCATCTTAGTAGCATGTGCCTCACTTACTTGCCTATCTATCATCTGCTTTAGCTCCACTGTGCTCATTCTTTTCCACCCACGGATAGCCTCATCTTCCTTCATTAGACTTTCAATCTCGTCTCTTATTCCATCCCGCTTTTTTTCAAGTACTTTCATCTGATTTTCTAGGCAGCTTATCTCTTCATAGAGTCCATCCTCACGCACCACCTCCAACTGTATCTCATACATCCTCTTGGCATTCTCAATCTCAATCTTTAATGTACTTCCTCGTCTTCTACATATCTCTATCATCTCACTTGCTTTGGCCACCTCTTCCTCGGCTATCTTCAACTTCATCTTGGCCTCTCCTCCCTTCTGCATCTCCAGTCCTCGAAGCTCCTCCTTGCATCTTTCAAGCCGTTCCTGTGTATTTTCAAAATACAGTCTATCAACTCCCCTTGTAACAAAATCACATAATCCTCCTCCCACTATCTTTATCTTATCTCCCTCCTTGGTATATGCGCATTCAACAAACATCGGTCTTGACCTTATTGTCTCATATGCATTCTTTCGACTCTCAACCAGAATGGTTTGCTCAACTGACTGTGTTATTATCAGGTGATTCACCACCAATGGCTCGTCTATTCTCAATACATCAAGCAGTGTCTTGTATTTTGCATTTGATTTGTAATCCAAAATCCTTTCTGCTTTCGATGACGGCATTGAAACTGGAAAGCTAGTCCTATGCTTCTTGAAAATTCTCAGCAAAGCTTCCTTGTCTTCCTTATCGGTTGTAATAAATGTCGTCAGGGTGTTGTTGAGGATAATGCTAGCTGCTTTCGCCCATACAGGCTCCTTAAGCTTTATATTCAATCCAATAGGCCCAATCACTTTTCGATTAAACTTTGTTCTTGAGATCTCAGCAAGTAGGTCCTTAATTCCTGGCCCAAAAAAGCTGTCTCGGTCGCTTCTTGAATAAAAGTCAATGTGCTTTCGTAACTGGAACATCTTTGCATTCCTTTCATTGCTCATATCTTCTTCAATCACCGCCGCCTTCTTGCATTCCTCATACTTCTCCAGGCTTGCTTCCATCGAGCTCTCTAGACTCTTTTGCTCAATCATAAGCTCGGAATACTTAGACTCAAGCAGAGGACACTCATTCAGAACCACTCCATTCTGTTTTTCAAAACCAGATACTATCTTGGCTTTAAATTCCTTTGCTGCTTTCATCTCTTCATAATCATTACAAATCTCTCTGTCTTTTGCTCTCAGCTTTGCAACAGCATCGACAATCTCTTCCTTTCTTTTATCTGCTTGCCTCTTCCTTTCTGCATCTTCGCTTTCAATCCCAGCAACCATCGTCCGTGTTTCCTCAATCGAATGTTCAAGCCCGTCAATTGCACGCACATACTCCTCAAGCTCCTGCTGTCCGTGCACAACCTTTTGATAGAGCTCCTCTGTGGCTTTCTTCTTCTGAACTATTCGCGCCCATTCAATCTCTTCCTCCATCTCCTTAATTAAATGCTCTATTTCTCTTGTGTTCTTGGCTACGCTCAAGCATCTTTCCTCTTCATTGATCCTGTTTGAGATCTCTTCAAGATCGTACTTCGCATTCTCAAGAGCCTTTCTTATTGAATCTGCTTTCGCCATCGACTCTTCATTCAGCCTGCAGACTTCATCAATCTCTGTTCCTCGCATAAAAAGCTCATACAGCGACTCAGGTTGCATCACATTCAAAAACCTTTTTGCATGATCCTGCGTAAGAAAGCTCAGTGGATTTTCAAACCTCAATGAAAAAAAATCAAGCAAAAGCTCAAGATCCTCCCTCCGTATAGACCAAACCCTACGGTCTCCATTCATAATGCTCATTGATGTAGAACGAATCCCAATTCGCCTCTCAATCACAATCCTCTGTCCAAAGAAGTCCTTTTTGAATCCTTTGGTGTTATCCAGTACAATCCTCACCATTGCACTTGTTTCGTTGCTCTTTATCAGCTCCTTGATGCTGTTTCCACGCTCAAGATGCTGTGCTCGCTGCCCAAGCACTATTCCAACAGCCGCCATCACTGCGCTCTTTCCAGCGCCGTTGCGCCCAGAAATCACCGTCAAAGGCTTATCTAGCTCAATCAAAAGATGGTCATGGCACATAAACCTTACAAGCTCAATCGACACAATCAATCTCTTGCTTCTCGCACCATCCATTTTATGGCCATCCGAATTATCTCAAAAACCTTCTCTGCAGTACCACTATCACAACCGGCACTACTTCTCACATATAGCAAGATCAATCGTTAAAACTAGGATTTAATGGCATTGTGTAATGTTGATTACTAAAGATTAACGAGCCTTGCCTGCCTTCTTCATTAACGAGCTACGAGAGCGGAGTGCTGCTGCTGACGCTCCTGGACTTTTATTCTCATCACCCTCTGTCTGCGCAATTTTTGTGCCTGAATCACTACTTGGCTTAGTGTTATCACTGCTTTCACCTGTAGGCTGATTGCTGTCTGTGGTTTCATCAGACTCTGTGGTTGGCTGATTAGCACTGCCACTGCTTTTACCGTACGCACTGGCCAGGTTCTCTCCATTTATGACAAAGTAGTTCGTCTTTGTCTCCGGCGTCATGTTTACCTGATTCCTATATGTATCAAGGACAACGGCTGGAACATCATGGATCTTAGAGCTGTCAACAAAGAGGGTTGTTGAGATTGCCGGTGTCATGTTGGGGTTCATCTTCTTGATCTCTGCCTCCGTCTCAGACTGTGTGAGTCCGTCAGTATCAATCGTACTGATCTGGTGGTCTGTAGGATTCGTGGCATCAGTACTTGTTCCTTCTCCTTCTGGCTTTTGCAGCTGTTCAACGCTTTCGGTGCTTTCACTGCCCGTGGCTGTGCTTTCATTAGGTTTGGAATCGGCGCATGCTGCCTTTAAAAGATAGTAGAAGGCAATATTGAATATAATGCTCTTCATCGCTTTGTAAGATGCAAGGTGAGTTTTATATACTTTTTCTCTTACACATTGTTTTGCAATTCACCATTCATTGCTTCTGCTCTAAAACACACCGGCACATTGCATCTTCTCAGTTTCGGAATTGTTGACTGATGTTTATTCACATATACAAGGACTACACGCTGTATACCAGCACCATCCACTGAAACAGCAGCCACACCACGTATGCAGGCATCTGTTTCATGAGTAGATACGCTTATCAAATTCAACTTCCAAACATTGCCCTTCGTATGGTGGTTCAAAAGAAAAAGGACAACCTGCTGCCAAACGGCCTGAGAAACAGGGGTAACACGTGTTTTTTTAATGCTGCCATGCAATGCATTCTGTCGATAGGGGAGATCAATACATTCTACATGACTACCGAGTTTCCAAAGCAAAAAGAGGTTTCAAATGCATTTAAGCAGTTTATCATGGAGTATGGAAAGCCTGGAACATCCGATCCTAGTGCTTTTATCAGCAGGATCGGCAAGAAGATGAAACTGTTCAATGGCAGGCAACAGGACTCACACGAGTTTTTTATCAAATTTATCGATTTGCTGTACAGGGAGTTTGATGACAACAAAAGTAGGTTTGAATCGAAGGAGGAGTTTGATGACACAAGAAAAAGCAACATTATTGCAAATATTCTGTTTTCAATAGACAGGCACATGGTTGTTTGCGAAATGTGTGGATTTTCATCGACCCGGACTGATTTGAAGAGCACCGTGGGTGTTGTGCCATGCAAGAGTATCCAGCAGGGCATAGATGGGTATTATGAGGAGGAGATCTTGGAAGGTGCAAATGCATGGCAGTGCGATGGGTGTAGTATGAAGAAGAGGTCTCGGAAGAAGATGGAAGTTCTTGTGCATCCGGAGGTTCTTGTTGTTCATATCTTGAGGTTTAGTGCACAAGGTTCCAAGATCACCGCAAGCATTGAGATTAATGATGTCTTGATGTTCAATGGCAGGAAGTACAGCCTCTTTGGGGTTGTTTGCCAGAGTGGAAGCATGAACGAGGGGCACTATGTTGCAGAGGCCAAAAGGGCAGGCATCTGGAATTTGTATGATGACGAGAGAGTGATCAAAGCGTGTAAGACATATAGTGGGTCGAATCCTTACATGGCCTTTTATACACTTGGGTCGTGAGGATTAAAGGGATGAGGGTGTTTGTTTTTTGCTTTACGGATGTGATTTGTCATTAGATGGTTTGTGATTAGGCGCGTACACGCAGATGATTGGTGCGTTGCAGTACATAAGCAAGTGGGTGTGTGTGATGAAGATGGTTTTTTGTATTGGAGGAAGACTAGGAATGTTTCCATGGCTGTGTGGCAGACGCAACAAGCAAAAGATAATTAGAAGCTCATACTTGAACACGTATGAAACGTTGCGTGATGAAGATAGTTGTATGGACTACGGCATGGGTGGAATGGATATGTCTAAGATGTGTAAGAAGCACAGCAATTGCAATGCAAAGCGATCCAATCGTTTTGAGAGGCGTGGGGTGAATAAAGACAATGTTGAGAGTGTAAATAGCAACACATATGATTTGCATGATGAGCACAGTAACATTTGTATGCATCCTGCAGAGGATATTGATGAGCTTGAAGGTGCATCTGAGGATGTGGAGTCGCACAGTACATTCAGGGAAAGCAAATGCAAAGACAACAAATATCAAGGGGATATGTGCCGTAACGATAACTGCAGTAACAATCACAGAGCTCATGCGAGTAGTAAGAATGCCATGAATGCTTCAAAAGCACTGAGGAATAAAAAAGAGAATGTATTCGATAACAAGTATGATGTGGTCAGTGAAGAAGATGTTTCAATCAAAAAAGCAGAAATACTTGACAAATACAAAGCCAGGGCATATATGAGCGAAAATAGGCCAAAGAGCATTTCTATCGAGTCTGAAATCGACTCTGTATGCAACAAAGCAGCAGCCATAAATAAAAATAGCGATGCATTTATGAGTAGCCGTGCAAACAAGATCAGGACAAATAACCGATTTTGTGAATACTCGCCAGATGAAAGTGAAAGCGAAATTAGTTTCATAATGGATCTGTATGACAAGACCTCCTTGAACAACAGTCTAAAGCAAAAAATGTTTGAATACCTAAGCTTGCTTGAAAAAAGAAGCAAAGAGGAACTGCATCGCAATACGGAGCAGGACATTCCATATCAGGCATTTACACGTGAGTAGCCAGAATATAGAACGCCGATGTATTATATAAATTATGCCTTTATGAGTTTACTTAACTATACTATTTATTTACTGATTCATTCTCTCTATCATCCATATCTACTTGTATTACAGGACTGCACGTTTCTGTAGTTTTTGCACTCGCAATAAATGCATTTCGGATATTCGTGGATTGCTTTTCACCCAGCAGCCTGAAGTTCTTATTTTCCTCATCCCACACACGAAGCTCCTTCAATCTATTGCCATGATCTTTCTTCATGAATGCCACCAATCCACTTATGCTCTTATACTCTTTTGATATGCACCTTGATGCATTCCTGCCTATTCCAGATATGCTTTCAAGTAGATTCTGCAAATGCATTGTCTTCTGTGTCACTCCAAAGCTCTTCGTTCTTGGAACATACGTCTTTTTGCTGCTGAGATAGCTCATTATGCCTCTCAGTGCATCAGCTACATCACAAGATTCATCCACAAATATGTAGTTATATCCATTTACAATTTGTGAATGGTATAGCTTCTTCATCTGTTGACTGTACATCGAGTCCTGTCTTATATACCTTGCACCATTCTTCAATGCTGTCTTGTATTCCCTGTCCTCTCTTGCTTTGCATTTCACCTTGCATTTATTCCTATTGATCACAATCGACATCTTGTGCATTGAACTCTCAAAAGAATCGTCTTCAAAGTTAACAACTCCAAACACACATTCCTCAGTTCCATCATCGCATCTAATCACCTTCATAACCCTTTCGTGCGTTATATTGTACTTCAGCTTCACATCTTCAATTCTATCCACGTATTCCACAAGCAGCCCACAAAACACAAAGTAATGTCCTGGCCACAAAAAATCTCCAGATGCATTTTCATTCATAACCATATTGCTATGCTTCCTGCCATCATTCATGCAAATCCCAATTCCACTAGGAATGTCCAGAATGGAAATCGAGCTGTCCGTGTCCATAAACTCGCATCTTCCTGCATCCGCTCTCAATACTTCATCTATCGACGCATCATCTTCATTAGTGCTCCACGCTACCCTGCCTATACTGCTCTTCTTCATCAATGCCAATCCCTGTATGGCTATACTATTTAACTTTCAAGCTTAATCTTTTTCCCACTTGCATTTTTTACTACTTGGACATAGGTTCTTCTGGTACTAGTAAAGCATTTCTTCTTGGCTTTTCCTTTCATCAGTGGTGTCAAATACACCATTCTAAGCGTTTGGCCTTCTTCAATACCAAACTTAGGATTCCACCATGTCACTGTGCACTCTCCACTCTCATCCTTAACAACAAACTTCGTGTATGCATTGATTTTCAAGTCTGTCGAGCAAAACACCCGCTCCGCTTTCCTTGCCAGCTCCTGTATCTTGTCAAGCTCAGGCTCAATATCATCCGTAACGCCGCTATAGTTCTCCACCCTCACTCTATACTTTGTTTCAATCACTTCAGTAACACGACCCTGAATACAACTAATTGTGCCTCCATCTGCATCAACATCGCATATCCTCATTCTGAAGCATACTTTCTTCTTAAATCCAAGCTTACGCTTCAAAAAAACCGCCTGGACTCCATTCGAATGCAACATCAGTGATGCGCCGGAAACCTCAAAGATCGACCCCGGCTCACGCACCAACTCCGCTCCAAAAACCCGCAGTCTTGATCCTGCATAAATCTCCCCATTCAATATCCTTTGCTTCAGTGCTTCATCACACATCGCATGCACGCTATACGTCCCATCAAAGATCTCAATACAGTAATCGTCAATGCCTATCACAATAACAACCATGTATCTCCACGACGGCTCATCTCCTTCAACCATTCTTCTCAGAATAGAATATTCATTGTCAAGGCGGATCCTCATCTGATCTTCTACCATGTCAGTTAATGCTGCAAAATCCGTCTTCTTGCCTTGCATGAAAAAATATATCCAGGACCACTTGAACTGCACAAAAACTCGATTCTCATCCTCTTTACTGAATCTTGCCTTTATCTCCTCATAGACATCCGTAAGTTTGCATCCTTCATCATATCCTTCTTTCTCCTGCTCATGACGGTCAGAGTCAATTTTGTTGATTGCTACTTCATTGGCGTTGCAACAGTCTTGGCTGAACACCATACGCACTGCATCTACGCTTTCTTTTCTAACATCAATTCTCTTCATAGATCCCGTCGTAAACCCAGAAAACATCATCTCATCACACTTGCGATCCAGATCTATTCTACTAAAGTGTAGCGACTCATCACCACAGGCAGCTGACTCTTTCTTAGTTATTCTTTCGCTTGCATCATATACATTGCTGCTATTCTCGTCCTGGCTTGCATCATCTTCTAAAAAGCCGTCCTCAACATCAGACTCACTCCCATCCATCATAGACACATCAGCACTGTCTCCAAAGTCAGATCCAAGCCCACAGTCTGTTTCGTTGTTCTCAGAATCCTCAATAAATCCACTTCTTTCACAGTCATCACCGTCAGAGCCAGGCATAAGAACCTCAGAGTTAGAGCAGCTCCAGCCCTCATCTGCTTCTTTATTTGTCTCCATACTACTGCGGAAGAAGTCTTCAAAGTCAACCTCAGAATCCTTTTCCATCCCAATGGGTTGTCCAGTCCACTTCTACATCAAATACAATCAATACTTTATTCTATTCTATTCTCAGCCCAAATATGTTGTCCTTGTCATTCTTCGCTAAAAACCACACAATCTTAAAAAAGTCCTCAGGAAGAATCAGAAACGACTTCGTCACCTCTGTGTTGGGATCGTTGTAGTAAGACACTTTCTCTATCTCTTTCGTATCCTTGACGCCTAGCTCAACCAGCGGAAGCACATCGGCATCAGAACCTCCCCCCATCTCCGACCAGCTTTCCAAAAGCTCAATTCTGTACGCAAGCATCTTCTCGGTAAATGAGTCCAGGTACTCTTCCTCCTTGGTATTCAAAGGATAATAATGGCACGACTTGTAGAACATGTTCTTCAAGCTGTTGCGGAAAATAAACGTCATCAGGATTATCGGAAACAGCATCATTGCCAAATATATTCTTCCATCAGAACACATCTTTGCAAATGTGGCCACCTGGAAAAAAATCAGAGAAAACATTATGTTCTGGCATGCAACATCCCAGTATTCCCCTCCAGACTCATACTCGTTCCTGGAGCAATACAAAAACTCGGTCTTGAATGCAAAGTAGCTGCATGCATAGAAAAATGCACCAAGAAAAAGAATCAGCGGGCACATCGTTGCATAAACTATCGCCATCGAAAATACAGTAAGCAAAGGCGGAAACATCACTCCAAAGTCAAATGGGGGTGAGTACTCTGCATCATGCTTCTCTCGCCTTGTCTTACTCCCAACAAATGGAATCAACAGATAGTTGATCAAGAGCGGCCCAGGCTTCAGCAGTATTATTGCAGTCCCAAAAAATGCCCTTTGGATTATTGTGTTTGCAAAAAACACAGAAGACTCAAGAGACTCTTCGCTGAATGTCTCGATGACCTTTGTAAACTTCTGATCTCTGAACAGCACATCAACAACCAAGCGATAGAAGCTGGATGCAAAAAACACCGAAACAAACCCATTGAAGAACAAGAAGTTGCAGAGCTTACCCATCAGCTTCTGCTGGAACGAAGAGTATGAGTATATCCCTTCAAGGCTCACAAGTGCAGTTATCACGGCCGGCACAAACAGCAGCATAGAGCTGTATATCAACGGAAATAGAATGCCTCTGAGCGACTCGGTGATTGTTTCATGCTTACTGACATCCAGAAATATCGAGACAAATTTGCTTTCTCGCAACATCTCCGAACTGACCAGGAGCGTAACCATATATGCAACCATCGATGAAAACAATGCTATGAACATGATGAAGAAAATCGTCCCGAAAATGCTGTATATGTAATTCTCAACCTCACTGCTTGTGATGTTTTCCCACATGACGTTGTTTGGTGCCGGAGCGTCCTCTGCAGCAACAGAAAAGATCCTTGATCCTATCTGGGACTGCTTTACAATGTTAGCGCTTCTCTGATCCTTGAATGTCACAAACCCTCGTTTGGTCTTTGAGGGAAGATCGAGTGTGAAGTACATCTTGAACTTGCTAAAGTTGAACACATGATGGAACGAAAAGAACCCTGCATCCTTAGATATGTCGCTTCTCAGGAACAGAGAATGATTCTTGTTCACAAGCTCTATCATTCGAACCTCTCTGTTCTTTGCCTCTTCGTTTTTTATTACTTCCTTCTCCTGATTGATTCTTGTGTTTACGTCGTTCAGCATATCAAGATAGAAGTTTATCTTCGGCATCTTTCCTTCCTCAAGAAGATTGCTGAATTGTTGTGCGCCGTTCAGAAACATTGCAACCAGCTGCTGCTTCTGTGCATCTTCAAAAACACCCATTATATCTGCATCGCTGACTGTATTGAAAATACTCTTGTTGAATCCAGGTATGGAATTCATACATGCTTCCTCGTTTTTTTCAGACCACTCATTTATTCTTGCAAGCTTCTCGTGGATTTCCTTCTCAATGTTATGTATGTACTGATCTTTCTCGTTGTACAGCTTCTGGAGAATTGTGGTGTCGTACACAAGCACACAATCATCGACTTCGCCAACGCCGAGGGAATCCACAAACTCAAAGAGATCCGTGTCGTTGTTTATGTAGAACGGCAGCCTCGACATAATAAGTGTTCTGTTTGGAAGATTCATGTATTCTGTAGATCTTTCGGCAGATCCAAGTGTGTATGAGAGTTTCTTCAGAGTTATTATTGATGTCATGATCGCAGGATTCCTCAGGTACGCCTGCCTCAGAACAATGTATCTCTTATAGTATATAAATATCGAATAAATGATGAATAATGAAATCATATACACAATTGGAACAATGCAGCCATATGCTTTTGACATCGGGTCGATGCTTTCTAGCGAAAGCCGCACAAAGAACTGGTTTGCGTGCTCAGCGCCCTTCCACTCGCTTTTCCAGAACAGATATCCTAGCGATGGGATGATAAATATCGATAGGATTAAAAGAATCCTGAACAGTAGCTTGATCGTCTGCAACATCATGAATGCATCCAGGCCTATTATTGTCAGTAGCGCAGTATCGCTCACAGTTACCACCGGTATGATCCAGCTCAGGAAGCCTGTGTATCCATAGCAAGGATGATGCGGTCTGTTCTTGATGTTTGGCATGTACAGCCACTTTGTTCTCTTCCTAAGCACAATATACACAAGTAGTATTGCTCCTGTTATAAAGCCCTGGAACACAATGTTCGAAACTATTGCGTTGTCAGCGCCTGACAGGGGAGGCTTTTTAATATCCTGAATGGAGATATCGCCGTCAAAGGTTTCTTCATCCATCACTGTTCGGGGATTGAAAAATTTATCGTTGTAATAACCAATAGCAATGCAAGTCTTCAGTGCGACCAGTAAAACATCTTTGTTAAGGAGTAGTGCTATGTGGTTTAATACCTGAAGAGTAGGATGCATTACCGAATTGTTTTTAATTGCGGCGGAGTCAAGGGTGCATGAGGATAAAATCTGTAGCTGAGGAGTCGATGAGGATTGGAGAGATGGCCGAGGAGATGAAAGAGTGTTGGGTGGCAACTGTTGTGGAGGATAGCCGCATTCTAATATTATCTCCCGAGGAGGAGAATGTTATTGACCACCAAGGCATCTCCGTAAACACATACTACAATGCAAAGAGGGAATTTTTTAAGCAGGGAGAATCGGGGCTTGGCACGGCTCTTGAGAGACTCGGCATTGGAGACGGGCAGCGAAGTGTAATCACAAGTCTGGTTCTAAAGATGGAGTCGAGTTAATAAAGAAATGTTTATTTGTTTTCAGAACTAGGCAGCGCATTGCTTTATACACATACTTCTTACCTAAGAACTTCTTTTATTTTTTCTTCTAGGCGTAGAGATTGTGCACCCTTAGGGCAGTATATTGCACATGCCGATATTGGCCTGTGTATCCCACATGCCACTCCCAAAGCGGTTTTTGAAGGGACATGGATGAATGGAACATCCTTGTCGTTGCATATTATTGGCAGAAATGCAGACAGCTCTGGAGGCTCTGTGTCGCATGCAATCACAACCAGCAGCGAGGTTCCCTTATTCAAGCACTTGATTGATTCGTTTATTCCTCTCTTGATGTTCTTGGAGCTTGCCATGCTCTGGACCAGCTTGAGAACGCTTTGTGCTTTTTCATCGGAGACCGACGAGTACAGTAATGCATCATCTATCATGAGGGAACCAATTTTTTCGAAGTTTATGGCCCATGATGAATAATGAATATGAAATCAAAGTATAGCAAGGTGATAAAGACGCTGTCCATTTGCCAGGAGGACATTTGGAGTGCATTGAAAATGCTTGCTCCATTGGAAAACAGCTTTCATACAGAAACGGTTAATGACGAGGAGGCATGCATAGTGCCTAATGAAGCCAACTTTCAGCTGCCCAATGTTTTCCTGCGAACTGCTCCGAACCCAGGATACCAGAAGCTAGTTAATTGCAGTGTAGATGCAGTAGAGTGGAACAAAACAGTGGACGAAGTTGCAGAGATGTTTGAGGAGATGGAGATTGTATCTACTACCGAGGTAATGGTGCAAAGATGCCCTGTTGTGCAGGATGTGCTGAAGAGGATGATGTGCGAAAGGTATGGATATAGATGATTAAAGTGGCAGCTGGATGTTGGATGCTTGTGAGCACGATTAATTCTCTGAAAGGCGATGATTTGATATCCTGGCCATTGGATGATCTGATAGAGCAAGAAGCATCGATTCAATAAGTAGCGGTGCCTTGAGCAGACTTGATTGGTATGCAGGTGTACTCTATTGATTTTAAGGCAATGAACCAATCTTTGCACTTTACTTGTTGAATAATGTATATAAGCTGTTCTGCCATGGCTGATGATGAATCTAGCGATTGAAAAGCCATCGAGGGTGATAAAGATTTGCATTGGAAAGGAGCCAGGAAGGGAGAAGCTTAGCTATGCGGCCAAGAAGAGCTGCTTAAAAAGGCAATTTGAATATGAAAAGTATATCAATGAGTTTGAAGTAGGCAGTGGCAAGCCTGTGGGCATGCAGAACCTGAATGCGAAGCATCACACAAAAGGCGTGTCTATTGATTTTTTTGAGCTGAATGAAGAAGCAAGCTTTGCAAATGAGTATGACGAGGCAGATGATGCACAATGCAATCGCAGTAAGATGGTTTTTGAGACAAAGTTTATTGAGGCGTCATTGAAGAACGATATCCGGGTGAAGAGTACAAGGTTTGCAAATGATGCAATATTTGTGTATTTCTTTACTCTGAACGATTCCATATCGTTCTATAAACAATTCTGTATGCATGCAGAGCTGTCATTTTCAGATGTGTCTGGGTTTGAACAGATTCTGTCGATGCCGTTTTCAGAGTGGACAAGTTTAAGCCTGAGCGTAGTTGATGACGTGTGCATTAATGCTGATGATTATATGCCTGATAAGCACTTGGCTGTGGAGCAATGCAGTCCGAGGCATTTTTGCAGCAATGAGATGAAGAGCTTGCTCTTTCCTGGTAAGATCTATGCTGAAATGCATGGCATTGATGCATCCAGAGCATGCACAGGTATATACTCGGCAGCAGAAAGCACAGTAGATCATAGCAAAATTTCACATGAGACTGTTTTTGAAAAGAGAAGCGAGTATTTTCTTAGCATCAGGAATTTATTTTCAAGAGCGGATTTAAAAAACATGGTGCAAGCAATTGAGGCGGGTAGCATAGACTTTGTATTTAGGAATTCCAAGGAACTAGCAGTTGGATGCAAGTCTAACAAAATAATGCAGGAGGTGATTGAGCATCTTTCCGAGAAAAACCTTGTCAGGATAATTGAGAGTCTAGGAGATGATATTGCACCAATAGCAGCAAACAAGCATGGGGCATATGTTGTGCAAATGCTTATATCGATGGCTAGATTGCCGGAGACACAGGGTTTGATCTCAAGATGCTTCAAACGATATGGAAGGTTTTTGATAATGCATGAGATAGGCAATTATGCGATCCAAAAGATAATACGGTTTGATGCGGATTTGATATTTGAATTCTTTGAGTCAAGGATTCTAGATGTCTGTGGCGATGAGCTAGGTGTAAGAATATTGAAGAGATGTATGGAATTCTTCCCTGAAGAGAAGTGTGCTATGCTTCAGAATATCTTGGATAGGCAAGAAAGAAAGTCAAAAACTTAATGCAAGCAAGATGCAGTCATAATAAACCATGTTTTACTTTGTATGCCTTGCTTTTCGATCTCTTGCGATGATTTCTTTGACTATACAAACCGCATTGTTGTAGCAAGTTTCGTCCATAAACATCTTCTTTATGTTGATATGTGCAAGAGGCTTTGAGCCCAGTGATGTCTCCAATAGAAGAATCACTGCATATGCATCGTCCTCGGATGTGCATTCAGAGTTCATAAGCTTTGAATGTGCTTCTGTAAGTCGAACAAGACTCTCCAGCATCCTAATCGTGTTGAATTCATTAATTCCATGAGACCTTCGTTTGTAGTGATAATATCCAAGCAGAATTTCATTCAGATCCTCAGAAACCACATTATTTCGTTTTCTGACCATTGATATGTAGTTGCGAAGTACTGTTCCGCTCCAATAAGTTGCCTCACCTTTCTCCATGCCATCTGAGCCGGCTTTTCTACTCAGGATCTTTTCTGCAACAAGTATGTCGCATTCTTCGTTTTTATCATCAAGCATTCCAAAAATCAGATCAAATCTACTGATCAGTGGTGTTGTGATCATTGTGTTTTCAGAAACACTCTTGTTCAGATCGTATCGATATTTTGTGCCTGCTGATGCAATAACAGAACACCTTGTGTTCAACGATGATACCATGCCTGCCTTTGCTATGCTGAGTGTTTGCTGCTCCATTGCTTCAAGCAGCCCATTCTTCTCGTTCAGCCTCAGCTTGTTGAACTCATCGATACAGCATATGCCTGTGTCTGCAAGCACCAGAGCACCTGCTTCCAGTGTCCATTCCTTCCCTTGCTTGGATGCACAGGTAGTAAGGCCTGCTTGAGTTGTTCCTGTTCCGTTGGTAAGAACAGCAGGCGATCCAAGACGAATGCATGCCTTCAACAAGTGTGACTTGCCCATTCCTGCATCTCCCACCAGAAGAACATGCGTGTTGCTGCGTGTAAATTTGCCGTCAGGCTTTCCGCCACCACTGATCAATGCTAGAAGCAGCCCCAGCTTGACATTCTCAAATCCTTCAATCTCCTCAGCAAACGACCTTATCAAAAACAGTCGTCTTTCAAAACGATCAAGCTCTTCCAATTTGGAAATGCAGCTTCTGCTGAACAAATCATTCATAGGCTCTTCGTTATGTTTGTACACATCCAATGCATGCATATAAATCGATCCAAGCATTTGCTCTCCTGCTTTGAATGCTTTCCATTTGGTAAGCATCACTCCAGTTATCAGCAGCTTGTCTCCAGGATAAAACTTGCCGGCAAGCTCCTCCTCAAGAACAACCTCCAATGTCTCAGACATTGACTCCGGATTTCCAATGTCCTGCAGTCTTATTCTCTGGCTAGGTATAGGCTCACCAAAGCTTCTTTTGTCCTTGACAACAGAGGATCCGCATGAATCGCAGGATGTTTTTTGCTTTTTATTCCCAGACAGCCTTGCATATGTTTTTGAATTGCACTTGAGGCAAACCATCTCGTTAGACACGTTTCTTATAAGAGTCTCATAAACCTTGATCACCGTTCCCTCAACGGCGACTATCTTATTGATGTTCTTACTATTCAATGCTCTACTAGAAAACAGCGCACATGGAATGCTCCGGAGGGTCTTCCTGTATACATCAGGATGTATAGATACATCTGCAGCAATGCTGTTTGCAAGCTCTGGACTTCGTTCGCACAGATGAATCAAATCTATTTCGTTTTGAACTTCCATCAAATGAGCACAACCCTCACTGCACCGAAGATTTACACAAGTGCTTCATGCAAACTATGCGAGTTTTTTCTCCTGATTCATGCCTATCAAAACGCTTGCTAGCAATGCTTCCAGAGGTTGGATGATGCTGGAGAAAAGGAGAAAAGGAGAATACACATGAATGATTGATGAATTCAAGCATAAAACAAAAGAAAACGCGAGTCTCAGCAAATGGAAGTAAACCAGAACAGTGTTATTAGAGCGGCAGATGCAGTGGAGGAAAAAACGAACTACGCAGTAGATGTAATAGGCAATTCGCGTATTGGAACCTACATTCCTCTTGAAGTGCAGAGCCTATCGCTCTACGAAATGACAGAGTATTCGATGTTTTTCACAATACTCGAGATCATTCCTGTATATTTGATGGCACATGCAGATGGAAAAGGCACATTTACACACATCATCGGCATGATTCTTATCATCGTTGCAATAATGTCCATAGGCCTTAGTCTTGCTGCTTTCTACACAAAAATGTTTGAGTTGTACAAATACGTTGTAATAATGTCCATGGTCAAGATCCTGATCGCATCAATCACTGTAATTTTCCTGAACCTTAGTAGCTGGTACATTGTGATTCTTGCACTTATATATGCATTGAAGATTATTGGATTTGAAGGATTGTTTCTGTACTATCTTGCCATTCTCTTCAGAAGGATTCAGTCTGATGAGTATGACTCCCATGGCGAAAAAATCAAGGTGGATGGACATACCATGGAAGAAGTATGAATAAACATTTATGTCTATGTAGATAGTGTTTTTATTGATATGCCTTAACCTTTCATTTTCGATCAATCGCATGTGTGCGACGCACCAGAGTAATGCAGCATTAGCATCATAGCATATCCAATAAAATATAAATATTCAGCACATACCATAACACCCATTTAATGCATATACTCACTCAATCCAACAATTCATCAACTGATGCATTATTGCGCTCTTATCAATCCAGCGATCATTCCATCTTCGAAATCGGCATGGCCTGCCTCTTCATCTATAACAACCTTGATTCGCTCAGGTAATCCTATATTTTGATTTGCTCTGAATTCCTCAGCTATTAAATTCCACCATGATGACAGCATTCTACTTTTCTTGATTCCTATCCCTTGCACGTAGTAATCAGAAATAAGATATGCAGCAACAACATGCTCCCCGATGGCTGCTCGAATCCCAAACCTAAATGCAATCTCATGGTTCTTGTCAAGCACATCTTTGTATCCGTTGAGAAACAGAACCGAAATTCTCAGCTGTGCATCTGATTGCCCAAGATCGGCAGCCTTGAAGTACCATTCGATTGCCCTCAGGACGTCTCTTTCTTGCCCAAGATCTCCGTTTTCAAAGCACAGCCCTACTCTGAACTGACAATTTGGACAATCAAGATATGCGCCCTTCATATAATTCTTGAATGCATAATCAGGATCTTTTGGCAGAATGCCTATTTCGCTTCCTTCCTCATAACACCTTGCAAAATCATACAGTGCATATGGATAGAAACTATTTGCTTTTTTTGCAGCAAGGCTCAGATAGAAGTATCCTGCCTCCATCTTTCTACCGTATGCATTCTTTCCAAACAGTATGCTTGCTCCGTATATGTGCATGGCGTCCACATGCCCAAGCTTTGCAGCGCATCTGTAGAAGTACAATGCTGTTTTGATGTTTTTTCCCTTTCCTATACCTTTTTCATAGCACTGTGCGACCCGGAATGTTCCCGTTGGATTGTTTAGCTGTGCAGACAAGATGTAATGGTTGAATGCCGTCTTATGGCACACATTCGCTCCAAAAAGGCCCTTTTCATGGCAAAGCCCGATGTAAAGATGAACTTCTGATCGGATGGCACGATCCAGTTTTGCAATTGCTGTTTTTTCCATGTATCTATCAATTGTGGTCTGTATCAGCAGCGTTTGCTTTTCAGTAAGGTATCTAGATGTGGAGTTGTGGTATATTCTAGGATCTGCAAACACAAATCTTCTTGAATCGACTCGCACGTCTTCTATCCTCCTTGCATAGCACGATAGAAGAAGCAGAGCATCTTCAAGATCGTCATCTTTTTCTGATTCTCCAACCTCATCAGTCATGCCAGGCCATATGCAGACACCAATATGTTTTATTCTCTAACTCTAGAACCAATCGCATGTTCAAACGGCGCACAACCAAAGAAGATGCTAAGCAAATCATATAGCAGAGTAGCAATATGAATTATGTCTGCAAATCTGCGTTTTTGCCATGCACATGAACCAGATATACTTAAATACAAGCCTGCACAGTGCCTTAAGCATTGAATTCAAAGCATTATAATTCAAGAGACATAGAATAGCCTTTCAGCTGCAGCCCAAGATGTTGAAGGTAAAAGATTTTAGAATAGGACGAGTGCTGGGAGTTGGTGCATTTGGAAAAGTGCACTTAGCTACAATAAATGACAATCCAGAGCTAATGTTTGCTGTTAAGATACTTTGCTTCAGAAAACTTCTTACACAGCGACTGATTGACCAATTAGAAAGCGAAGTGTCGATCCTAAGACAGCTGTATGGCTGTGCATTTGTTGCAAAGCTGTTTGCTACAGATTTTGACAACGGAAAAGTCAAATTGATTATGGAGTATGTAAGTGGAGGCGAGCTGTTCTATTGGCTGAAGAAGTGTGGAAGATTCAATGAGAAGATGGCGAGGTTCTATTCAGCAGAGATCATATGTGCATTGAGATACATTCATAACAAAGGCATTCTTTACCGTGATCTCAAGCCTGAAAACATACTCATAGCATCAAATGGACACATAAAGCTTGTTGACTTTGGATTTGCCACCTATGAGCATGAAAACATATACATGATTTCAGGAACGCCAGAGTACATGTCGCCAGAAAAGTTGGGGAGCGAAGAGGACGGGCGTGCAAGTGATTATTGGGGACTAGGAATAATACTATATGAAATGATATGTGGAGATCCTCCGTTCTATGATGAGAGTGCAGAAATTGTCTATCACAAGATTCTTGAGTCTCAGGCTGTGTTTCCACATTATGTAAGCCCGTTGGCAAGGAGCTTGATAACAGGATTGCTGAACAAGAACAGAGCAAATAGACTAGGAGCGCGTGGCATACATGAAATAACTGAGCATCCGTTTTTTGAAGAAATTAATTGGGATGATGCAGAAAACAGGCGAATGGAGCCTCCTTTTATTCCAAGGCTCTGCAAGAACATCATTAGCGATGTATGTAGCCATCAAGAAGAAAACAGTAGTGAGGATGAAGGAAGTGTCTTTAGGCCTTATAAACACATAAAAGCGATGCAGCCAAGCAAAAGCAATCAATTCAAAGGATTAGAGTGAAGCTATGCGTATGCTCCAATCATATCAATCTTCTCATTTCAATTGTTTAGCCATGTAGTAAATAGATTATGTTCCAAGTGTTTGTGTGGTTATTGTAGTTCATTTGAAATTCGTATGTTTCCAATATGGCAAGCCATTTGCATAGATGATTTTTACATGCTTGTGTGAAATGCATGTGCATATCAACGGCCTTCAGTGTTAGAGTGATGTAGATGTGCATGCGATTGATGAGAGTCGCAGGCATGTGTTGTGGCCATCGCTGATGTTCAACAGTATGATGGCGCTGTGATTTCTGGGTAAACAGTGTGAATGGCGTGTGTATATAAATTTTGTTTTAGTGCAGGGGTAATAATGAGTGTTGAAGGAGCAAGGAAGCCAGCAACGATGTATGGGATGCTTCGAATGGCGTTTATTGGGATTGCGGTTGGTGTTGGGATATACTACGTGCTGCTGTTTTTGTTTGGGGTGGTGTTTTTGGATCCCGAGTATTATGGAAGCTATATGTATGCATGGAGGGTGAACTATGCAGACAAGCCGATGACGCATGGAAGATACAAGCTGATTAACGAGCTTGATTATCCTAGCACCGAGGAGAGGCAGAAGTTCTATGAGCTGGCGCAGGGAAGGGTCGAGAAGGCTGATGGAGTGAGCAAGGAGGTGGGGGAGGCGTACTTGATACGGTTTAACAGGCCTGAGCACTATCCACGGGGGTTTGATCACCATTCGAGTCTGAACTTTAGCGAGTACGAGTCGTTTTTGAAGCTTCGGGAGAAGTTCATATGCGAGAGCGAGAATCTGAAGGTTGATGAGAGCTTGACACATGCGCAGCTGAGGGACATGATGAAGACGAAGAAGACGGTTGGGGGAGAGATGTTTTTTTCGGACTATAAGGGAAAGAGCATTGACTACATGATGAACACACTGCCTGAGAGCAAGAATGATCCGTGGTATGAGGTTGGGTGTGCATTGATCAATGCGGTGTCTGGGATTCTGTCGTTGGATGCAGACAGGAGAGTGAAGTACATGTTTGATGGAACCAAGGTTGGAGAGGGGCTGAGAGCGGACATCAAGGCAGGGATGAGTGCATTGAATGAGCCAGCAAGCAAGGAGAGTGGAGAGCAGCTTGACAAGGTGATTGATGAGTTTTTTGTGCATAATGGAAGGGTGTGCGCATCACCGTATGAGACGTATGCGTACTCAAGGATGTACTACATGTTTAGTTTTTTGACGGCAGGGCTTGAGTTTTCGGTTCCGAATTTCAAGGAGTCTGATAAGGAAAGCAACGAGTTCCGGGAGGCAAGGATGGAGTATGTGGCAAACATATTTGCAAGGATAGTGTCGAGTGTGTATCCTAATGGGAACAAGAAGGATGTGAGTGACATTGGACTTGTTGAGAAGCTGAGGAACAAGTTCAGTCCGATGATGAGTGTTGATGCAGAGAAGGAGGTTTCTGAGGCGGACCTGGAGCTGGTAAGGAGGAGCTTTGAGGAGGCAGCAAAGAAGCATATGCTGGCGGAGCAATAAATGAGGTTCTTTAATTGTTTTGTTTTGTTTTGTTGTGTCTGAGGAGTGGAAGGAGTAGTTTAGTTCATGCAGAGCCAGTATTTGGTATGAATAACAAGGTTTCAACGGATATGCCTAATAGATTTGATAAATATGGGAGTATACTTGAAAATACTACGTGATGTCTAAGCTAGCAATCGCAATAAACGTATATGAAACTATCAAGTATTATCAATGAAATGAAGCATCTGCAGTGTATATTTCTCCAGAACATCATATCTACATAAATATTGCTGTTCACAATATATATATCATACATGTTCATTAGCCAAGCATTATTGAGTTTCTTTCTTTCTCACTCATCTCCTATGCAAAATACACATCAATACGCCAATACATCAAATTAATAATTATTCGTTTATTATATTCCCATTATCTCCACATTACCTACTACTCTCATCTGCTACTAATTCACTGTAGCATTACATCGGTCATATCTCCATCAATAATCCCATCAAAATTCATGCTTTGCATCATCCATCCTATCAGTGCTACTCCAAATGCTGCTGCTGCTCCAATCATCCTCATCACTGTACCATTCACAGACCTGCCCAATATCTCATTATTAGCATCCATCTTATCTGCTCCCTTTCTCTTGATGCATACAACTACACTCGCTATCACCATCATCACACTTCCTCCTATCATCACTATATTTAGCACATACACATGCTCACTTATATTCTTATTCACCATCATCAGTGCTCTAATCGATCCTATCACCACACTTCCTCCTATCATTATTGCATGATACCACTTCTCTTGTTTCCTGCTCATTATATATCTCATCATACTCAGCATCACCATCACCGTTACTGCCGTAGCCATCATCTTATTTATAACATATCCGCTTACTTCTTCTCCATTCCTCATCCCAACCCCTATCATCACTGTCTCAACCACCATCGTTAATACGCACATTCCCACACTCAACATCCTTGCAATCATCTGCTTCTCTATACTATTCAGCATTCCTTTCTCTTCATCACTCTTCTTATTCTCATCGCTATCTCCCTTCAATTCATACATCACATACACATTGTACATCATCAATATTCCAACCACCAACGGTATAATCGTACATCCCATCCTTACCACATCATATATCACTTGCCCAGCTTCAATTATCTCTTATCTATCCAGCCCCATAATAATAGCTGTAATAAAATACACCATACCCAGAAATATCATTCCATACCCATTATATATCTCGTTCCTGTTGTACTCTTTCACCTATATCATACTGCGCATCGCCTCCATTATTTCACTATCACTGACATCTCTCAGTGTTTGTTTAATTCCAACAATTGCATTCACATAATGTACAAACATCTTTTCATATTCCTCAAGTTTATACACAGACTCACCCCGAAACTTATTATACATCGTCTTCAGCCTTTCTTCATTATATATGCCAAAAATCTCAGCAATAAAATTCGCTTCTAAATTGCTTATTGCATACCCTTTACATTTGGTACGGATCTCAATTAGATTGTTGTTTTTATTTTCATTAGCTATACCATTAAACATATCTATAAGGCTCTGCTGATTAATATTAATGTCTTCACCAATACGGTATTTCATTTCTGCGCAACTTACTATCATAAATGCTTCATTTATACCTCTCTTGGTAATAAAACCACGCAAGTTTTCATCGATTGCTTCTTTCCATTTATCATAATCTGTATCATATTTAGCAGCATTCCATCCACGACTCACCGTGTCTATATCATTCTGCATCTCTTCAAATACACAATCCACTATACGCTTCTTATCGCCAGCATCCATACAGTTCACCAGACATTTTAAATAATCTGAATCTATAAAATACATATAGTTATTATCATTAATCCAATCAAGCAGCACCATACGAATCGCCTTGCTTTTTTCATTCTCATCGCTCCCGTCACATGCTCTACTCAGACCTTTCAGTGCCTTCTCAATATAATCAGCAATTCCTCCTGCCATTTCCCTCACATCTTCTCGAAGACTATTACTCCATACTGTACTACTCACATCTTCTATGCCACTATACTTAATAAAATCAAGCAACAATTTAAAAACTTCAATGCTTTGCTTTTTAGTATCATTAATACAATAATCAAATGCTTTCGTAAGCTGCTCCGTTACCTTTTCATTCCTCTTTTTTATCCCCTCTTCAAATGCTTGCCTTACTTTGTCCCTCACTGTGCTATCGCTAATGCTAATCAAATCTATTCCAACCTCTATTTCTGAGTCCTTCACCTCATAACTAAAAAGATCATTTAGCAGGTTTTCTATTGCTTCATCGTTACTTCCTGCTGCTGCACTATTTTTCACACACTCATCTATTACTAACATAACTTTAAACATATGCTCTACTATCTCAGAACCTTCATCCTCTACATCCTTCAGAACCTCATTTATACTCTTTGTCCATCCTTCACTACTATAATATTTCAATAGTTTATACACATTCTCTAATCTATCTTTTAATTCGGCTTTAGCATTGCACTCCTTATCCAAATAATGCGCTATCACTATATTCTTCAATTCATCTTTTAACGTATTCATATCAATATCTTCAGTCTTATACCAGCTTAGTATCATTTTCAATGTTTTTGTATCAACCTCAAGTTCATCATATGCAAAATCTACGGCATTATAATCAGTTGAATCGTCCGTCTTCCTAGTACGAACGCTGTTCAATACATTTGCCAAATTTTCTTTTTCTTTTTCTCTTTTTTACTCTTCACTCAAATCATCATTGCCTTCTTCTTCTAAAATACTTGCCAATAAATCTTTTAGCACTGCATCAGACGTAATAATATATGGCAACAACATTCCAATAATCTTATACTTTTCAGTTCCTGCCCTTTTTTCCAGTATAATTTTCAGCTTATCTATATCCATCGTCATCACTCCCTTGGCAGCTTCGCCGTTCTTTACGCCCATTCTATTTATAATACTTACAATATGCATAAGCTCTATCTGATTTATGATATCATTCGATGATAAAATCATCTTTAGCATAAGCATATCTTTCTGAGCCAAGCATTCAAATACTACTGCATGTGCTTCTTTATTGCGAACCTTAAGCTGATTAAGAAAATCCTCCAACTCCATGCAGTTATATTTAAACCGCTTATAAATCGAATCACTCATCATTCGTATCAGATTTTTATGATTTCCAGCATCATCTGTTTCTGATATAACAATCGCACCAACTAGTTTCGCCAATACAGTAGGATTCATCACCTTAGCATTCAGTGCCGCATCAATCGTAGACATGCATTTACTAGCATTCATATTATTATACATAAACATCCATAGATCTCCTATTTCCGATTCATTAATTTCGCCGCTTTCTAGATTATTTATATCATCAGTTGCAATACGTAAAAAAAACATATTCTTGCTAGGATCAGCTGAGTTTTTATCAACCGGCATGCTTTTAAAACACATATTTATAATTTCCTGACTTTTGCCATCTATGCATTTATTTGATACGCAATATATCATCTTAATCACAAAATCTTCATTTGTATTAGCAACTATATTACTAAGCGCGTCACTCAATCCAATATCGCCCGGTTTATTAATATACGAATAACATAAATTTTCAAACGGCATTATACTTTTTTCACTTTACGCATATACGTACCCATTGCCATTTTACTTGCTTCCTTGTTGTTCATCTTCATTATTGAAATCGATATTTCCTTAGGATTGTTATTTTCTAGATAATCAAAAAGCACAGCATCAAACTCCGCTAATTGGGTTATAACATGATTCTGTTCATCATATGCATCATTCAGCTTTTCAGTCATTGATTTTACATCTTTATACAACTTTGCATACACATTCTTTGCCATCTTTTTCACATCTTCGTCTTTGATACAATCCAATAGCTCATTTACATTAAAAAATGAATCATCAAGAATAAATTCAGCTAATACCTTGCGCATTGCATATTCTCTTTTTTTTTGTTGCATTGCAGTATTTGTGGTATTAAAATAGCTATTATGTGCGTCACATAGGTCATTAAATAATAAATCAATATCTAGAAGTTTGCTATTTATGTATTCCTTCATCTTTTCGATATAATCCAATAACTCATTTACCTTTTCTATCCCATGCTCCTTGATATAATCAAGCAACAAGCTACAAAATGAAGCATCACTACTATGGGCTACATCTACAAGGTTCTTGATCATTTCTTGATAAGCTGGTAGAGGTGTACCAATTACTGGCTGCTGATATGATGTACTTGCATCATTTCCTAGTTGTGGTTGAGCTGCTGCAGTTGTTTTATTCTTCTTCTTATTTTTAAATGCCATTATAAGGATCTTCAATTCCCTGCATTATACTTTAGCTTCTTAATCATCTATCACTGCTTGACTTACTCCCACTGTTAATAACCGCTAGTACACTCGCTATTGCCATCACCACACTCATCACAACTATCACCGCGCTAATCACTTCTACATTCACATCAATTCACTGTGCTACATCCATTGCATCATCCACTATGCCTTAATACAACAGTGCAATAATTTTCATACTTGTTAAAACAGTCAACCCTGCTCGTACCCCTGCATATTCCACTGTAGAGCAAGTACCATGCTCTCAAGAGCTACTACATATTGATCATCACCTCATTCAGCCATCATCGAGCATCACGATTACCCACACTAATGCTATTGCAAACAGATAATGCGATTCCAAGTGTCCAGAGTATAGGCACAGCCAAATGGCCGAGGTGGTATGGTCTAGTGGTATGATGTCTGTTTAGGGTACAGGAGATTTCGGGTTCGATTCCCGATACCGCCCTTTTTAACCCTGCTGGCCAGCTACATGTTTTGCACATCACTCCTCTCCTGGCATCTGCTTCCAATACAAAATGCAAAAAACGCTCATGATCAAACTGCACACCGTTGCATACACCACTGCCTTGCACAGGCATCTACACATCAATCTCCGCAAAACAAAGTCACCTCCACTCATTTATTTCCTGGCTCCTCCCCTCTTCTTGTTAAATCTCTCAGAATAGAACTTTAGCTCCTCTCCTTGCAGAACATGTCCTTGCGCCATTCCTATCTGTCCAGGCCTCGACGTAATAATTGCATACAGATGCCCTTTCTCAAATCCATCATGTAGCTCGGCATCCTGCTCCACTCCAACCGTCGCTACATCCTCCTTGAACGACTCTGCAGAAATCTTCACAACAGAACTCTTCGTCAGCGTGTTTGTACGCACTAACTCGTTACAGCTGGGGTGGTACACAACCTGAACCATCCTTGCTTTTCGGATATTGCCCGTCGACATAAACCGGAAATGCCCGTCCTCAAGCTTCAACGCTCGCTGCTTCTTGTTTCCTCCACGCACCCTCACTGACACAACCTTCTGCTCCCCAATCTTCGTTGCACTTGGCTGGGATCCCGCCCTGTTGTTCCTCTTCTTGCGTGAAATCACTGCCTTTGCTCCAGTCTTTCTGCGCTTGTGCTCTCCTCTGTGGTTTACTCCTAAAATTACGCTTCATTCAAAGCCCACTTACCCATTTCAGGGCAAATTTTTCAATTGTTTTTCACACTAGCTGTGCCTGGACTCTTCATCACATTCGTTGCCATCCAAACCGTGAATAGCTCACTCATCCACCAATCACAGCTCACTCATTCTTCCCAGAATCGCCAAGACGCACCAGTGATAAACCAAATATCCCATAAAACAGATCAGATATCGATTCCATAACCTTGTCTATGTTTATCCTTGGAATAAACTCCATCCCCACATACACAACAAACACGCTCAGCGATCCTATGAACATCGTGGATATAAAAATCATCTTCAGCGTCATCAGCACCATCAACCCCAGGCCTGATATACATCCACCGTCCAATCACACTTCTCTATTGCCAACAATTCCTCATGCTCTCAAACATTTCATTCCATGTTTTGGATTCAATACATCATGCAACGTCCTAGATATTCCACATCCATCATGCTATCCATCATGAAGTTTACCGAGCAGAATGGTGTGAGATGCTACTGCATGCTCCACACAGAGGATCTTGAGATGCTCTACTGCGACACATGTGGAAACTGGCTACACACCGTTTGCTGCGGATTCCTCAGCAACACAGACAAACGCATCCCCGATGGCGAATACACCTGCCTCATATGTTCCAGTCTCATCACAAAGGTAGAGTGTGCCAATGCACTCTTCAGACAAGTCATCTCAGTCATATACAACGAAAACTTCCTGGGCAGATCATGGCTTTGCAACAGACTCCAGATACATCCCTCAAGAGCATACAAAAATATCCAGAAAATGATCCGCCAGGGCCTTCTCATCCCCACCAAGGCCCACAAAGGCACCGTTCAATACCAAGTGGTCACCACACATGCTGCAAAAAACACAATCAAAAAACACTTCTCCATCTCCGCCTATCCAGATCCTCAAAAACACTCGAACAGCTAAAATAAAACTCGTTTATATCTCCTCCGCTTCAACCTTGTAAAGCTTCACAAACACCCGTGTTCCAAGCGCCTGAGAGTCAAGATTCCTTGTAAACCTTGCACGGACCGCTCCAGACATCCCATGCACCCTGGTTATCACTCCGTGTACTGCTCGTACCTCTCCTTGCTTGTTTACCTTGTAGCACAGCACTCCATTCCCCACATACCGGCCTGCACTTTCCCTGTTTCCCACATTGCTGATGCTCAGCAGCGCATACCTCGGATACAGCCTCCTTTGTCCTCTCTTGTACGAAAAAAACGTTGCAGGAATCGTCGTACGACTCAGCACATCCATGCTCATCATCTCCTCCACCATAGTTGGGGATCAAAAAAATTGCTATCAAAATCCTGCCCTCTAGCTACGCTGCATCTCACAGCCACTTGCCACACATAATCCCATCTGTATCCACAATCATGCACTTCTTTCAAGCACTATCACCATCACATATATATCTTCATGTCATATCGCCACGCCTACTTCAATAGATTGCATCAGCATCATTAGCATTCACAAGCTCTAGTCTCTCATTACTAGCGATGAACTTCCACAAATAGAATACAGGTTGCAAACAATCCCGTCTTTCTTACTCTCTTGGCACACATCAGTCTTGCTGCAAATATACTTCTGCTTGATCTCGCCAAGCGCTGCCCTAAAAATCTTTTGATTGATCTTCCTACTAGCACCAGTGGTGCTATGCTTGATTCCTGTCCGGTGGAAGAAAAACGCACATTCATACGCCATTAGCATATTCTCATCTACATATGCTAGATTGTCAACATGGCGCTTTCTGTACACTTCATACTCCTCCACAATCTTCTCGTAATCAGCAACCATGTGCTTTGCTCCAAGTTGCTTGATGTACTCGCCACTCATCTGTAATCAAGGCAAGGCTCCTGTAACATCCAATTTGTGGTTCCAGCTGACCCTTGATGGACGAACTACACAACAGACTTGCTGCCATTCTGGATGAAAACACCTCACTGAAGCGCAAGGTTGCCGATATGCAGCACACAATCGACTCACAGCAGCACGAATTGCTGACTGCAAGAAAGTCCCGTGACACATCTGCACATCTCAAGAGAATAGCTGAGCTCGAGCAGGAAAACACTCGACTGATAAGTATGCACTGCTGCAAGCACAGCCAATGCAATCAAAACGTAGAAAACATAAATCATATGGCTCAAGAAGGTAAGAACGCCATAAAAAGCAGTCCAGGCACAGAGTGCAGGATTGAACCTGCTGCACACAAGCATGATGAGCCAGATGAGCTTCGCAGATACTTAAGGATAATCCGAGAATACGTGACTGGGCTCACAGGCTACAAGATGGAGTTCAAGGATGGCGAGATCATATTCCATTCGCTGTATGCATTCAACACAGAAGATGTGTTCATATTCAGATACAAGTCAGGAAGCATGGAACTCGTCAATAACGAATTTGCAGGAGCATGGAATGCAGAAATCCAGAACTATCTGATTACAGGAAAGTCCATTCCTGCATTTCTTGCTGCCGTAACGCTGGAGTTATTCAACAAAAAGACATTTGGATAGGGAAAGCATAGCATACCAGACCACTTTTCTTCAGTAGCTTCGCTCAACAATGTACTTACAAGTCGAGCATGCCCAGCTCCAGCTTCTTTACTCAAATAAACAGTATTCCAAACAACTATTTATTGATAATCTCACGTATCACGTATCATGCAGCATAAAAAGAGATTCATGATGCATCACTTCGTATGTTCATCATAGCACTCCTCGTGCATTTGCATCTCGTTCAATCACCGTCTGCACTACCAGTACATGCTTTTCAGAAGCTCAATCACACTCTCAATCCTCAGGTTCGAAAGCACATCGCTTGCTCTGCTGATCTCAGGAAGCTTTTCAATAAACTCATCAACAAGCCTCGATCCATCTCCAATCCTTAGATCAAGAAAGCTGAACGAATCCACAAAGCTGCAGTATCTCCCAAGAATCCCTCCCACTTGCCTCCCCTCATCCTTTCTATATGCATCCTCAACAATCGTCCCGCTCCTAATCGATGCCATCTTCTGCCCAACAAGCTCCCTAAACAGCTCCATGCTGCCCACCATAAACTCATATCCAATCATTGCATCCCACATCCTCCATGTCTTCTCAAATCGCTTAAACAGCGCCCTTGCATTCTCCTCATCTCCTATCTTCAGCAGAAACAGAAAAAACTCCTCCTTAAGAAGCACATTCTCAGGATGCCTTTGCAGCCCCGACGAAAAAATGTTATAAGGTGTTGCTTTGCTTCCAGTAGCATAGTACTCAACAAACGCACAATACACATACACATGAGGCCCAATCCCTCCGCTGCTCAGCTCAATAAACATCTTCCGGAACGCCTCAAGCCCCCTCTTCTTCAGCACATAGCTCAGCCTGTTGATTGCAACAAGATCTGCCTCCCTCTCATGCCTGCCCTCCCCTCCTGCATATCTCCTCTGTAGGTCCACATACACTTCCTCCTCATCCATCACCAGCCCATAGTAAAGCGGCAGGAACATCCCTTCGCTCATCTCAATTCCCCTCTCCACCACCTTCTTCGCCTTTTCCTTCTGCCCTATCCCGATCAAGTACTCGCTATAGAAAAAATACACCTCCTGTGCATAATGAAAGGAATCAAGAACATAGTTGTGTATAAAATGCATCCGCGACTCATAGGCCTTCTCACTCAGCTTCTGCCCCATCTCAGTCTCCACATCAATCAGCTCAGACGCACTTGCAATGCTCCAGCTCCTCACAAGCGGCTGTATCGCCTGGTACCGCTGGAATGTGCTCTGGAACACTGCAAGCATATCGTTCACTATTTTCTTGCCAGTAATCTTATTAAGGTCAAGCTCGAAACTCTCAAATGCCTTCCACAGCTCGCCCAACGACCCCATCGGCGTCTGCAGCGCCTTCATGTATGCACTCCGCATCTTCTCAATCCTCAACTGCTCATCCTCAATCTTCCCCAGCTCCTCAATGTACTCCCTGTACAGCCCACTCAGATCCCAGTAGTGCTCAAACTGCCCAAGCACAAACTCATACACCTCATATAGCTTGAACTTCTTCTGGCTCACCTTCTTCACATACTCAACATACAGCATCCAGAACTCCAGGTCATACGATTTGCGCAAGTACTTGCCAAACAGCCCTTCCAGCCCACGGTGGTCCTTACTTCCATAAAGCATCCGCGCACGCTCCAAAACCTCAGACGGATTCTGTGGCTCGCCTTGTGTTCTCTCTTCCATCAAGGGCCCAAAATTCTCCCCAAATATCCACTCTACACATACACTCACACTTCACTTCTTTATTCCATATCCAAGTACTCCTTCGCTCTTATTCCACTCTCCGCTCCAGAGCACGCCGCAGTCACCGCCTGCCGGTACTTCTTGTCACAAACATCCCCCGCTGCAAAGATCCCCTCAACACTCGTAAAAACTCCCTCCCTTGTTGCAATATATCCGTTCTCATCAAGCTCAACGCCGCTTCCATTCAGAAATGCAGTGTTCGGATCATGCCCAATCCCAAAAAACACTCCCTCCATCTCCATGCTCTTCTCCTCCCCTGTCTGTGTGTTCCGGATCTGGATCCTCTCAACCACACTCGCTCCACTCACTCCCTCAAGCACATAGGGCACAAGAAACTCCACATTCCTTGCATTCCTTGCCTTCTCAACCATGTCGCTCCTTGCACGGAACTCGCTTCTTCTGTGTATAATATACACCCTCCGAGCAATACTCGCCAGGTACAGCGCCTCTTCCATTGCGGCGTCTCCTCCTCCAATAACACACACCGTCTTGTTCACATACGCAAACCCATCGCACACTGCACACGAGCTCACCCCTCGCTGCCAAAACTCCTCATCCCCCGTCCCCGTAACAAAAAGCCTTCGTGCAGACGCCCCAGTCGCCACTATCACACACCTTGCCCTCCGCTCCTCTCCAAACTCACCCACCACAACAAACTCTTTTCCGCTCCTCCTAACCTCGCAGACAGTCTCCTCAACAATCCGTAGCCCTCTGGACAGTGCTTGCTCTTTCATCAGCTCCATCATCCTAGGCCCTGTAGTTCCCTCGGGAAACCCAGGATAGTTGTCCACAGCTGTCGTGGTGGTCAGCTGTCCCCCAGGCCCATTATTGCCAACAAGCCTGCCTTCATACAAAACAGGTTTTCCATCCATAACGTAAAGTGCTGCACTATATGCCGCAGGCCCACTACCTATTATTATTACCTCTTCCATTCAAGGGCTCCATTTCGCCAGCCAATAAGTCTTTCATTTGCATTTCCCATTTCCATTCCGTCAGTATGCTCCTCCACTCCAGCCACAGGTATCTCCCCGCTACCAAGCAAGCACATCGATCCATTCTAAGCACTAAGCACATGCAAAGCATATGCATATTTACAAGCATATAGCCTACTCATGCCACCATCTGGCACACTACACTCTGCAGCATGCTTGCTCTCGTTGCTCATGCCACTCCAAACCCAAACCCAATCTCACTCCATCTTGTTCAGCTCCTTGTCTGTGTCCTTAATAACCTTCTCCGACCGCTCGTTAATTATCGATATGTCATCAACAATCCCCTTGTGCCTTTCAATCTCCCTGTTCTGTCTCTTTGCCTCCTTATTGACCTGCCTCACCGCATTCAGTATCCCCACCATCTCCTTATCCGTTTTGTTCTGCCCTTTCACATACTCTTCTCCTTCCTCCGCAAACATCACTGCCTCTCTACTCTCTTCGTCCACATCTCCCACCTCCCTTGATCCCGCAACATCAGACACATCCCCCCGGTTCCTATGCAGCCATCGCTTTATTGCCCGCACACACGGCAGCTCACAGCTAAACACATGCCCTTCCCTCTCAATATCCTCAGTAAGCTCCGCACCACGTATTGCATTTCTGTTTATCTCCAACGCAGACTTCTTTGCATTCTGCAGCGTCTCTCCCTGCCTCATCATCTCCTCCGTCGTTGCCCTCTGCTTCAGCGCAGACTCGTCAATCTGCACCCGGATGTTCCTTGCCCTCTCATAGTTCTTCTCCTCTATCCTCTCCGCTTCCTCTACCACGTCCTGTGGAACTCCTTTCTTCTTACTCTTCACTGCCCTGTCCAACGAATAAATATCACCAGGCATCCTCTGGATTGTTTACTTCCATTACATTAAAACACATCATACTCAACACAAAACTTTACTCATATCATCTTCTTCTTCTGGAAAAACTTTCGCAGCGAGTACAGCTCATAGAAATTCCCCGCAAATTGTATCATCAGAATCACAACAGAAAACGCAGACACAAACGAAAACATCCCCTTGTGCTTGTAATCAACATCCCGTATGCTGCGCACCAGCTCCTCAGACTGCCTGATCAAGTCATACAACAGGTTATCCAGCTTCGTCATCGCGGCCATTGCTGGCTCAACACTCACTTTCTTTGCAACATCCTTCTTAAACGTGTCAAACTGCGCACTAAACTCAAACTCCACATCTCCAAACACATGCGGCTTCTCTTCATCAAGAACCACAGGCACCAATGTCATATTTAGTGTCTTTGGCGAGCTAATACTGAATGAAAAATGCGTCTCATTATCTGTAGACAGCTTCATGTTCGACAGATACTCGTGCCCCTCTTCAGACTCCAGCAGTACCTTACATGTCGCATTCTTAAAATCAATCGGCTTCAGATATCCTTTGCATATCTTGTTCTCAATCACATCAAGCTCCACCTCCATGCTCTTCCGCTTCTTCATGCTGAATATCTCCCCAAACACAATCCCTAGATACAGAATAAAAATCATGGGCTCTCCAATCAACAACCTATTTCACACCACTGTTTACTGCCATGACATTACACATATATACTCTGCACAAATATTATTCCATCACAGCCCAATCACAGACTACTAGCCGCTTCTCTTTGCAGCACTGTCTATTCCAACCACAACGGGCGCTTTTCTTTCCTTCTCTGCTCTCACAGCAATGCAATGCTCATTCTTTCTCAGGCCAACCTCAAACACAACATCTTGCCTAGAAACACTGCAATAAACTCCTTGCAGAATCCCACACAGAATCTCAATGCACTCCTCAGCCTTCCTGCTGTACTTCAGCACGCAAAAGCCTTCCAGTGTGATAAAGCACACGTCAACTCTCGGCGTGTACGAAAAGTACAGCGGAAAAAAACACTTCGACACACTCTCTATCACCTCGTCAACATCCATCTGGCGTATAGGCTTTGCAAACATAAAGAAGTCGTCCGACATCCGTTCGCCAATCCGCCTTCCTACTTCAAACAGCTTCCTCCTGCTGTTCCCTTCATTCTCCATGCACACCTTGCTTGCAAACGATGCAAGCATCAATGCAAATGCATCCGCCCCCACTCCATGCTCATCACGTCTATTCACCATTTGTTATCCTACCGGGGCTTGTTTGAAGCAAAGAGCCAGCTGTGCATCTGCACTATACATATCGCGTGTTTATTCCTTCCCCATGACAGACACTCAATCCTGCAATTGTACCTGCACAGAAAGATGCAGCTGCATACTTGACAGCGGATGCAAATGCAATTGCTGCAGCGAAACATCATTTGGCATTACAAGCACACATTGCAAGGATGGCATTGAAAACTCACATGATCCGAAAGAATCTTCACAGCGCCACAGTACCATAGAGTTTCTCGACCATCCTGCAGATGTGATGATGCATTGCACAAGCAGCAGTATTCAGAGCCTCTATGAAGCTGCAGTTTGTGGAATGATGCAGTACGCATTCAAGGCACCGTCAACCCCAGTGTCTGCAACTCATGGGAAAGTCACAGTAAACTCACAGGCACACGAAATCATGGTGGCCGATCTTTTGTCGCACTTCATAGACATTCTGTATGCAGAAGGGCTTGCTGTTGTGTCTGCATGCGTATGCATATGCAGTGCTGGCCTTGTGTGCAACTACACAGCAATCGATTCGTCAGAATGTGAGCCACTATGCGAGATCAAGGCGATTACCCTGTGCGGATTGAAGGTGTATGAGCAAGATGGCATTTTCCACATGTACTGCATATTTGATGTGTAGCCGTTGCTGTCAATGCTTGTAGTGATACTATACTGTCGTTGGTGGATGCAATACCCAGCATGCCACCAGGTAAATGGCACTCAGAATGCATTGATGCAAGTAAGTATTTTCAGCCATACCGATACTAACTAAACTAGAATGATGTAATATGAATCTGTCTTTATTACTTATTTTCTGCCTGTGTGTTTTCGGTGACTTCTATGAAGTTGTAGTTCAGTAAGTCCGTAGATGGTTTGTCTTCCCTTGGAGGCTGGGATGTCTTCTTGAGAATGGACTTGAGCCTATTCTTGAATGCATTCAGGCCTGCAATCAGCTTTTCCAGATCCTTCAGTCCATCCGACATTTCCTTGATGTCCCCCTGACTAATCACGATCTCTTTCTTTGTATCTGATGGCTTGAGTAGAAGTGATGCAGATATCGGCGTCTCGAATGTAAGATCTGGCTGTACATCCGGCGGTTGCGAAGCAGCCTTTTTCTGCTTGCTGCCGATGTGCTTTTTGTTTTTACCCGTGATGGCAGTGCCAGATGCTTCTGCAGTGTTTTCTTCGCTTCGCATGACGGAAAGATGCCTTGAGATGCCTTGTAGCGGGTTCTGTCGTTTCACATGGCTACTATCCGAGCCATTCATATCCTTTATGTCTGCACCATGCATTTCATTTTCTGTGCTCTGGTCTCTGCCAGCATCGCTTATTGCTACCTCGAGGAATTTCTTGAAGACATTGTCTGTGGACTGCACCGACGAGTCTTCGTCTTGACTGCATCTTACTGCAAGCACTAATGTTACAATTGCTGCCACAAGCATTGTTTTGTTATGCTCGATGCATTTCATACAAGCTGTTTCAGGCATAGATCATGCATACTTGAGAGCAGCAGCACACAATGCATGATTGATACTACCTCCATATCGGCTTGTGGAATGCTCCTTGTGCATAATGCATGGTATGCAATGCACCCACGGCATGGCGATTGATTTTGTGCCGGTTGCAAAGCAGAAAGAGCTGAGGCATGCACTGAACGCAGTCAGATCCGCAGTTGTTATTGTAAATGGACCAGCAGGATGCTCAAAGACACACACAGTGCATGCAATCGCTGGAGACATGGGATTGTCAGTTCAATACATAGAGAGCATAGAGGAGCACTCGGACGCTTTTATCACAAACAGCACAATCTCTCTTATAGACATCGACTGCCACGAACAGTTCATTCTGTGGATGCCAAGGCTCAGCAAGATGACCCGGCTGATAATCGAAACACGGACACTGCAATTTGCAGGAAAATGCCTTCCTGGCTCAATCACGGTAAACTTCAACAAAATCAGAGGCTTGCAGATCAGAAAAGCATATTGCCTGACATACGAGCAGTCGATACATGTCGATGGTAATCTTCATCTTGCAGGCATCCACAGACTGCTCCTACCAACAGATGCAAGACCCATTTCCGTGTTCCACCAGTTAGGAAGACTCTTGCATTCAAAGTCCACAGACGTAAATGAGATTTGCAGTAGCATGAACGCCTCAGGAAAGCAGAGGTTCTGTGGATATTTGCTAGAAAGCCATGCATTATTCATGGATGCCGACAATATTGCAAGAGTTTCTGATGCATTCAGCATCTGGGACACAGCAAGCAGCATCTTTTTCGAGTATCTTGTATGGACAGTGGTGGACTCAGAAAAGAAAAGCCCGAAGCAATTCTTCAGCTTCAAATCGTTCCAGTACCCAGACAGCCATCATCTCTGCACATCGCTATGCAAAAATAGGTGATGAAATGCTGCTATGAAGCAATGCATAATTGCTGTAAACAAATGCCCTGTGATGAGCAATGATGCTGAATGTGTGGAGCATCAACATATGCATTCTGACTGCACACATAAGCTGCAAACCCTGGTTTGTGAGCAGAACCTTAACGAGCTGGTTCTTGAGTATCTGGACTGCGAAGGGATGGGGGATGTGGCTGTTGAGTTTGCAAACGACGTGGGCATTTCGTTTGCCAAGTCGTCGTCGCTATCCCAGCGAACAGAGATACGAAACGAAATTGAGTCTGGAGACATTGACACTGCGATTTCAAGAATAAACGACATAAATCCGGAGATAATAGACAGAAACACGAATATGTACTATTTTTTGATGGAGCACAAAGCATGCGAGCTTTCCGTGCAGATTAAGAATGCATGTGTAGCCGATGCCACCAATGATGCAGTGCCTCTTCTTGAAGAGGTTATTGAATTCATCCGTTCTGAGCTGTATGACTTAGCAATTGGCGATCTATGCCTGATGGCACACCTAGAGGACCTACTTGAGTTCGTCATTTTTGATAGTGAAGAGAGCGGGATATCAAAGAGAAGAAAGAAGCTAGCTGCATATGTAAACCGACAGATCCTTGAAATCCACGGGGCTGAGGAGAGCAAGCTAAGAAGCATGCTGGCCGTGATGGTTTCTGCAGAAAAGTCCCTGACGGAAACACACAAATTCCCGACATTTGCTCAGTACTTCACATAGCATGTGTCATATGCACAGTCATGCAGCGATATTCAGTCTACCGCACAATGCCTCATGTCGTGCAAAAACTATGTTAATAAAATCAACATCTAGAAAGTATTGTCAGAGCATGTACAGGCACAAAACAAGGTCGTACACAGCGTCTACACCAGAGTAGCAGCGCTTAGTACAAATGGTGGGTGTAAACACACAAAAAGACATTACAAATAAAAGGCTGGTCAGATCACAGCAGGCCAAGACTCATCGTCCTATATCATCAAGCAGACACAAATGTCTATCTTCAACACGGCCCACTGCCTCGACTCGTCATCCCAGCCCTAGGAATCGCAATTGTTGCAAATGGTATCGATTGGTTTACTAAACAAATGATTCTGAATAGTACCTTCGACGCAGGGGTGTGTGTGTAGAACACTTATATCACCGTATGGGGTTGTTTTTCTACGCCATGCCCAATTACATGCATTTGGCATTTACTCGACATATCCGCTGTACATATAGCAAATGTTTACTACAGCACATGGGTGCTGATTCCAGAAGCGTGCTGCCTCTTGAGGAGATCTACAACTTCCTTTCTGCATCTGTGTCTGTTGAAATCTGGGGACTTGATGCCAGTACCAGGCATGCTGGGACAATCGTTGGGTTTGACGAGTACATGAATGTCGTGATTGATGCGAATGGAAAGCGTGTCTTGATCAAGGGAGATTGTGTATGTGCAGTAGTTGCTAGGGACGATGCTGCGCAGAGATAGTGTAGACTTATGATAAAATGTAAGGTATGCATGAGTGCATGCCTGTTGCTGTGCTTCCCGGGAACGAAAAGCACAGATCGCTGTGCCATCAGTAAAGAGAAGCAAGGGCTCCGCTGTGTTGTGTTTATGTGTGATGTTTTGATCTGTGTGAATGAGATAATTAAATGTCTTGGTGTTTGGGGTTGTAATGTTTGTGTTGTACCTTGCATTTGCTGTGTGTGGGTCTTTGAGGAAGGCTCTTCTTGAGGATGGGGATGTGCAGAGTGCGATTGATGCTTGTGAAACAAGGCAGGAGCCGCTTGACCATTTCTATGCATATTTTGTCAAGAAGGTGTTTATGGGTAAGGGAGACGAGGCGCTGGCTGCATATGTGCTGTCGAATGGGGATGAAGCTCGGAGCATGGTTCTTGGATCTGTGGCAATAAACTCCGGTAGCTCAGACAAAGACCTGAAGCTTGCTGCAGACTTGCTTTGGAGAGAGTCCTCAAGGGTGTCCATGAAGTACCTGCGCAATCCGCATGAGTTTGCAGCAATGGATCGGTTTGAAAGCCTGGACAAGAAGTTTTTGCCGCCCAGGGCAGTTTCTAACATTATTACTATGGTCTATTCTGGAGACGAGGCGTCTGGAAGGCTGTTTCTGTCGTTGCTTGATAGGAAGCAGCTGTTATTGAAGGATCATACTCAGACAGTGGTGTATCTTGCACAGAAGGGACATGGACGAGCACTTGGATATCTTGGCGAGATGCATTACTATGGAATAGGCGTGGAGAAGTCTCTTGAGAAGGCGATGTATTTCTACTCGAAGGCGAAGGAAATAAATGATGCAATAGGGATGTGTGGAGTGGGAAAGGTGCTGCTTTCATCGGAGTATATGGACAGGAAGAACGCACGGCATGCACTGGCTCGTACAGCAAGATTCTCACGCTTTGGTGAGATTGAGTATCTGCTGTATCTATTGAACTCGAACAGGCTGCTTTTGAATGCAGAAATCCATATGGAGAATGCATTGAGGCAAGGATATCTTCCTGCAATACACATGGATGGAATGGGATACTACCTGCAGGGCGAATATGCAAATGCATGTGCCAGGTATCAGGCAGTCCTGGAGTACTCTGATTTAGCGGTTGAGTTGAAGAGCATGGCGCAGAATGACTTTGCAGCAGGAAGATACAGACAGAGTGTAATTGGATTGCTTATGTGTGCAGAGCTTGGATCGATGTCTTGCATGCAGAATGCAGTGTATGTGCTTGAGAGGCATTGGCTGTTTGAGAAGCAGCATGAGATTCTTCTATGGCTGTATATGCAGCTTCTTCAGAGAGGAGATCATGAGGTGGTTAATAGGATAGGAGATGCGTATTTCTATGGACGAGGAGTGGCAAGGTCGTACAGGGATGCATTGGCATACTACATGTCTGCAGCACTGATGAATAGTGCAGAAGGGCACTACAATGTTGGATACATGTATGAGCATGGATATGGGGTTGAGAAGAGCCTTATGAGTGCTCTGCGGCACATAATGAGGATACAATCGACGGATGAGGTGTATTTGCTACTGTTCTATACGTATATACGGCTTGGGATGAAGTTTGTTATAGGAAGTGTGCTGAATAGGTATGTGGTGGGGGTTTGTGCAGGATGGATGGGGATAAGAAGGATGTGCAAGATTGGCATGAGGAAGGAACTGAGGGAGAATGCCGGAAAGAAGGACGGGTGAGCTGTATATGTGCGGAGTGTATGCTGAATAAATATTAGTTTTATTTGATGCTGGTGGAGTGTTATCAGTACCAGTATGTGCCGAGTGCAAAGTCGTCGTGTGTTTCAAGATGCTCGGTGTGTGGACGAGGAAGGTCGAAGCTTCTGAATGAAGGTTTTTTCCTGATGCGAATGTCTGTTGGCAGATGAGCAGCAGCATAGAGCAAGGATGGAGAAGGAAGGATTGAATGGCAGTCTGAGGCAGCAGAGTATGCAACGACGTGGAAGTTTCTGCCAGCACATGTTGCAGAGTATGTCTTTTTTATCATTGGGCTTGTAGCAAGCATCTGCCTGTATGCTAGGAATGCGCCTTGGATGCGGGACGGAGACCACGCCATGTCATCGGTCCATCTTCTGATTGTGCTTTCTTCTTCACAGTAGACGAAGACGCTGCCGTGGCGGATGGCTCTGCGCTCGTGGGACGTGAGTCTGCGCTGGATTCTGGGGATGAGGCCGCAGCGAGCCATGTCGATGAGAACGATGCAGTCTGACTCGTTCTCGAGAGTGCCGTAGAATGATTCGATTTGCAACATGTGTGGGTTGCGGCGGGATGCGGATGTGTGTGAGCAGTTGCAAGCTTATTTTGACGATGTGTTGACGTGTGAAGTGGCAGGTGCATGATCGTAATGGCTGAGCTGCAATGTATCGGCAGTGCAAAATATATGAGCCAGGAGGAGCCGTTTTCTGGACATGGCAATATCACAAGGATGTGCTGTGCTGTCTTTGGTTGGTCCTGTCATGGGCAAAAATGGAGCTGCCAGGAATCGAACCCGGTTCTCCTGCGTGCAAAGCAGGCGCTCTACCACTAAACTACAACCCCTCGATGGCACATTGCGCCAGTGACATAATCCACATTGTATCGATCCAGTGACATAATCCACATTGTATCGATCCAGTGACATAATCCACATTGCCATCCCTCTGTCTGTATTGCATCATGCGAGTTTTGGCATTCCATCACCCTTGCATTCAGCCCACCTGTGTGCACATACCGCTTGTATTTTTACTTCAAATGCACATCCCTGCATGTCCAGGGCCCTCACTGCAAACGAGTCCTTTGTCCATAAAACACTTGGCTCCAAGGTCAAGCTTGAGGAAATGGCAGACGTCAAAAACATAAGTATGTTCGTGGACAACATTGCATTCTCCGTGCAGTCTCCGCTTGCATACACCATCAAGGGGACAGACTCAATACTTGTCCTCGGAAACCTTACAAACCCAATCAATATCGATCAGCTGATGAAGAAGCATACTGAGGACTCCGCAAACACGCTCTCTGATGACATCGTCGGAATGTACAGCAGAATAGAAAGTCCCCCAGAAAGCAATGAAAGCAGGCACGAGCATACGGATGATACACTTGGTGCTGACAGCAAAAGACTTTCCGAAGAAGACATCAAGCTGATAAGCTCGCAAATCAGCGTTCCACGGCATGAAATCATCAAGGCGCTCGTGGACTCTGATTACGATGTAGTTGATGCAATGATGAAGCTGACAACTAAATAAAACATCTTCTTTATTTCCGTACCATCTTTGACAACAGCACCTTTTGCATAAACTGCCGATCTTGAGTGTTTGTCCGCTGCCCCATCACCCAGTACTTTGCAATTGCACAAGCCTAACCTATTGAGCAGCAACATAAACATCGAAATGCTCATGATTCAGCGAGCTGTAGTACTTTCTTCTGATTGGATCAATCCTTACCAGCTCTTCCACAGCCTTCTTCCTCTCTTTTGCATCTTTCGAGCAGTCTACGATGCACTGCAACGCACCAATGCACTCGCTCTCAAGCCTCAGTATAGCGTTTGGAAGCGCAAGATCATCCTCCTCTCGCTCAAACCTCTTCTCCACTCCTTCAACCGTCAGCGTAAGCCTACTGGGTGCACGACAGAGACAGATCCTTCTTTTCAGGCACATGGTTGGCACTTCCGACCTGCATACAAGCTGCTCATCCATTGCCTCAACCTCAATTACCAGCTCACCCACAAAAGGCTTCTCAAACACAACCTCCATACACCCTTCGCCAATCCTGATATACATCCCACTCTTCATCCTCCTTGCCTCACGATGCACATAAAGATACTCCCATCCTACAGGACTCAAAGGATCTGTGTACACAATGGAGATAGGATCTTCATCCATGTTGTGATGCAGATACGAATAGTTAAACAGATCCCTTGCTGTCTTATTGCCAATCACCTGCATCCTGTAGTTCCAGCAGTGGAAGTTTCTTGGATCAAAATTTAGCAGGCGTGCAGTAAGTGCATCTTCTTCTCTTGCATACTTCTGCGCCTCTTCCTCAAATTCCAGCATCATAAATCTCCTGTGATTCCATGCCTGGTACGACTTTGGATTGCTCCTCAGTGCATTTTCACATACCGAAAGCTGTGTGCTGAATTCATTGCGGTGTGCCATAAGGTGCTGCTTGAGAATGTTCCACGACATGTAGTCGTCCGTACTGATCTGCACAATTGCCATGTGCTTTTGAACAGAGTCCTTCTGCTCCAGTAGCCTCTTCAGCCGTTCTGTGCATTCCTGGTCTTCGATGTATTCGCCTTCTTTCACATTGTGCACAATCATAGCTGGGGCTTCGGTGCATGCAATCAATGTTGTGCGCATCTGTAAGTGCATCGATTGTAGCATGTGTATTGATATCGTGTGCACTTCACCCTTTGATAGATGGACCGCATTGAGAAGTTTCTGAGCAGAAGGCCGGTCAAAAACAGACGCAGAGTCAAATGCAACGGAAGAGAGCATGTAATAACAAAGGAGGACGTAAAAGCAATTAGGATGTTCAGAAAGAACATCTGCATGGATCCGGATGTTGACCTGTACAGGCCGTTGAATCTGAGCTTCAGCAGAAAGACAATGGATGGGCCAATACTGGAAAAGAAAGAGCGTTCAGATAACAGACAGAGCACGCACAGCACATCAAGAATGCGTAGAAAGAGTAGAGTGAAGCGCATGCCACAAAAAGATTACGAGCAGCCCATTAACACGATATCGGATGTATGGGCAGACGAGGGAATGAACGATCTGAATGCATATGAGCAAGACATCTTTGTAAATGCTGAGGAGCAGTATGCTGGAGTTGTTGAACACCTGTCTTATCGAAGCGAAGATCTTAAAAAAAGCCTCAGAAAGATATACTTGAGGCTGTATGATCCAAGAGAAAAGAAGGAGTTCAGGCTTAGAGACTTTGTGAAGGAAATGCCAAAGCCAGAAACACTTGGCCCTTTTCCAAAGGAAATCGGGCTGTCTTACTGCCTTGAGCAGCTAGCTAGGATCAGTGTTCATGAAAGCCACAAGATGTTTGCAGCATGCAAGGGCAATGTTCTAGAGGTGTATGAGTTTGATGGGTTCACCAAGGTTTTTGAGATTGGGTTTGATTCAGATGTAAGAGCGGCAAGGTTTGCACAGGACGGACTGATTTGCGTGCTTGTGGGGGATTCGGTGTATTTTGTGAGCACTGGGCATGGATTAAGTGGTATTGAGATGATTGCCGATGCATTCAGTGTGGTGGAGCTGAAGCTGAGGAAGCGGTGCATAGGCGGATGGGACGAGCAACTATGTGCCTGTGCTGTGCTGAAGAGCAGCAAGAAAGTGAATAGCATGGAAGTGCATCAGAACGGAAGATATCTTGGAACAGTATCTGGAAAGGAGATAATGGTATGCGATCTAGCGAACTGGAAGGCGATGAAGGTGTGCCTGGACAAGGGCAAAACTCCGTTGAAGATGAGATTCCACAGAACGCTTTCCAGGATAATTGTTTCGACGACCAATTCGATTGTGGTCTACGACCTTGTGTCTCGAAAGACGGTATGCGAGGGTGTAGGAATGTCGTTTGTGCTTGACTTTTGCATTGTGAATGACAGTGTGGTTGCATTAGTAAACAACCTGAGCAAGGTAGTGCTGTATGACCATGTGAGGAACGAGATTGCCAGGACGATGGCTCAGGAGGAGATTGGAATTGAGGTTGTGCACCATAGAAGATACAACTTGATGTGTGTGTCGTATCCAAGCGAGACTATTGTATTCTACAACGATGTTTCGAACGATCTTGTTGTTCCTTTGCACCGGATTCGCGGGAAGTACAGGGACTTAGCATTCCACCCCATACTTCCATGGCTGTATGGAGTCACTGGAGAGACGCTGCATGTTTTTACTTAGTGGTGGCGGGTGCATGATGTGTGTCTCTTGCTCGGCGCATTTGGTGTATTTATATGTGCCTGATAGTGAAGGAAGTGAATGCTGAATGAACTGTTGGCTTGGTTGACGGAGTTTGGACAGTTTATGCTACTGGGATCGATTGATATGATAAGTAAAATTTTACCCATAGGTTTAGGATGCAGATTTTTGTAAAGACACTAACTGGAAAGACCATAACGCTAGAAGTTGAGCCGTCTGACACGGTTGAGAATGTGAAGACGAAGATCCAGGACAAGGAGGGCATTCCGCCAGATCAGCAGCGGTTGATTTTTGCAGGGAAACAGCTTGAGGATGGAAGGACGCTGTCTGACTACAGCATACAGAAGGAATCAACACTGCATCTTGTGCTGAGGCTGAGGGGAGGAGCAAAGAAGAAGAAGGTGTACTTGACGCCGAAGAAGCAGAATCTGAGGAAGAAGAAGCCGGCGCTGTCGTGGCTTGGCAACTTCAGTGTTTCTGGCGACAAGGTGAAGTTGTGTGGAGTGCAATGTGCGGAGTGTGGAGTTGAGGTGTTTTGCAAACGGGTTGAAGGAGGATATGAGTGTGGAAAGTGCTATGCTCGATACGAGAAGAGCATTGCTAGCGATTAAATTGATCTGAGTAGCTTTATGTTTTAGAATTTGTATTTTTGAGGTGTAGGGTGTGAAGTTGGCTGCTGATGAATGTGTAGCATTCTTGCGGCGTGTATTTATGCATTTTGACAATTCATGCTTGTAGCAAGAAAAAGAACGAGATTTAACATGCAGCTGGCGAATAAGAGCGAGAGCTTGCAAGAATATCTAAGGATGTGTCTTTGTCTGATGGATCTACGGTGGATGCAGTTGCAAATCTCGCAAAATGCAGGCTGCCCTTTGATGGCCAGGATCAAGATCAGCGGGGTGCCTATTGAGATGCCTTTTGAGCCTTATCCTGCACAGATAGTGACGATGACCAAGATGATAATGTGCCTGATGTCGGGAACAAGCGGGCTCATTGAGAGTCCGACTGGGACAGGAAAGAGCCTGTCGATTATATGTGCAGTGCTGGGATACTGTGAGTATCTGCAACGAGGAGTGCAGGAGACGAATGCAAAAAGAAGGGGGAGCGGAATGTCTACAGGCGAGGATGTGCGTGAGGAAAAGCTGAAGGTAATAATCTGCTCAAGAACACACAAGCAGCTTGACCAGCTGATTTCACAGCTGAAGAAAACACGGTACAGCCCGAGAATGTCGATACTTGCAAGCAGAAGCCAGTACTGTGTGTGCCCGAAGCTTGCCGATGCAGTAGACAAAAACACGGGATGCAATGATCTTGTGAAGGTTGGCGGGTGTGTATACTTTACGGGCAAGGACAGACTTGCAAAGAGGATAGGAGACAGAGTATTTGACATTGAGGAGCTGAAGATTGAGGGCAAGAGATGTGTTGGATGCCCGTACTATGCATCAAGAATTTTAAATGAGGATGCAGAGGTGATATTTGCACCATACAACTACCTGATAGATCCCAAGATCCGGCAGAGTACTGGGATAGATCTTGAGAACTGTGTAGTGATTATTGATGAGGCACACAACATTGAGGATGTATGCCGGTCGTCTGGATCTGTTGAGTTGACGTCCAGGGCGATGGAGATGATACAGGGTGAGCTGAGCGGAGCAGTGAAGAGAAGTGCAATGCTAGGGGATGTTAAGGCCGACTTTATGAATGTGATGGAGCTGTTAAAGAAGCTGAAGGATGGTGCTGATGGAGGTGGGTTTGACAAAAGCAATGCAGCAGGGAGGTTTCGGATACGCAAGGGAGAGCAGATTCGGAAGGAGCTTGACAGGATGAGTATAGGCAAAGAAGCGGTGTTGAAGTTCAAGAACTCGATTTATGCGATCCAGAAAAGCGAGGATGCAAAAGAGCTGCTGAACATGAATACGTTCCATGTTCTTGAGGGGCTTGACTCTGTTTTGTCGGCAATACATTTCAGCGAGTGTGATGCATATTCATTTGTGCTGCACATGATGGATGACGAAAGAGCAAGGGGAGTGCCGAAGAGTAAGTTTTGCTACAACTTCTGGCTGATGGATGCAGGGCAGGTATTCCGGCCGTTTGTTGGCAAGGTCAAGTCTCTTGTGCTTTTGTCGGGGACGTTGATGCCGTTTTCATCATTTTCTTCTGAGCTTGGGCATGAGTTTTTGCACACGATAGTTGCACCACATCTTGTGAGGGCGGAGCAGGTGTTTGTCTCGAGTGTTCGGAAGGGGCATCTGATGAAGGAGCTTGTTGGCACGTATGGGGCGATGGATGCGCAGTATGTTGAGCAGCTTGTGAAGATTATTGCGGATGTGTCTGGCAGGATCAGGGAGCATGGAGGGACGCTTGTGTTTGTGCCCAGCTACAGCTTTCTTGAGAACCTGCAGAAGAGTATGGGGCCAGGAGTGTTGGTTGAGCCGAAGAGCGGGTCTGGAAATGAATTTGAGAACGTGATGAAAAGATACAAGAGTAGGATTGCAACGAAGCAGAGCGCAGCGCTTATTTGCGTGTACCGAGGAAAGGCAAGCGAAGGGATGGACTTCAAGGACTCGTTTGCGAGAGCAGTTATTGCGATTGGGATTCCATATCCTAGCCTGCATGACCCGCAGGTGGAGTTGAAGAAAGAGTTCAACGACAGGTACAAGAGTCAGAGCGGAAGGAGCTGGTATGAAGCACAGGCGTTCCGGGCAGTGAATCAAGCGCTTGGGAGAGTGCTGCGGCACAAGGACGACTGGGGGATGATTCTTTTGGTGGACAGCAGATACAGTGAAGGCCGGGTGCGTGGGCAGCTGTCTCGGTGGGTTGCAGAGAATGCCAGGAACTATGAATCGTACAACGAGTGTGTAAGAGACATTGAGAAGTTTCTGTCGGTGGAGAGAGGTAAGTAAGAAGCGAATGGTATGCAACTGAGATGAGAGGCAGAGCATAGCGATGGCGGATGCAGAAAGAGTAGATTATAACGGTATGAATGGGATGGAGATGAAAGTGATGGAATAAATGAGGCGTTTGGTAGTTATTGTGAGTTGTTGATGATGGCAAGGCTTCGAGAGTGTGGTTATATTTTCTAGATTTTTGCGGTGTTTTCTGGGAATAAGAAAATATATAAACGTCTGAATTGAAGAGAGTATGTCTAAGGAAAGTCATACATTTGGAGTTGATATGGATCAAGTGCTGAACATGATGATCAAGAGTGTATATTCGTCTGATGAGATGTTTCTGAGAGAGCTGGTGTCGAATGCAAGTGATGCGTGTGACAAGCTGCGAACGCTGCATATGCAACTGAGTGACGAGGGGTATGTGGTTGACCCGGTGGCGTCGCTGCACATTGAGATTATTCCTGACAAGGAGGCGAAGACGCTGACGATCAGGGACAATGGGATAGGAATGACGCGGGAGGACCTGAACAACTACCTGGGAGTGATTGCGAAGAGCGGAACGAAGGGGTTCAAGGAGGCACTGAAGGCGCGGCAAGAGGGAGCAAATGCTCACCTGATTGGGCAGTTTGGAATAGGGTTTTACTCGGCATATCTTGTGTCGTCGAAGGTTGAGGTAGTGACGAGGCATCCGAAGGGAGAGGCGCTGCGATGGACGTCGACAGGGAAGGATGGATACACGATAGAGGAGTATGATGGAGAGGGATTTGCACATGGGACGTCGCTGATACTGCACATCAAGGACAAGAGTGTGGAGTTCCTTGAGTCGAAGAGGATTATTGAGACGGTGAAGAAGTACAGCTCGTTCAATCTGTATCCTATATACACGCATGTTGAGAAGGAGGTTGATGTTGAGGAAGAGAAAGAAGAGGATAAGGTTGAGGAGATACAGACGGAGGAGAGCAGTGAGCCGAAGGTAGAAGAGGTGAAGGAAGATGTGAAGGAGAAGGCAAAGCGGATTGAGATGGTGAAGGAGAAGATCAATGTTGAGAAGCCTCTGTGGGAGAGGAACATCAAGGAGGTTCCTGAGGATGAGATGAAGAGCTTCTATAAGACGATTTCGGGCGATTGGGACGACTTTCTTGCGATGGACTTCTGGCAGATTGAGGGGATAGTGTCTGTGAAGATGCTGATGTTTATTCCGAAGAGGGCAAGGTTTGACATGTTCAACAGGACCAAGAAGAACAACAGCATCAAGATGTACTGCAACAATGTGTTTGTGACTGACGACCTAGGGGATGCTATTCCTGAATGGATGGGGTTTGTAAGCGGAGCAATAATTTCGGATGACCTTCCGATGAACATCAGTAGGGAGCTGATACAGGGAACGAGTGTGATGAAGATGGTGAGGAAGACGCTTCCGCAGAAGATCCTTGAGATGATTGGGAAGCTGGCTAATGATGGGGAGAAGTACAAGACATTCTACAAGGAGTTTGGGAACAGCTTGAAGATGGCGGTTGGGGAAGCGAACGACTCGCAAAGGGATGAGTATGCAAAGTGCCTGAGGTACTACACGACGAAGAGCGGGGACGAGATGGTGACGCTTGACAAGTATGTTGAGGGGATGCATGCGAACCAGAAGCAGATATATGTGCTGACTGGGATAGGAAAGGACCAGGTGAAGTCGAATCCGGTGCTCGGGTCGTTTGAGAAGTACGAGGTGGTGTACATGTACGATGTGATGGATGAGGTGATGCTGCGTGGATTTAAGAAGTATAAAGGGCATGTGGTGCAGAGGATCACAAGCGAGGGTGTTGAGCTGCCTGAGGAGGACAATGTGCCTGAGGAAGTAGTTAAGTCGCACGAAGAGTTCTGCAAGAAGGTGAAGGATGTGCTGTCTGATAGGGTTGAGAAGGTGTCTGTGAACACAAGGCTTGGAGCAGGGGTGCCTGTAGTTATTTCGACGACGAAATACTCGCTGTCGGGAGCGATGGAGAACATAATGAGGTCGCAGCCTGTTACGGAGGCGAATCCACTTGCAGCAATGACGGCGGTGAGCAAGAAGATATTTGAGATGAATCCGAACCACGGGCTGATCAAGAAGATGAAGAGGCAGTTTGAGAGCAACGATGTTGAGTCGATGAGCAAGCTGCTGGAAGTTTTGTTTGACACTGCGCTTATACATAATGGGTTTATGCTGTCGAACTCTAACGAGTTCTGCCTGAAGGTTTTTGACTTTCTTAATGGAGAGAGCGAGCATGGGAGGCCAGACGATGCTGAGGTAGTATAAGAATGATTAAATGGTGTTTCTGAATAGTGTTTGTGGAGAGTATAACGGCATTGTTTATTAGTGCAGAGGTGCATAAATGGGTTGCTGTGGATTATTGCAAGTAAAAATAGCCCAGGGATGGAAGTCGAGTTTAAAGACGAAGTGAAGCGAGTTTTTGAAATAGTCAGGATGAATGTGGCGTTTACAGGAATGGAAGCTACGCCAAGGAATGTTGTTAGTGCAGTGATTGAGACTATTTTGGAGTTAGGAGGGAGGAATGAATACACGAGGATTGATGAGCTTCTTCAGATAGTTCTTGCATACAAGGAGCATGTGGAGGAGGGATTATGTGTCAACGAGTTGATTAGAGTGATAGTAACGAGATTTGATGACGAAGCGATTTGGAGGCAAGGATTCCGCCTGATGAGGCATTTTGTGAATACAGGAAAGCATTGCATTGAGCACATGAGGATTGTGGTGGAAGAGTGCTTTGTGAAGAAAGAGATGAGGAAGAAAGCGACGGAGCTGATTGAAAGCTATCTGAGTGAGAAGAGGTTTTGTGAATGGTTTGTGGAGTACTTGGAGAAGCTTGATGATATAACTTGGGCGAGATATGTGAATTGTTTTTTTAAGCATGTGCATGGAAGGCTTGATGTGAGAAGAAGGCTTGAAGAGATGAAAAGCAAGCTGAGGAGAGGGCCAGGTGGAAGTGTGGATGGAGAGCATGGCTCCTTAGACGATGTAGAAAGAAAGGCATTGTACTCTGAATGTTGTGATTTGCTGTATAACTATACGGCTGCTGAGATGGGCAATGCGGATGTGAACGGGGATGTTTTTGAGTACGTTGTTTCTGAGCTTGAGGACCTGTTTGAGATGGAGCATCTGAGGGGAGGAAAGCTTCTTATGGTGTTTTCTATGCTTTCAGAGAAGGATCTCGGGGAGTTTTTGAGGAGTGGAAGACACATGATGAAGATAACTGCGGGAGTTAAGTGTGCGATCCGGAGGGAGTTTGAAGAGCGCAAGCTGGACAACGAGCAGGTGTATGAGTTTGTCAGGTCGATAAGGCACCTTCTTGGATCGGAATTTCTTGGGCTTGTGAGGGTTATGGGGGAGAAGTACATTGAGGGAGACAACAAGTATCAGTTTATTCTTGGGGCAGTGGCGGTGATGATGGGGATTGAGGAGCTGCTTGGGATGTATGAGGAAGGCTTGATTGATGTTGAGCGATGGGCGCCTGTGATCCGAGCGTCATGCAACAGTGATGTTTCGTTTTTCTTGAAGCTGTACAAGGGAGTGAGTAAGAAGGAAGGCAAGAATAGCATCAAGATGTGTGTTTTGCTGAACTGTCTTCCGGCGTTCTGCAACTATTGCTCTGATCATTATGGAATGGTTGGAGAGTTTATAGATGTGATGAAGACGAGCCTGGGCAACAGGAATGCTGTGAGCTCTGTGTACAATGGACTAAATCGGATGATACACTCGCACCAAGGGAATGTCAAGGGAGGACTGGTTCTGAGGAATAGCATTGCCGTAGAGGATTCGAAGAGGATATTGGAGGCGATTTTTTCGAGTGGGATTGGACTTGAGATTCTGTGCATGGAGAATGGAGAAGGATCTGAGGAGATGGATGTGCTTCTGCAGAGGCTTTTTGAGGTTGATGATTATGGGATCTGTGAGAAGGTGCGTGAGTATGTTGTTTGCCATCCAAGGATAGAGTCTATTGGGGTTGGAAGATGGAACCTGGGTGGAATATGTGATGTGCTGAAGGTGGCGAGATATTTTATTGGCAGGATGCAGAGCGATTTTGAATACTATGGGAAGCTGATTGAGTTTGTGCAGAGAAGCGAGAGTGGGGTTCAGAAGCGAGCGTACCAGCTGCTGTGTTGCATGAAAAAGTCGCAGAAGATTGATCTGTGTATATGTGACAGCATGTTTTCGCATGAGGCTGTGGATGGTTTGAAGGAGTCGTCGTTACGGTGGAGGATACAGCTGCTATATGAGATATATAAGAATGGATGCGGATGTTTCAATGAAAGGAGGAAGGAATACTTCAACAAGATGGTTCCTGCATTAGTTGTTGGGATGACTGCGAAGAATGTAAAGGCAAGGAAGGCAAGCGAGGAATGTCTTAGAGAGCTTGTGGCGATACTTGATGAGGAGCTATTTGAGCTTTATTGCAAGATGCTTTATGTAGGGATGAGGTCTGAGAGTGTGGAGCTGAGGTGTGGGATACTCGAGGCAATGGCTTGCCTGATTGAGGAGCATAGCGAAAGGCTTGGCGATGAGTATATTGGAAGGATGTATGAGGAGTGTGTGTGCACAAGCAGGCTTGGCAAAGAAGGTATTTTGCATGTACTTAGGTTTGTAGATGTGCTTATTGGAGTATGCAAGATAGACTATTCTGGATGTATTGAGATTCTTGAGTTGTATACAGATAATTTCAAGAGAAAGTATGTGGAAGAGATCAAGCAGGTTGTTAGGAAGCTAATTGCCAAGGGAGTGGAGTTGCCCAACAAGCTGGTTAAGATCCTGAATGAACGAAAGCGAAGGACAGCAGTTCCAAGGCTTCAGATAACAAAGAAAAACGATGTGGTGTTTACGGAGCATAAGAGAGGAACACGTGTAGAGCACAAAGGAGGAGTGTGCGCTAAGTCGAAGCACGTGCAACGACGGACACAAACAGGCTATAGGAGTAAGAAATAAAATAAGATTTGACATATGAGTGTGTTGTTAGTGTATTTTGGTTGTTAGAAGTGTGTTGATGGCAATCTAACCAGTGCATGTAGGCAGGAGATATGAGATATGCAAACAGATGAGCCATTAGACAGAATAGTTGATGCTAAGCGGCATTCTTACGTATCTAGCAGGCTGACCCTTGAAATGAATCACATGTACTTGAAGAATCTGTGCTTGCAGCAGTTAGAGGGTGGGGAGAGCTATCTACAGATATTCAAGGATAGTCTGAGCAAATTTGTGTCGTTGGAGATTCTGAATGCGGTTATTTGTCTTGTTATTGGCGACGATGATGAGCATGCTCTTGGAAGTCTACTGGATGCATTCATACGTATGCTGGAGACCAGTGTTATGTTTCACGAAGAGTTTGAGAAATCGGACTTCCACATGATTCTGTTCAGGAGGATACTGAACCATACGAATTACACAAAGCTACGATGCATATACAGTAAGGTTGAGGCGCGAAGGGCACCTACGGCGATTGAAGATATTGAGTTTCTTGGGCGAAACGTGTACAACTACTGCCTTTACAAGAAGATGTATGGCGACTTTCAATTTGATCTTGAGCAGGATGTTGCGAGCCTGGAGCCAGCAGAGGTAGGTGTGTTTCTTGATGTTCTTAGAGAAATATGCATTGATAACAGAGAAAATACAGGCCTGGTCGAGTATCTAAGGCGGATTGCAGGGTCTGTGAATGTGGATCTTTTGCTAGCCATAGCCGATCCGAAGTTCACAATACACTCTACAATGGTTGGGTCCGAGGATGTATTTGTATTGCATCCATCACAAGTGATAGAACTTGATGAGAGGATGCTTGTAAGAATGGTCTTATGTGGCGTTAATGCAGAGCATAGCCAATGTAAGGTGTGTGGGAAACGCGTTTTGGGATGCGATGGCAATGCAGAGGAGTATCTTGATGCAGCATGTGCAGAGAGGTATCTTGGTGTTGCGATTGTAGATATTGATGAGCTTTGCAATGCAGTGAGCCACTGGAAAGCATTCAGGTCGCATAGAGTACTTACTGCATTGCTGAGGCTCATATTCAAAATACAGAGCAATCTTGAGTATTGCATTCATTTAAGATGGTTTATAATTGAGGAAGGAAGTATCGAGGAAAGCACAATGATTACGCTTTTGAAGCATGTCTCGGAAACACTGAGCATTGACGATGTCTCGACTGTTGTAAAGATGTTTCCATACACAGACCGTACACCCAAGGTGGCTTTTTCGTACTTTGCTGTTCTATTTAATGGACTTACAAGGCACAGTGCGAATGCGTTTCTGAAGGACGTGATACTGAATATTGCAATGCGAAGCAAAGCTGAGTTTATGAGGATCAGGCCGATGATTTTTGAATACTACTTGAGTACTACGGTGACGATGGCATGCGAAGCAATGCAATCCGAGCATTTGCAGGCAGAATATGATACGGAATGCTGTGGGAACACTTCAGGTATTCATAGTACAGACGGGCATAGCTCAAAACATAAGGAGCATGTAGAGATCAAGAAAAATGCAAGATTTGAGGATTTTTTCGGGCCGCTTGCACTGTTCTTCTCTGAAGATTGTGAAATGTTTGTCAGGAACAACATGTTTTACATATATCCGATGATTTATTCCATACCTTTATTCAGCAGGTATGTTTCTGATCCTGATTTTTCACGGACGAATGGCCATCTGCTTGTGATATCACTGCTTCTGCAGGGCAACCAGGACAAGGTGCAATGCATGGGGTATGAGGGCCGTGAATTGATGGAGATGGGTGTGGAGGTGATAGCGCCGCTTTTTTTCAGCGGATATTTCAAGTACAGCGTGCTGGAGAGGTTATTTGGGGATGTGAATGGATACATCGGCAGTAACCTGCCAAGGTTCCTGTTTGCACTGAAGAGGATCTATGTTGAAAGGCCGTTTGAGCTCAAGGTATGCGTGTTTAAGGTAATGAAGCATGTGATTGATGCAGTAAATGAAAGCATAAGTGCGGTATCGAACTGCTTGTTTCCGTTTGTTGAGTTTTTTATAAGGAAGCATGAGGATGAGTGCGGAGTTGATTGCAAGAGTGTGTTCATTGAGTACTACTCGTCGTTTTTTGATGCAAAGCAGTTTATGAAGTGCATGCCAAGGATATTTCTGTACATGGATGTTGAGAGGATAGTTGAATGGAGTAGCATTGGAAGGCGGGACGAATACTTGGACCTGATATCTCGTCTGCTTGATGCCAGGGGATATTTTGTGCAGGAGATTGCAACAACAAAAGCTGTTGAGCTTCTTGAGCGGATGTTTATGGAACAGCAGGCTTTGGGTGCATGCGGTGTGAAATTAAATACAGCAGGAAATAATGCAGCGGGTGTAGATGCAGCTGAAGCTGAGCGTGAGGAAGTGTTTGCCAAGAATATGCTGAGGTGTTTTTTTACAGACGAATGCTTTCGAGTGAAGATAGGTGATGTTTACAAGAAGCTGCGAATAGTTGATGGAAAAAGTGCATCTCTGATTGGAAGCATATCAAGGAGGTATTTGCCTACGGATCCTCTGTGTATTGATTCGGAAGTGCCTTGCATTGAGTGTAGCAGTGAGTCAATAGCAAGTGTGATGGTGGAGATGTTTCTGCTTGAGATCAATCCCAGGAAGCAGGACATCTATTTTTTTGTGATACAAGAAACACTGAAGTATGTGAGTAGGAGGTTTGATAGGAGTGTGGAGAGCATAATTGAACAGTTTAGAGGCACACAGTACTTTTACGAGCATTTGCCTGCACGCTCTACTGAGAAGATGTACGACAGGACATATGCATTCAGGCGATTTCTTGAGAATATGTATGGATGCCTGCTGTATAAGCTTGATAAGCTGGGCAAGCAAGAGTATTTTGATCTTCTTAAGTATGGAGGCCTGCTTGATGAAGGGTTTCTTGAGTTTAATTGCCTGTGTCTGTGCAAGATGCTTCTAGAGTGCGGAGACAGCAAGGTGTTGGAGGTCACGACTGAGATTGCCGATGATCTTGATGTGGGGATTGATGCCATGATTCCGAGGTTTGTTCTTAAGCTCGACAGGTTTTCAGGAAGAAGATACATTGATGAGAAGCATCTGCTCAGGATTGCTTTGTTTCTGAAAGACTACTACACAGCGATCCAAGTGCTTGAGAAGATGATTAGGAAGGAAAAGCACAGAAGTATGTTTGATCTGTTGCAATACGGTTACTATATGATTGGGGATTATGGTAAGGTTATGGGAATCAGCTCGATGTTTGCAAGGCCGAATGCAACAAATCTATTTTTTGGGTTCTGCATTGATAGGAACTTTGAAGCAGCAAAGAGATGTTTAGGCCTGATTGGCAAGCAGGAGGGTGAAGATGAAAAGATGAGGTGGGATGAACGAGTTGATGCTGGCAAGCTGTTTGAAGAGGTTGTTGGCAAGATTGATGATGAGATTGCAGTGTTTGTGGCTGACTGCAAGCGGATTGAGGGTGAATTTTGCAGATGGAAGGAGCTGAATGGAAGGTGTGAGCTGTCTAGGCATTTTATAAAGGACTGTGAGCTTGTTTCAAAGAGCAGGGATGTGCTGTCAACGCTGGGAGTGATAGCGGGAAGGCGAGACCTTGCGGACAATAACATGATGCTTCTAAGGTGCCATTTGAGCTTGTCAGTTGGAGTGCGAAGTATGCTTGAAAAAGCAGACAGTGATCCATATGATGCGCTTGTAGACATTATTGGTATATATAGGGGAGCTGAAGACGATGAAGAGCATAGCCAGCGATTGAGCAACGATTGCAGGGGATGCTTTGAAGACCTTGCATCGATTGGCAGCAGGAGCATTAGTGATTGCTTGAAATTGCGGAGACGCATAAGTAATAGAGATGGCGGCGCCGGAGACACAGAGTGCTATGAGTCTTTGAATGATTTTGAAAGGGATGTAAGGCTTGAGATGATTAGAAGGTATAGGATTGAAGGGGATTCAGCAAGATGTGCACAAGAAATTGGAGACATGCTGCTGAGGAATGACTGGGCAGTTCTGTATGAGCTTGCAGAGCTGAAGGTTGCACAGGGAAGGATTGGAAATGCAAAGTCAGCGCTGAAAAAGATTTTGGAGCTGTTTCCAATGTCCTCGATGCATTACAGAAGGGCGCTTGTGAGGTATACCGAGCTGGTTGATACAAAGGCTGCATATGAGCATGCATTGTCGATACTGGGTGACAATGGACGACTACTTTTGCTTGGTGCAAAGCGTTTTGAGAGCACGGAGGCGGTGAAAGCAATGGGTCTGTACATAAGAGGCGTTGAGTGTGACAGAGCATTGTGCGACGAGGCGATTCCGAGGATTTTCCATCTGTTTTCCGAGATGAGCTCACCGAGTGACACCAGTACGGGTGCACGTCTTCTGAAAGGGTTTGTGCAATCGAGTATGGCGCTTCTTCCACCATACTACAACCAGATTCTTTCAAGGCTCAGCCATCCAAATGCCGAGGTTGTGGATGAGATCTGCAACGTTGTGTATGTGCTTATGGAGAATTACCCGAACGAAACGTTCTGGAAGTCGTTGATAATGGTGAACTCGCAGGTTCTGAACACCCGAAGGAGGATGGACGGCATAATGGCCAGGCTGTGCTTAAATAACAAGGTTGTATTTTCAAACATCAAGAGAGTGTCTGAGATGCTGATTGAGATCTCAAAGTGCAAGAAGAGCAGTATGTCGATGATTGCAGACTTTCCTGCGTTTTCAGGTATGTTTCCAGCAGGTGTAGTAGTGCCGAATACAAATGTGCTGATAAACGGGGTAAGGAATGAGGTTGAGGTGTTGAACTCGCTGCAAAGGCCCAAGAGGATTTGCTTTGTTGGCGAGGATGGCAGGATGTACTATTGGCTGTGCAAAAACCAGGATGATCTGAGGAAAGACAGCAGGTTTATGGACCTGAACAACATAATCAACAACATGGCGAAGAAGAAAGAGGGCGAAATGTATATCAGAACATATGCAGTCATTCCGTTCAATCACGAAAGCGGAATAATTGAATGGATTGAAGGATTGAGTTCGCTGAAGGCGATCTGTGAGGAGTACTATACAAGGGAGGGCGTGTCGATTTCTGAGGTGGCGCGCAGGTTTGCAAAGAGTAAGAGAGTTGGGCAGAAAGACTGGATGGAGACTGTGATGAGGTTTCCGCCGAGATTCCACATGTGGTTTTATGACAACTTTTCGAATCCGTTCAACTGGCTTTTAGCCAGGAACAACTTTACTAGAACATATGCAATGATGAATATTGTTGGATGGTTCATGGGCCTTGGCGACAGGCATGCTGAGAACATTCTGTTTGACTCGAAGACGGGAGACACAATCCATGTTGACCTGAACTGTATTTTTGGAAAGGGGAATGAGATTTCTGTGCCGGAAAGAGTGCCTTACAGGCTTACGCAGAACATTGTTGATGCATTTGGCGTGATGGGACTTGAAGGGCTGTATAGTGATGCGCTCTGTGGCACACTGGAGTTGTTTCTTCGGAACAAAAACGTGCTTGTGTCGAATCTGCTGTCGTTTGTGTATGATCCTTTGTTTGAATGGCGAAGGAAATCGGTAGAAATGCCAAAGAAGATCATTGCTGAGCTGAGCATCAGGCTGGAGGATTTAGATGCAAGCAGCAAGTGTGAAACGCTTAATGAAGAAGCGATGAGCGATGAAAATCTATGCATGATGTATATTGGATGGCTGCCTTTTATCTGATATCCTTGGGTCTGCCACAGATTGTATCAGCACGCGAGGAGGCTTTGTAGTATACAAGGCAAACGTAAGGCTATTGCGTACTAGAGGACTGGGTACGATGGGAACAATTAAGCCATACGAACTGAAAGGAAAAAACTGATGCAGATACATGGCATGGTAGTATATGTTTACTTTTCAAAAAGATCTTGGATGTCTTCGACGAATCGTTCGTGGATCAGCTTTCCATCTGAATCAAACAATTCAAAAATTGATCTTGTGTACTTGCTTGGGGTAGGCTGATTGATATCATGCACAATAACAGTGTATATCGCATCTGATGCATTGATTGTTGTGGACACAACCTTAGTGCCGAATACCATTGACTTTCCATTCCATCTTTCGTAGATCTCCATTAGTATGTTTATCACAAAGTATACCACGACCAGCACTGCCATTATGCTTTTGTGCTGCTTAAATTCGGATGTTATTGACATATACATTGTTGCGGCTGTGATTGCAGCAGAAGCAAGCCCTGTGATGATCTTGATGTCTGCAGGTACAGTTGACTGCCTTGAGTTTTTCACAGTGGCCATGAACTCCTTGATCACATCATCAAGAATGATCTTCAGGTTGATGAGGCAATAAACATCGCCAACTAGTGGCTGCTTGTTGTACTTGGCTTTCAGGATGTCCATTCAGGGTAAATATTTTGTGGATGTTAACAGCATGCTGCACACCCCAAATGGATTCAGATCCACAGTCATCTGCATTTTCTTTTTACGATGCAAGCCAGGATACACAGATCAATCTTACGCCTTCGCAGGACGACCTCAGTTCCACATTTACTCCGATGGTGGAAACAGAAAGGGTCAAGGTGGTGTGGGGAACGACAATAGATGTGCACGAGACAGCAGAGCGGTTCAAGGAGTTTGTGAGAAGGGAAGGAAGATATTTTGACGCTATTGAGCAGATGGATCTTACCGAGGAGTTTGTGTTTGATCTTGACTGTACAGACCTTGAGGATGAATTGAGGCGGCAGGTTGAGATGTATCCGCAGGAGGTGCTGCCTATATTGCAGAACTCGTTGCAGGAGGTGTTTACCGAGAGCTTTCCGAGCTTCAGCCGGCAGATAAGGATTCGGCCGTATGGGGTTGGCGATGTGGTTTCCATACGCAACATCGATCCCGACAGAATCGATCGTCTTGTGCAGGCAACGGGAATGGTTGTTAGAACGTCGTGTGTGATTCCTGAGATTACAAGGGCGTTTTTCAAGTGCCTGAGATGCATGAGGGAATGCTTTGCTGAGAGTGTGAAGAATGTAATTGAGGAGCCGAGCAAGTGTGAATGCGGAGGGAGATATACGCAGCAGATTGTGCACAACAGAAGCGAGTTTGAAGACAAGCAGGTGGTGAAGATCCAAGAACTGCCTGAAGGAACGCCGGATGGAGCAACTCCGATGACGCTTACTGTTGTGTGCAGGAACGAGTTTGTCGATGAGCTTGTTCCTGGAGACAGGGTGAGGATATCTGGGGTTTTGAAGGCGACGCCGGTGAGGCTGAATCCTGTGATGAAGAAGATCAAGAGCTCGTTCAGAGTGTATGTTGAGCTGATGAACTACAAAGTAGAGAAGCGGAAGGAGAATGAGGAAGGGCTTATTGGGCGGATTGATGATCTTCGCAGGAGACTTGATGTGTATGAGGTGCTGGCGAACTCGATAGCACCATCGGTGTGTGGGATGGATGATGTCAAGAAGGCGCTTCTTTTACAGCTGTTTGGAGGAATAAGAAAGGAGCTTGGAAGCTCAAGGCTGAGGGGAGACATCAATGTGCTGCTGGCAGGAGATCCTGGGATATCTAAGTCACAGCTGCTGGGGTTTATACATAGGATATCTGAACGGGGAATATACACGAGTGGTCGTGGATCGAGTGCCGTGGGGCTTACGGCAAGTGTGTCGAAGGATGTTGACTCTGGGCAATACATCCTGGAGTCTGGAGCGCTTGTACTGTCTGATGGGGGCATATGCTGCATTGATGAATTTGATAAGATGAGTGAGAATGCAAGGAGTGTTTTGCACGAGGTGATGGAGCAGCAGACGGTATCTGTTGCAAAGGCGGGGATAATAACAACGCTGAATGCAAGGTGTTCGATATTGGCAAGTTGCAATCCGATAGAAAGCAGGTACAATCCGAAGAAGAGCATTGTTGAAAACATCAACCTTCCGCCGACGCTGATCAGCAGGTTTGATGTTGTCTGCCTGTTGATAGACAAGCCAGATGAGATGCATGACCGGGAAATAGGAGAGCATATTGTGTCGATGTATTGCGAGCCTTTGAAGAGGAAGGAAAGCATTGATGTTGATTTGTTCAGAGCATATGTGAAGGAAGCGCAAAGAGTTATGCCAAAGCTGACACCGGAGAGTATGAAGGAGCTAACACAATGCTATGTTGATCTGAGGCAGCTGGACAACGGGAAGACCATAACAGCAACAACAAGGCAGCTGGAGAGCCTGATAAGGCTAAGTGAAGCGCATGCAAGGATGAGGTTTTCTGAAACCGTTGACTGTGTGGATGTGAAGGAGGCGGAACGGATCATCAGGGAGAGTCTTTTGATGTATGCAATTGATCCCTCTACCGGGAAGATTGACATGGATATGGTGATGACTGGTAGAAGTGTATCCAGGAGTAGGATGATGGAAAGCCTGAAAGAGGCGATTTTGCTGATGGCCGGAGACAGGGCCAGTGTTGCCGAGGTGATTAAGCATACTAGAGCGGATGAGAAAATGGTCAGAGAAGCGTTGGACGAGCTTGTATTGGAGGATAAAGTTGCCCTGTCTGTCCACGGTGATTGTTATGAGAAGATAAATACAAATTGAGTTTATTGTGTGTCGTCTGTGTATTTGCGAATATGACTGCATTGCATGCATGTGCTTGGCTGATTGCTTAGGAAGTGAGTGAAATTAATGATGACGCTATTGACGAGCTTTGTTATGATAGATCCACCAGCAATAGAATCTTTTCCAAGGGCTGATGGATTTATTGTCGATGCCTTTGCGGCTGTTTATTGCTTGCAACTGCAAAGTTTTTAGTTTATTGTTGTCTCCAAATAGCACTGACTCCTCTATCAGGTTTTCTATGACAGCAATTGCCTTTTCAAGGCACTCTTGGGTTTCTGAAGTGATGTAACAGTGCAATGGCTCCATGTGCTTGTCTTTGTACGACCCTCTGATGTATATTCTTGATTTTGTGATTCTTTCAAGCTGCTTCTGTGTAGAGCCCTTTGGGCCCAGAATCAATCCAATAAAGTTGCACTCTGGAAATTCCTGGACAGGGATGTACACCTTACTTGAGAAGAGTGTTCCTGAAGCAGAGGCGCTATGACTGAGTGCATGGGTGTTTATTAGTTGCTGCCGTTTTGATCTGAGCCATGCAACAAGGTTTCTGTTGCCTAGTGTTGTAAGATCTGCTATTCTCCTGTTTATTTCGTCCATTCTTGCATCTGTTATGAGTTTCTTGAGTGTGCCGGTGTCTGGTGCCTCGAGCGGCAGAGTGATTATGCCAGGAGCAGTGAATCCCATGGGAGCGTTGAGAAAACATTGTAAATTTTTGCTCCCTGATGACGAGTATATCGAAATGCAACGAGGTTGTGTTTGTGAAGAATTACTACAATGCACTGTGCAATAAGCCTTCAATGATACAGAACTACTATGTGAATGGCTCGAAGCTGACAATATGCAAGGAGACGGAGAATCCTGATGAGTGCAGCGAGGGATTTCTGAAGTATATCAAGAGTAAGATGGTAGGCGTGCTGGCAAAGGTGCTGGTGTCTCACATGTCGTATCAGAAGATAGATGAGGAAAGGTCGATTATCAATGTGGTGGGGCAGTTTGTGTATGGCGATAAGACGCAGAGTAGAATAAGCCATCAGTTTGTTATTGTGAGGATTGAAGGGACTATGTATATCAAGAACGAGATCCTGACGTTCTTGAACGAGGATGTGGTGTATGAAGCGGGCGAAGGAAGGGAGATAGTTGTTGAGTGTGAGAAGGGCAAGGCCATGGAGGGCATAGCGATGGTTTATGGAATGGCTGGGATTGATTCGATGCGAATTGGAAATGATGGAAAGATCAGCATGATGCTTGGAAGCGAGGATGATGTGGGCACGATCAGGAAGAATGCACTGAGCTTCACAGAGAAGGGATTTGGATTGAAGTTTGTATCGAGAGATGGCAAGGAAGAAGAATAATGAGAATAAATGGTATGTTTTAAATGGTGTATGAAGGTCTAGTTGATGGATTAAAGATAAAGATATTTGTTGGGTGGAATGAACATGGAAGAAGAGTAACACAAAGAGTAAGTGTGAAGCAGCATCGATGAAATTTGTGTGGTAAGGCAAATATGTGAATTGAGAACACCCTGCATTGGATGGACGAAGATGCACTTGCAAAAAGGTTTGTGGATGCATATAGCAGAAGGATGGAGCTCCATAGGCAGAGAATGATGGCTTGCGAGAGAATAAACAGAAAGATGGTTGATCAGCAAGTGCTCCGACGAGCGATTGAGAAGAGTAGAGGAATGAACACAAGTGATCTTCAGCAGAATCAAAGTGAGCAGGCCGCAATATTTGGGACAGGAGCATACCGACTGTCGCTGATTGAGATAGGCAGGCTGCCCGTCGAGGATCCTGAGAAGTTCCATACAGAAACAGCCATATATCCAATAGGATATGCATGCAGGAAGAAGTATCGAGGACACGACACATACAACAAGAGATCGAGAGACAGAATTCTTTACATCTGCAGTGTTGATGCAGAGAAAGGGCCTGTGATAACGGCTGATGATGGAAGGGTGTGGCAAGGGCCTGGGATGTGGGAGCAGTTTGTGAACAGCATTGGGAATGTGGTTGAGTATAGGAACATGGAGGAGTTTTTTGGATTCATAAATCCTATGTTAGCCAAGAAGATTGAATCTCTTGGGGATGTTTCGATTTGTAGACGATATGTTCCATGGAACAAAAGAGCCAAGCTGTGATGTGCACGGGAATTTGTTGTAGCATATCGTAATGACTATGAATGCAATATCTATTGTGCTAGCCAAGTAATAAATAGGTGCTGTGTGAATTAAGCATTTAATGAAAGAATTTATTGAGATTTGGTACTAGAAAGCCATCTTGACAAACAGTATGATGGCCAGTAGGATAAATACAAATGAAACAATGTATCTGATTGCCTTAATCTTCCATCTTTTTCTACTTATCACGGCGTTCATTTCCTGGCTTGCCATGGCTGTGTATCTTTCCGCATCTTCAAGATATTGTGCAATGTTGTCAATTGCAAGCCTGGCATCCTGGACTGTGTGGTCGATGTAGTCTGCAACCGAGATGATTTCGTAGATGCCCTGCTCCAGTCTGGACACAGAGCTTTGCCTCGCTATTGATTCTATGTGTGCCTCGCATGCCGATATTTCCAAGTCCAGCTCTCTATACGGCATTATGCCCCTATACCTGTTAATAAGCAGGGAATACTGCCTTAGTAGTCTCGATGGCTGCTGACCAGATTCAATCAACTTATCACAGAGCTGCACTGCATGCTCCATTGCTGCATAATTCTCTTTGCATGCTGCACCACCGCCCTCAACTTTGCTCAGATGCAACTCAAGCTCTTTTAGAACCTCAGCAAGCATGCTCGTCGTGAATCAAAACTCGTGCTGTTTACATTTGCAGCATACCAACTTGAAACCGCATCTCACACAGACCAAATAAACACATCAATTACGATGGAAGGGTATATGAAAACAAGCATCGGCAACGCATTCGTTCGCATACCAATCAGGCACAACGCTTTTTCTCAGTCTCTGTCTGCACTATTCCAACCAGCACATCAATTGCAATGTCAAAGGCGCCATGCTTAGCACTCGCATCTTGCGTCCAGGTATCCTTTGTAGCCAGAGACCTTCGCTTCGACAGTTGCCTGGCATTCTGGAACCACTTCTGAACAGACTTCGGATGCACATTGATCAAAAGCGCAATATCAAATACGCTCTTTGGCGACGGAAATCTTGACATCTTAAATACACTGTTCAGAATGCATGTCTGTAGCCTTGTCTTGCGGAGCTGCTGCTCAGACACATCTATTTTGTGCATCCAGCCAAGCTTCATCAACCCCAGTGCCGCCTCCAGCTCTCTGCACTCCATTACTCTCCCACCATCAATCATGTCGGCCATTTATGGGTCTGTTCCCAAGCGTCACATCCATTTATGCGTTGATATATTAATTATTAACAGAGCATCATCAATATACCTTATAGCCTATGCAATCATCAACTGTATATCCTGCAAATATTAATAATTCATTTAATAACCATTAGACACTTCCCATGCACTGTCAATCCGGCCTTCAACGGTCTCACAGACGACGGTGCTTTCTCACGCTCATGAGCACTGTTTGCAGTATTAGTCGTCAAACGGCTTGCTTAAATATCAATTTCATCCTCCATCAGCATTCAGATCTCTTCTGCTTAGTGAACGGCATCATATTGAATACAAACAATGCATCGCAGTAGTAAAATCCAATCCTTTCAAACTGAACAACCTCGCCTTGCTTCACGCGCATAGCTGCAGACTCCACATACCAGTACTCCCTTCTCATCGAATCATTATTGAATCTCTCAGCAAGGTCCTCGCTTTCCACTTCATTCATCAGGCTTCCATACTCCACAAACTCTGCAACCATGCTTCCCTTCTTTGATATCCATGATATCTTGTTCTTTGTCTTCTTGAAGTCTCCTTCAAGGTGGAGCTTCACTACAATTTTCTTTATCACCCCATTCTCAGCCGTCTTGCTCTTAACTATCGCATTTCCCCAGTTCATCAATGTAAACTCCTCGCCCTCCTCCAACACCTGTCCATCCTCTTGCGAAAGCAAAACACTTTTGGAATAAAAAACCTCCTTCATCCCAAGCCCTACATTCTTCTTGTGCAGTGGTATGTGCATCGAATAATCGTCTGTTCCTTCCACTTCCACCTCAACCACATCCTTGTATCGCACACACAAATACCTTGCTGTTGCTGGATCAACCTTCTTCTTATTAATCGCCCATATCTTGTCCCATGATATCACTGCACTCTTCTGAGACATTCCCTGCATCAGAATATACTCCCTCAGCCCCTCCATACTCATCCCAAGCCTCCTTATTCCTGCTATCGTTGCAAGCCTTGGATCATCCCACCCACTCACAAATTTATTCTCAACATAGTACTTGAGGCTCCGTTTGCTCAAAACAGTGTTTTCAAAGCACAGCCGAGAAAAATCATGGATCTTGGGCTTGTTATCAAGCCTCAGATTCTCAACAAACCAGTAGTACTGCGCATTCCTGTCCCGGTACTCATTCGCCCTCAGCGACAGCGTCACCCCCTCCAGACTATCAACAATCGGGCACGAAAAGTCATATGTTGGATACACCTTATACCGTATGCCAGTTCTGTAATGCTCGCTGTGGCACACTCGGAACATCACCGGATCCCTCATTGCTTTATTCACATTCGACATGTCCATCTTTGCTCTAATGCAATATCCCCCTGCATTTCCTGCAATCATCTCCTCAAAAATCTTTCTATTCACCTCTGTGCTTGCATTTCTGCACTGAGACTCAATTCCCTCTCCCCTTTCCTTCCTCATCTGCTCCAGCGGCGTGTTATCTGCATATGCCTTGCCCTCTTCAATCATGAAAAACCCATACTCAATAATCTTGTCAAAATAGTCGCTTGTATGCGACACCGTGTATTCTACTATCCCCAGCATCCCAATGTCTTCCAAAATCCCTTCTTCAAACTCCTCCCGCTCCTTTTCAGGATTCGTATCGTCAAACCTCACTATCAGCCTTCCTCCATCCTTGCTTGCAAAGTACCAGTTCAGCAGTGCTGCCCTTGCATGCCCTATGTGCAATCTTCCATTTGGCTCCGGTGGAAACCTCGTCACCGCCTTCACAGAAGACACGCCTATTTCCAGATTCCCCTGGTCGCCCTTGAATGCAGTGTTGAACTCCTTCAATAGATTCTTGTTTGCTTTAAATTGCTCTGCATACAGCTCACACACATTTATGAACTTTTGAATCTTGTTCTTATCCTTCATTGCCTTGCTCAGTACTTGGTTGATGTTGATCATCCCAAAAATAATGTCTCTCAGCTCATACGAGCTGATCCTTTCCACAAACGGATCAAGGCGTTCCAGGAGCTTTATTCCCTCCTCCATGGAAATCGATATGGCATATGCATCTAGCACACTCATCAATCCATCAGGAACATGATCTTTTGGAATGCTATTGAGTGCATTTGCATACACCGGCGGGTCAAATGCATCAATGCCGTACTTTCTGTTCAGGATAAAGTTTATAAGCTCTTCTTTGAGTTCCCTCTTCTCCATGCTCAATGGGCTAAAAATATTTCACTGCCACATGTGAGATGCCTGGCACATACACGCATATGCAGTTGAGTGTTTGTAAAAGCATGTAAAATGTATTTTCTGCATGCGAATCATCCAATGCATATGATCGTGCATGCGTTGTTTGTGCCGTATTGTATGCATATAAGCTTTGCATTCATGCATAGCCAAAGCCAAAGCATTTTGTTCAGGTACGCACAAACTCAGAAACCCATGGCGGGCAGAGTTCTGTTCATTGACTTTTGCAAAGTGTTGGAAAGAATCAGCCTGACTCCAAAACGCTTGGAAATCCAGAATATCTTGACCGATCACCTCAAGGACGTATACAGAGATGCTCCAGAAGCACTGGTTGCTGTTTTGTATCTCTCCACAGCCACTGTGTATCCAGAGCATTTCAACATTGAGCTAGGCGTGGGAGAAGGCATGCTGATGGGAGTTGTTGCTGAATACACAGGCAAGTCAGTTGCAGGCATTAAGGACGAATACTTCAAAGAGGGAGATTTAGGGATCGTTGTAATGAAATACAGAGTATCTCAACTGTTCATCTCGCAGGTACAACTTGATGTGCAGGCTGTGCTTGACGGGCTAAGACGAGTGTCTGCAGAACAGGGCACAAAGTGTGTTGCTGTGAAGAAGATGATCATTCTTGGGATGATGTCGAAGTGCTCGCCTCTTGAAGCAAAGTATCTGGTCAGGCTTATCGAAGGAAGGCTCAAGATTGGGCTGGCATTGAAAACAGTGTTGATAAGCCTTGCTGGAGTGTTTTCAGAAGATATGGCATATGAAGTCAAGTCTGCATTTAACCGGCAGCCAGACATTGGAAGATTGGCAGAATGCGTTGTCGATCATGGAATTGCAGGCCTTAGAGAACACTTCCAGGTGACGCCAGGAATTCCACTGAAGCCAATGCTTGCGAACTCTTCGAATGGAATAACAGCAGCATTCAAAAAGGTTGAAGGGCTTGAGTTCATCTGTGAATACAAGTATGATGGAGAACGGATCCAGATCCATAAGTATGGAAGCAAAGTGGAAACATTCAGCAGGAATTCAGAAAATAGCACTGAGAAGTATCCAGACCTGATGGATGTGTACAATGTGTGTGAAAAGGACTTCATTGTTGACGGTGAGGTGGTTGCATACGACAGGAACGAGAAGAAGATCCTGCCATTTCAGACATTGACAACAAGAAAGCGAAAGAGGGTTAATGAAAAGAAGATAGATGTGTATGTGTGTGTTTTTGTGTTTGATTTGATATACTTTGATGGGAGGTCGTATGTTGATGAGCCGCTGGAGAAGCGAAGGAGCACCCTCCGCAATGAGTTCAAACAGATTGAGGGCAAGTTCTGCTTTGCAGAGTCAGTGGACTGCAAAAAGGCAGAGGATGTTGAGCAGTTTTTTGAAAAGTCTGTTGATGGGAATTTTGAAGGCATAATGATGAAGACCCTGGGCACTGATGCTGTGTACCATCCATCGCAGAGAAGCAACAAGTGGATCAAGATCAAGAAGGACTACCTGGAAAGCATGTCTGATTCGTTGGATTTGGTTGTTATGGGAGCATACTATGGAAAAGGGAAACGAACAGGATGGTATGGTGGGTTTTTGCTTGGTGTGTATAATGATGAGGATGATAAGTTTGAGAGCCTGTGCAAGATAGGAACGGGGTTTGCAGATGCATCTTTGGAGAACATATATGAACAGTTGAACAGTAATTTATGTGCTGCACCGAAGAATTATGTATACAAGGACAGTGCCAAGCCTGATGTGTGGGTGGAAGCGAAGTATGTATGGGAGGTTAAAGCAGCTGGCATTTCGGTCTCGCCAACATACTGTGCTGGTGCAATGGATGGAAAGGGAATGTCTTTGCGGTTTCCAAGGTTTGTGAGGGAGCGAGGAGATAAAGATGTGAGGGATGCAAGCACGTCTGCACATATAAGGCAGATGTATCTTGATGCAAATGTAGAGGATTCTGAGGATTTTTGCTGAGATGCACAGCAAGTAATTGGAATGCAGGAGCACAGCATGATAAGAGGACCTGAAAAATTTATGTTGTGTTTGGACTCACCCCATGGACCAGACAGGAATCAATTACAATAATGGCCATGAGGTGGATGAGGAGATGCATCCTGGGTTGATTGTTGATCAGAGTGGGTATTACAGATCCACAGTTACTGCTGTTCCGGAGAAAGACGGCGCTCTGAAGGCTTCTGGGATTCCATTTGTTGTGAATGTCAGCCTGGAGAATTATGAGAACAAAAGCGTTCCTTTGTGTGATGGAGAGATTGTGCGGTGCGAGTATTGCAAGTCGTATTTGAATCCATTTGTTGAAATCATTCCACCTGGGCTGAAGTGGAAGTGCAATATTTGTTTGAAGACGAACGATCTGACTGTGGCATTCCAAGTAACAAGCAGAAGCTCATCAGCAAGTGGGAGTTTATTTGATCCCCGTGCAAATGCGGCATGCAATCAAGGCTATTCGGGCAGGATCGAGCTGAGAAGCATGGTGTATGAACTGGATGCGCCGCCAAATTACTCGTTGAGGACGCCGTCTCCGCCACGGATCTGTTTTCTGATAGAGGCGACATTTGAGTGTATGAAGTACAGGACCGTTGACTCTATTGTGAGAAGTGTTATTGATGGATTGAATCCGGAGTCTTTTGATTCAAGAGCAAGGATGATGTTTATGTTCTTTGATTCTTCGGTGTATATTCTGAGGCAGGATGGCGATTTCACGATTATCTCTGATGCATCTTTTATTCCGTTCTTTGTTGATGATGAGTTCCTATTTCCGTTGGGGCATTCTGTGGATGCATCAAAGCTGAATGCATTCTTCTCAGGCAACAAGTCGACCAGAAACAACTACGGTGATGCAATTAGGATAGCAGAAAGCATTATTGGGCCTGCTGGTGGATGCATAGTTTCTTTTGTGACGACGCATCCGAATATGGGGCCTGGAGTGGTTGAGCCGGCCCAGAGTGGATTGAGATGCAGGTCTGTGTTTTACAAGGAGATGGCAGCATTGCTGGCAAAGAAGTCGATTTCCATGACACAGTTTCTGTTTCCTCGCCTGGGGATCGATCTTCCGACACTGAGTGTGCTCAGCAAGTATACAGGAGGAATGTTGTACTACTACCCAAACTTTGACGGTGCAGACCCGATATTTGTCACGAAGCTTGCAAACGACCTGGCATCGCATCTTGATCTTGATATTGGCATGTATGGCATGTGCAGGATCCGAGCAAGCTCCTCTGTGTTTATCAAGGAGTATTTTGGATCTTTACACCATAGATCAGCAGATCTGCTTTCGTTTTCAACGTTTTTCCCTCCGCATTCCTTTAGTTTTGAGGCTGAGCTGACGAAGGAGGACGGATCAAAGGGAGTGTGCTTCCAGGTTGCAATGCTCAGAACGCTTATAACAGGAGAGAGAAGGATCCGGGTAGTGAACTTCTGTATTGACAGAACAGCAGCATCCATTTACACTGTTGTTGATTGCTGTGCTATTGCACATGCATTTGGAATGAAGGCATTCTTCTTTGAATCGAAAGAAAGAGGAGGAGGAATTGAGTACTTGAGCAAGTCTATCAAGGAGATAGTGAAGGCATACAAACAGCATTCGAACACGACAGTGATGCTGCCACAGCCTCTTGAGATGCTGCCCATGCTTATTCTGTCCCTTTGCAAGTCGATTCCTCTGAGGCCTGCATCATACACGCCTGTAGATTATAAGTCGTATTACACATATCTGATTAGCAACTCGTATCCAAAGCTTGTGGATGTAATAATATATCCTACGCTCATTGCATTGCACAGACTTGATGTACTGCAGCCATTGAACCTTACGCTCAGCTGCCTGGAAGCCAATGGGCTGTATCTTTTGGATACGGGCGTTACGATATTTTTCTTTGTTGCCAGAGATTGCGATCCGTCGCTTCCTGAGCTGCTTTTTGATTCATCCATGGGATCTGAAAGGTTTATTTTTGATCCTGAGCAAAATGAGTTCAGCGATGCGGTTAGCCAGATAGTTAGGAGTTTGAGGAGCAATAGGTATCTCACGCCCAGCTATGTGCTTGTGAGGGATGACGGAAGAAGTAGCATATACAAGGATATATTCTTCACGTATTTTGTAGAGGACGAGCTGTATGGGCTTCCGTCGTATGCTAAGTTTTTGGAGATGCTGAAGAGCCAATAAAGTTTTTGATGGAGTTGTTGCTGGTTTATGAGTGTTTAGGATGTTTGTATGATGCCCTGATGCAAGGAGAGCTTGAGGTTGTAGCAGGCAGACTGAGAAAGCTTGCGATATCTGAGGGGCGTGATGACTATCAGATGCTGGTGGCAAATGCAGATAGGTATGGCAACAAAGCTGAGATATTTGAGCTACTAGGAAGGAGATGCAATGCGCTTTGTGAGGTGATGCCTTTGCTGTTTACTTTTTGCTCGAAGCTTAGAATTGATGACGAGAGCCTGCTTGGGAGGATAATTGACTTTATCCGAGGATGCAAGGAAAGCAATTCGCGTGAGGAGTGTGAATGGATAGTCAAGATATTGTTTCTTATTGTTGAGATGAGCAAGGAGAAGAGGAAGGATTCTGGAATACGATTGAAGCTTATAGAATGCATCAAGATCTATGGGGAGCGGGCTGGGATAGTGAGCCATCTTATTGACTTGATGGGCAGTAAGAGCGGAGGAGATGCAGTGTGGCCGATCCTTGAGTCTGTTCCGTCGGTATGTGGAGAGTTTGTTAGGGCTTGTATGAATCAAACAAGCCAAGTTGTGCAGAAGAATTTATCTGTTCTGCTGCCACAGCTATCTGAAAGGCATGCGGAGCTGTTCTGCGACTATGAAAGATTCGATGAACTCTGTGATTCTGAGCACTTTTTTATGCGAAGCTGTTTTCTTGAGGTGTACATGAATCTTGTTGAATATTTCAAGGCGAATGGGAACGTTGAGAAGATGAATGATCTTGTTGATCTGATTGTAGAGAGGATGTCTGATACGTACTTTCTTGTCAGGCAGAAGGCGCTTCATACGCTTGGGACGTTGTTTGAAAGGAATTCGATATCTATTGGAAAGCGAGCACATGTGATTGATGGTGTTTGTGGAAGGATACTGGATAAAGCGGTTGCTGTAAGGAAGCGGGCAATTAGTCTGTGCTGTAGAGTGTTGGCGAACCATCCGTTTGTGTCTGAGCAAACGCTCGAGAAGAGAGAAACAAGTGGCATTGTGGGTGATTGCGAAAGACGATACTATGAGGATCTGAATGATTTCCATGATTCGATGAAGAAGGCACAAGGAAGCATTATGGAGCTGCTAAGTGGAGAAGTTAGAACAGAAGCAGGAGATTGCATTGAGTTTGTGAAGCTTGCACTGCATTATGGGATAGAAGGCTCTGAAGAAGCATTCAGACTGATATTCAGGCTTGTATGGACGCGTGAGGTGGATTTATTGGCACAGTCGTTTAGGGATCTGCTTGTACAGAAGAAACAGGGTGGCATGCATGCATTTGTATTTCTGAAGAGATTTGTAAGGCAAGACGGAGACTACTCATTTGAGAAGATTCTCAAGGAGCTGTGCGTACGAGGATACGTAGACAAGTGTTTTGCAAGTGAATTGAGGAGTATATTTATGCAAGGATCATACTTGTTTGAGTCATCGTATTTACTGCTTCACACAAGCAGACCTATATCAGTAGATAGTTTACGTGAGATGCTACTGTACACCACAAAGATGTTGTTTTCTAGTAAGGGAGAGGATGAGTTGGCAAGCATGCTGAGTGTGTATAAGAATGTGATTAGAATGCGGGCAAGGCAGAAGGTGGATGCTGCAGATGAGATTATTACCCTGATGATCAAGAACCTGGCAAAGATGGTTTTTTTTGATCATCAGGCTGTTGAGATGACAGTAGATGCAGTATATGGTCTGAGTGCACAGCCAGAGACAAGCAGTGTGGCATTGATACAAGGGCTTTGCAGTGCGAGCAAGGGCGGAATGAAGATTGCTTGTGCAGTTGGATGTGTAGCCATAAGACATATGCAATATCTCGAGGAGCTGGAGAAGCTCGTGAAAGCAAACCGAATAAGTGTTAATGTCGACAGGTCTGTGATTACACCTGAGATTACAGAAAGGAGAAAAAGCATCAATGCATCTAGATTGAGCATTAGCGTGATGGCCAATGAAGAAGGAAGGGCAGATGCAATGGCACGTGATGCTGAAATTGAGACGGACGTCAATATTTCGCCAAAGCTTATGGATAGAAGCGAAGAGGAGATATCCGATTTTTTTTTCTATGTTAAGGAGAAGGAAATGCTATATGGACACAACAGCGTTGTTTGCAAGTTCAAGAGGATGATTGAAGATATGTGTGTGTCTGTATGTGATGATGCGAGGGTTGTTGCATACACTGCGCTTTATAAGCTGATGTGTGTTAGCTTTGAATATTTCTCAAGCCATTACCAAGCATTTATTGCATCGATGAGGCATTTTGATGCAAGGATTAGAGCGAATGCGGTTGTTGCAATGAGCGATTTCCTGCAGAACTACAACACAGCTGTTGAAGGCGATTGCGGCTTGTTGATCGATGCGCTTGGAGACGTAGACATTGATGTGCGAAAGAATGCGTTTCTTGTGATTCACATGCTTTTGGCAAATAACATCATTAAGATCAAAGGATATGGAGGCAGGCTTGTTACCTTACTAGGAGATAATGACCTGAGTATGAGAAGAATGGCAGAGAATCTACTCATCCAGATATCCAAGAACGAGACGATGATGGCAGCTTTGTTTTACGAAGCTGTTACTGCGCAAGAAGCCACTTTGATTCCACACATTGAGTTTCTTGCAGAGTTGATTGGAGAAAAAGTACGAGAGAGTTTGTTTGCAAAGATATCAAGATTAAAGATTCATCCAGATCTTGTGAGGCATATTCACGATGCATTTTGCCTTGATTCAAAGCTCAGAGAGGAGTTACCTCTGAGCTAACAAATATACAATAAAATGTCAGCTGAAGCGTTTGCATAATACTCTAAGATACTTACTTTAATTTAACATTTATTCTATCTTTAATGCATTGATGGGGTGTTTATTAGCACACTAACTGCTTCATTCAATGCCAGGGTGCTTTCTTGAATACCTTTATGCAAGGTGTCTTCTTGTACAGCCGCCTGTATGCCTCATGTATATGCGATGGCAGCAACGGCCCTTTTTCCAAACGTTCAGATTGCACTTCCTTTGCTACCTCTGTCATCTCTCCAACAAACACCTTTGCAAGGCCGCACACAGCAATCACAAAGTTTGGATTTACTGCTTGCCCTATGACACTGCTTATGTATTTCTTGATTGCTGCCTTTGGAAACCCACTGCCTCGGAACTTTTCATATCTGTGCAGTTGTTCCTCAGACATCGATCCCGTAATTGACTGGACTCTCCTGGAGTCGTCTCTTCTGTAAGTCGAGTCGTCGGTCATCATGTTAAGATCGTCGGATTCAGATTCAGATTGCATCTCTCGTGCACTTTGATCTCGCTCCATATCGTCATTGCTTTCACTCATGTAAGGGCTAAAGCAGTAGGCAAAAGCAATCCCATGATACTAAGACTTGGCATGCAATACATGTCCAAGAGTGTAGTGAAGCTTTTTGAACATCTAAAGGCAGAGGGAGACCTGCTGTTGAGTATAGAAGAGACTCATGAGCAATGTGTAGCAGCAGAAAGTAATGGTCCAGAGTATATATTAGATGTGATACAGAAGGCAAGTACAGAGCTTGTGCTGGTATGTATACCGTCGCTTGATTTCAAGCTTGATGCTGATATTGCTAATCTTGAGCTGGTAATACAGAAAGCAGTGGGTAGTGTGCTTGGATATCAATGCGTAATCATCCACGGATTTGTAGTCAGGGATTCAAATGGAATCAAGGCAAGACCAAACGTGCCGATGTTTTTCAAATGCACACTAGGCGTTTCTATTAGTGATCACATTACGTACGTCAAAGAAGATGAGACCGAGGTGGGTGAGGCTGAACAAGCAAGGCAGATCCGCTGCTTCTGCATAAGCCCAATTATGGCTTGCTTGCTGCGCTCAAGAGCAATGAGATTTACCTGTGATGGGATTGGCACAGGTGTTGTACTAATACAACGCGAAGGAGTGATATTTATGGCGCCAGCAAATATAAGTGTGGTTGCAATGGTGCATAGCACGGTTTCTTCAGCAAATATGGAAGTATTTCTCAAGCATCTGAGGAGATTTCCATTCAGACTGGTTGATTTCTTCGTGAAGGCATATTTAGCACCTGATTCAACAGAATCCAGTAAGCAGCTGAGTGAATGCTTTGCAGAGCTTCAGGACAACCTTACAAAGCTTGAAATGAAGTGTATCTGCAGTGTTTTGTCGAATGCGCCTGTGTTTCTTGACTCCAGGGATAAAGTGACAGAAAGGATCGAGAAGTTTTATGCGTATAATGTAAAGCCATTCAGAAGGGAAGCAGGGAAGTATTTGAGCTTCAAGGAAGAGGAGTTTGTGGATAGGCACCCAATCGGGTCTTTGAAGAGGTATTTCAAGGATTTATGATCCCTGCATGGCAAACGAAATGCCAGAAAGCAGTGGAGCTGTGGCAATGCGCCAGCTGCGGTCATTAGATGATGTAAATATGGCAATTGAAAGCACTGCATGCAAGCTTGTTGTAATAAGGTTTGGTGACGGGGATGATCCGTTGTGCATGCACACAGATGAGCTCCTTACGAAGGCATACTTTGCAGTCAGAAACTATGTTGATGTGTACACTTGTGAGAGAAGCGATGTCAAAGAGCTTGTTGGAGCGATGGGCCTTGACTCTGCACTTGGTATCATGTGTTTTTTCAACAAAAGGCATGTAAAGATAGACTGTTCGAGTGGAGACAATGAGAAGATAGACTTTGCGGTTGGTGACGAGAAGATATTTATTGAGCTGTTTACTCTTGCATACAAAGCCGGTGTTAGGAACAAAAGGGTGGTTGTGTCTCCGTTCAGTCTTGAGGAGTTGAAAAATGGATGGTAAGGCTTATCTTCAAGCAGCTGATGATGTGTAAAAGAATTTCAGAGACACGGAGAGTAGCAGGTTGAATAGTCATTACAATGCAGTTTATTGAATAAATGCAAGAATATAAAAAAGGAAAGCTGGTGAATACTTCTATAGAAGCACTATAGAGTATGCGAATCCCTTGTTGAATCTTTTTGAGGCCAATGGTGGATCTGCTCTTAGCATTGTGTTTAGAATATCAATGCATCTGTATCTTGGCACACCAGTATTTTTTATGATTTCTTCTATCATCACTTCTTCTGTGCTTGAGTGTAGTAGACTTGCTATTTTTATAGCACTATTGATCAAAAGCTTGCTATTGGAAAATCTTGGCTTCATGCGAACGATGTACTCTTCCAGGCATTCAGTTTTATTTAGGTAGGTGGATGAAGTCGATGGAGTAGGCTGTTGAAAACACTCGTTCTCGGCATTCTGATGTGCTGTGCAATCGTTTTGATGGTATTTTTCCTTTATGTTTCCAACATCATTTGTTGATAAAGATAAAGTGTTGTCCAGCATTGTGAGTTTTCTTTTGCATGCATATGCTTTGAATGATACCAGAAGCGCTTCTATTCTGTAGTTGAGTTCTCTCAGAGACACAGTTGACGAAACAACAACATCCATCTTGCTTTTTATATTCCTGACCAGCAGTGAAATCTCATCAAGCTTTTCGCTCATCATGCAAGGATGGATCGTGGAATATTCTTGTAGGAGTCTGCCATTAAAGGCCATGCAGGCAGCCCTTGATGTCTGGAGACGATCTGGGAGCATGGCTTAAGGCAGCTGCAGAAAACAAGATTACCACAAAGAACACGTGGAAGGCAACGCTGATAGATCACTTCACAAATATAGATGAATTCAAAGAGCGGCATGGAATCAACTTCCAGAAAGCAGGCTGTGCTCTTGATGGATGTGTTAAGGTTTATTCGACACGAGTTGACGATGTCTCTGAGAGTGCAATGAGGCTTCTTGAGGGATTTGGAGGAGATGATGCGTTAAGGAAGCGCCAGATAAAGAGGCAAGCAAAAGTAACCATTGAAAAAAACACAGGAAATCTGAATGTGAAGATTTCAAGGACACGATACGACACTGATTCTAAGTTTGCACATCTTTCATCTCTACCGGAAAGTTCGATGATGCTGAGCAGTCTGGGTGTTTCTACGGATGGAGTTTTGAGGATGGCATCATATGTAAATGAAGGCAAGAAAGCAGTGTTAATAGAGGACATTGAAGTGAGTGTGAATGTGCCTTGTGACGGAATGCTGATATCGCCAAGTATCACCAGTGACAACGAAGTCAAGGCTATTGTCTTTGAACCAATTGAGATTGTGATGCCTGATTGCGAAGAGTCTGGAGGGTTTAACGATATGCTTGAGCTTGAGAATATTCCAGTGATTATGAACAATCAGAGGCCGGTGTTTAGCGAGACGTCGTTTTCATACTTCAAGGGATGGGCAGGGCCTGGATGCTGGAAGGTAAATGCCAGGACATATGGAAGAAAAGGCAAGAGAGAGGGAAGCAATAAGCAAAAAGAAACGGCATGTGTGGACTTTACGGAGTCTGTGGACAGAGAATGGATTATGGAATCAGGAAACACGCTATTTGAGCCAGCATGCATAGTTGAGCGTAGAGAAAAGCAGCATCTACTGCCTCAGGACTACAGTTTGAAGACACGAGACTTATATAAGTACATCGTGATGGATGGGATGTTTTGCATGAATGCAGAGGAGGGGTTGCGAGTAGGAAATAGATCGTTTGATTGCTCGTTTGTACAGAGCATAGTAGAGGAGCCAATAGATGAAGCCATTGACATGAATATGCAGAGCGAGCCAGGGGCGAGGCCACAGATTGAAAAAGAAGGAGGGATGGAAGCAGGCAGATATGCTTTTAGAAAAGCAACAAAGAGAGTTGATATTAAGAGGCTGAATGACAATGTGTTTGGATGCATGAAAAGCAAAGGATGCACAGGCCTTGCATCAATATTCAAAGGGGTATGCAGTATGTACAATGATAGCGAGTGCAAAGACATTTCAGTGCATTTGTGTTTTCTGTCTCTTCTTCATCTTGCAAATGAAAGGAATGTTTGTCTTAGAAGCGTGAATGATGATGTGGAGGCGCTTATACCGGCCTGATTGTTTAATAAAATTAATATGCAAGTGAAAATAACATAATTGAATGCTTTATTTACTACTTGGCACTTACAGAGCAAATTGGTGTGCAACAGAACGGTTCCTTGTTATTTACTGTCTGTGAAGTCCCATGTTGGAATGAGTCTAAGCATGCGAAGCATTTTTGGCTCTTGCACAAATCCATATGTGGGTTGCGAGTACATCAAGAATGATGCTATTGTAATCGAAATGAAGAGGGCCGTGGATTTGAACTGTAAGAACTTGGACACATAGCAAATTGAGAGCAATCCAAAAAACAGCGCTGGGTAATAGTGATGGAAATAGAGCACTCTTTTGACAAAGAAGAACGGGATGTAGTGTAGAAACCACCCACAGAATGCAATGAATACAGCAAATCCTTCGGTTTTAAGGAACTTCACAGGCATTCCACTCCTCTTTTTTGTAATGACTCTACAAAGAAGAATGACTGGGGAAGCAACTATGCAAATACTCGAAGAGTACCACGTAAATGGATTCCCAAACATGTAGAATTTTTCCTTTGGCCCATTCCACGAGGTCATTCTCAGCCCCCTCTTGAGAATAAACCACTCGTGCGGCCTTGAGACGCTTCTTTCTGGCTCAAGGCTGTCGTCCTGTGTGAAGGATGCATTTGTGACAAGCATTGCCTTGTTATGCTCTATAAGCTTTTTGACGAATGGATATGCAGCTGCTTCGCTGTAGATTGGGTTTTTATCTTCGCCCAGCTTATCAGACCTGCATTCTGCTACATTCCACAGTGAAGATTCGTCTGGATTCTGAGTGCATGCTACTTCTCCTTGGCCAAATCCCCAAGATGGATACTTTTTGAGAGACGCCTTGAGATAGCATCCTGTGCTGGTATTAAGCAGCCTGAACTTTGTTGTAAGTGTCTTAAGCCTGCTTTCGTTCTCCAAGGCATCTTCCACTACTTCAACCTTGAACAGGCATGACTCCAAGATCTTTGTGCCAGAAAGAGCTTCGACTCGCTTTCCACTCGAAACCAACGACTTGGTTCCAGGAACATTCAAATACATCCTGGTTTCAAGATGCAACAGAATCACAACATCTCCATCCAAGATGTAGTCTGCATCCTTCAAGTCGTCAGTCACCTTCTGAAATGCCCAGTGGTTGTTTTCATCCTTGTGATGATATGTTGTCACTTGATTGTTGATGCTTCCAGGATATGCATGGTCGTGTGAGTGAAGATATCCTCCGCCTGCTCTTGTTGATTTGATTGTCACCTGTGTTCCATACAAAGGATACTTCCTGTTGTTGCTTACTTCGTTTCCCTTAAGAGATGCCTGAAACATCGAGCTCATCTGTACCTCATCACTGCTGCTACGGTTGACTATTTGGAAGTGGATATAGAACAGCAGTACATACACACTCAATGGAAGTGCTATCAAAAAAAGCACTCGTGAGGCAAACATCTTGACGAACGGCAGCATGCCAACCTTAGATGTGATATTGCACCATAGTTGGTACACTGTAAACACACCCACCAGGCTCATTGTCAGAAACCCTATCCACTTCACGCTCAATGCACATCCAAGCATCAACCCCAGCATAAACAGAGAGTATGCGTCTGTATGTGGCCTCGACCTGAAGTGCAGCCTTGTCATGAAGTACGACACTGCTGCAGTAAATGTGAGCAAATACGAGTCAAGAAGAATCAGTCTTCCAATCGATGTGAATCCATTCTCAAACACAAACATTAGAGACAACGCAAACCTGCGCCTATATGAAAATCTAAGCTCCTTAAGTATCAAGTATCCAAACAAGGGCGTAAATGATGCTATGAATGCATGGAATCTCCTCATTCCTGAATAGTCAAATGCCTTTGGATACTCTTCTCCAGACTTGAACTCAAAGTCCAGTGGCTGGTTGAAGATATATCCTCCAAGAGATATCAGCATCTTACCAAGCGGAGGATGCACATCAAAATAGAACTTCCTCGACAGGTATTTTGCAGAAAATTTGCCAAAGTGCGCCTCATCCCACACCACAAAGTTTCCGTTCTCCACCTTGTATGTCTTCACAATCATACTCAGCGAAAATATCAGAAGGCATGTGATCGTCTCGAGATACTCCGATCTTTTCATCTTGTTTTGCCATTGATGATATATTTTATGCACACTTGAAACAGTTTATTTATATAAACACCACCTTAGAGTTGGATCTTAATTTCATTCATGCACATCTAAGGATGCACACAGCCAGTCGATGCCATTTCCAACAGCATCTCTGACTCCTCTTTCATTCATAGTGTTGAGTGATCTATTTTCCAGCATACTTCTATCAAAATCCGCAACATCTGTGCATGTTACGAATGCATTGTACAAATCCACCTCTTGGTACAGTGGATGGCATATCATACACTTCATCTCGCATGCACTCCTCTTCTTCTCATTCATTTTGCCTGATGCAGCCTCCATCAGCATCTTATTGTACTCCTCTTCGAACATACTTATGCAGTCTCTAGCACCTCCTTTGATGCAAAAGTCATGATGGGCCTTAAGAATAAAGCACATTCCATTTAGTGCATCTCTCTCGTTGCAAATCATATCACGCACAGCACCTCGTTTTTGCATCTTTTTTTCCATGCAGCTTACTTTTTCAAACACCTTTGCGATTCTTCGCTTGAGCCTTGCATCCGGCGGCATCTTAATCGTTTCTCCAACCACCTTGCACAACTTAATGTATCCATGCACATCATTAGTCGCTATTTCCCTTAATACATCCTTGCTTCCACTCATAATCTTGCCAATCATCTTCTGCCGTTTACTTCCACAGACATTCGGCTTGTACTTACCCTTCGTCACAAGAGACACATACAGCTTCAGATTCGTCTTTGCATCGCCCTGGCTTCTCAGAAGTATCTTCGGATTCTCCATCACTCTTTCCATATACGACTTCTGCCTTCTATCATCATCAGGATGCAGGCATACATGATCCTCATCTGCCACCTCAATCATCACCACACTCATCCTTTGCATACATCCTACAACCATGTTTCCATTGAATAGGCACACAGAAACCTTCGTACGCAAAAAAAAACCATAATCAACAATCATTCCAGGGCTTTGCCATCACACTTATCTCGCCTATCGAAATAGATACGAAAATATATAGTCCGTGCTGTGGCGGTTCTCTACTGGAGCTATTCCATCATACGTCCTTGACACAAAGCAGTGTGTGTAATCCTCTGCATCTGTAATTCTTCCTCCTCCGTTCTCAATCATCCTGGCATATCCTTCTCGCTTCTGGTCTTCACACAGAAGCTTCACAATCCACCGATAGAATGCAGGCTTCCCTGTTGCTTTGACCTTTTCTCTCCACTTGCATATCGATAGCACAACCTTTCTGTCTTTCTCTGCAACACACTCATCATCCTTCCACTCATGCTTTGCAAAATCAAAATCATGTGATCCATCAAAGTCATCTATAACACTCGGCTTTAGAATCCATTTCCCGTTGCTTACGCACGAAAGAAGCTTCTCAGATGTACTCACCACGCCCATGATCAAATGTGTGCATCCATCATATCTATCTGTATCCTTGAAGCCCACTCCCAACTCATCAAGCCTCTCCATCGCCTTGTTCTTGAGAAACAGAGACAACCCTGTGAACTGGAACAGCATCTTGCATTCAGGCGTTGGACCTCTCATTAAATCCCTGCTCAAGGCACGCATAGAGCTTCTTGGCATTCCAACACAGTACTTCTCCTCCCTAACATGCCTCATCAATCCAAGACACTGATTGACCCACTCAGACAAAACAACCTTGTATGAGCGCCTTCTGCTGCCATGGGCTTCATCTTTGCCATCAACTATCATGTGTGTACAGCTTGCATCAGGCCTATCCCTTACTATAGCACCCAGTGCCTTCAGCTTGTTGGCAATCTCTGCGGCATTACTTCCATTCCTGCATCCTGTGCTTACACAGCACACAATGTTGCTCAGCACAGGCTTCTTCTTGCTTGGATACATCCTGTATGCTCCTGCAAACAGCTCTGCTTTGGATTCAATGCAGTCAAACACATATTGATAATGATAAACTTTGTGCCCGTACTTCTCAAAACCCTCGTATGCAAACGCCAGGATGTAATCGACATCTTTGTCGATCTGCGACACCCTGGTTCCTCCATTCGATACAATCATCCTTCGGAGCTGGTTGAAAAGCACCCTGGGCAGCCTTGCATCCAGGAAAAACACCTTCTCGTCAAAAACCAGCCCTTCTGCCATCGCAACTGCTTCAAAGTAAGAATCTCTCTTGTATATCTCATACACACCCTTGAATGCATCATCGGGGTTGACTATTGGAATCCCGTATCTCTTGCTGAACTCAGCCTTGCCATCATCGTCCGATGCTGCAATCAGAAAGTCGGTCGAAATCATCAAGTTCTCTGTAAATATGCCTCCAAGCAGTAAATGATAATTGACAACCGAGTCACCAAGCAGGCCAGACGTCGAAAAGGAGGCGCCTTCAAAGGGCTGCATCTCGTATCTTCTGACTGCCCCATCAACATCATACAGCCATCTCACATCAACTATCTTCATATTCCAGCTCAGTGCCTGGATATACTTATCAGTCATCGTTGCCTTGTATGTAGCTAAATAGCTCACCTTTGCAGACAGCACGTCCTCAAGAATGACGTGTTTTGGAAGCTGGCTTCGTATCAACACCTTCTCGCATGCAGAAATTCCTGTTGTGCACACATACACATCGGGCCTGCACATAAATGTGCTCTGAATCTCAAAACTCATCCCTCCAAGGATACATCCAAATGATATACAATCAAAAAGAATTTTATTTCTTTTCCACTCCGCATACATGCTGAACCAGCATAGACACAATCTTTTCTCGATTCCTTATATTATTCAATGCCTTGACTCTGTCTTCCAGTTCTGCACTAAGCTTCTCCTCAATCACTTTCATATACTCTCCCACTTCTTTCTCCAATGCATGCAGCTTCTTCTCATTTTCTTTCTTAAGTCCCTCAAGCATCATGTTTGCATCAGCTCTTGCCTGTGCCTTTGTTTCCTCTAACTCCCTGCGTGCATTCTCCAATCGTTCCTTTGCATCGTTTTCGCACTGTACAAGCCTTTTAATACTTTCAACAGACATGCCCTTGTATGTGTTGAGCGCGTTGCCAGCTTTTTATAAATCTTGGTGTTCAAACTCAACACACATAAACAGTATGTGTTGCCTCAAAGCAAGCATGCACATTTTCATATAATGTTTATTTTATCATTGCCTCTGCGCGCATCTCTGCACACCAATAGCATGCATCACCGATCAGATCGATTATTCACGGGCATGAATACCTTAGGATTCATTCTTCTTAATGCCATGCATCCATCATGCTTCATAATATACAGGCCGATTCTCCTAGTAGCTGACTTCCTTGAATAAACAGCTTCGGCTGTGCTATTGCTTTTAAGCCTGATTTCCTTGCCATGCGCCTCTTTCATGCTTGGAGTAAGAAACGAGTCAGCATCTGTGAATGCCAGAAGCTCCATGCTTTTTGCTCGGAAGCACGCCATCAGGCTCGTAAATGTAACATTGTGCGAATAAAAAAGAACATACCATTTCAAAGAGCATGTCAAACATCCTTCTCTACTTACACATCGTTCCATCCTTCTGATAATGCTACCATTGTTCACTAAGTAGTAGTTGCATTTGCTGCCTGCAGATAAAATCATCAGAGACGCAATTATCGAGTTGGCAGTGCTTATTGATGGAATAATACTTCCTGCAACAGTAACTGCATCTTCAAAAGATATCGGCTCAATCCCTGCAACTCTTGCACGAATAAATGCAACATTATACACCAGCTCCAGAACAGACCTATCGTCCTTATTGAATTCTGGAACACCCATTGCACTAATTGTCTTCATTACATGCCTTACTCTGTATGTGTACTCCTCACTACTTCTGAACTGATCAAGATCCAGAGCATCATGTGTGCATTCACAATTCTCCACTATGCTCTTCAAGTTTGCATAGTAGTATTCTTCGCGATCCCCATGCACAACAATCTTCATTGAAAGAAACACATGCTTTGCCCATATTATGCAGTGCTCGAAGCAGCTCGGCCGTGAACGAATGGTACACACTGCATGCTCTTTCGCTGATCCTCTTGGAATGCAATCAAAACATTCATATCTACTCCCATTACTTACTGCATCATCAAAATAGTATGCTTGTCCTTTGAATCCCCCGCTTCCTCCATCAACCATACGTGTGCTTGAAAAAACGCATCTCTGATTCACATAAACACGTGCTGCAACATTATCCAAGCAGCAATAGACTATGTCAAACCCTGCAAAAAAGCATGCATCAAACTCCTCAATCCTCATACATATTGGGTGTACTGTGCATCGATTCTCACACATCCGTGCAAATATCCTTGCAGCAACCACTGCCTTGCTCTTGCCAACATCATTTCGCGTGAAGAAGAATTGCCTGTTCAGATTCGATAGCTCAACTGTGTCGCAGTCAATCATTGTTACGCTTCCGATCTTCTCTCTCGATAGCAGCTTCAATAACTCACATCCTATCCCTCCACATCCAACAACCAAAACCTTATCTGCATCCGCCATTTAAGCCTGGGACTCTCTTGAAAGCATTTGCATATTGGAATATGCTCGTAAACACTTACACCAATAAATTCACTGTAAGCGTTATGCGAGGCGCCTGCATCATGATCGTACCAATTCAATCATGCGATTCATACCGGCACATCAATCTCGCTTCTCATCAGAAACATAGAATATGCTGATTGCACCCTGTTCAGAGCTCAGCCTGAGCTTATAGACGCCCTTTTCCAGCCTTGGATACTCCATTGTTGTTTCAGAAGGCGCCTTTACTGCAAACACAAGGCTGTCGCTCAACGAGCAAAGCCCTTGAAGATCTGCGTATGTAACATATGCATTTGCAAGATTTTTTTCAGATTCAGAAAGCAAAGAGATCTCCTCGTTGAGATTGCTGAGAACATCATCCAGATCCTTTTTATTCGCCGTGCTCTTGTGGCTTTTGTTGTCTCTCCCGCTGTTTTCGTCTTCATCCTCACTTATGTACTTGCTGATGTTTCCGCCAATCCACTTCGCACTGCTTACAGACCACTTGCTCAACAGCCCAAGACCCTCTAGCACGTTTGTAATGTCATATATGCGTCTTTTGCCTACATTCAGCTCTATGGATGCTTGGTGGATGTTTACATTGCGGTCGGGCGACGCATCCACAAGCTTCAGGAATCTCTTTGTAAGGTTGTACAGAGAGTTTTCTGATCTTGCTGACGACAGAATATCTGATGCCTGCTTTCTTGCCATGGGGAGCGGCATGTGTGTTTTACTTGGCACTAGGCAGGCAACAATTACATTACATTTCGGTGCTATGCAATGTATTGACGGCTTCATAGCATATTTGCACTAGCGAGCTCATATGAAGTATGCATAAGCCATGCCAATAGCATGATTCCGTAAGCCCCACAATGACCAAGCAAAAGTTTGGCCTGACAATCAAGAAGGAGCAAGACTTTTCGGAGTGGTATGTCCAGGTAATAACAAAGGGCGAGATGCTTGACTACTACGAAATAAAAGGATGCTATGTGATGCGGCCAGCAGGCCAGTTTGTCTGGAAATGCATCCAGAGGTGGTTTACTGAGAGGATCGAACGCCTTGGCATCCAGGAGTGCTACTTTCCAATGCTTATTCCAAAGTCCATGCTTGAGAAGGAAAAGGACCATATAAAGAACTTCTCGCCTGAGGTTGCATGGATAACAAAATGCGGAGACGAAGTGCTGGAGGACCCAGTTGCAATCCGCCCCACGTCTGAGACAATCATTTACCCGTCGTTTTCGAAGTGGATCAAGAGCCACAGAGACCTGCCGCTCAAGATGAACCAGTGGTGCAGTGTTCTACGATGGGAGCTACATGGAACACTTCCGTTCATAAGGGGAAAGGAGTTTCTGTGGCAGGAGGGCCACACTGCATTTCTGAGCAAGGAGCAGTCTGATGAGGAGGTTGGAGTGATCTTGGATCTGTACTCCAGAATATACTCGGAGCTCTTGGCGGTGCCTGTGATAAAGGGAAGGAAGTCTGAGAACGAGAAGTTTGGCGGCGCAGCATACACAACATCGATTGAAGCGTTTATACCTGGATCTGGGCGGGGCGTTCAGGCAGCAACATCGCATTCGTTGGGCCAGAACTTTTCGAAGATGTTTAACATCAAGGTTGATGCCGATGATGGGCAGGATGATGGATATGCATATGTGTACCAGAATTCATGGGGAATAACAACACGATCTATTGGAATAGCAGTGATGATACATTCAGATGATATGGGGCTTGTTCTTCCGCCAAAGGTTGCAATGGTGCAAGTGGTGATTGTGCCGTGTGGAATAACAGCAGCGATGCCTGAATCTGATGGAAGAAAGCTTGATGAGTATGTTGATAGGCTGTACTGCCGGCTGAAGGATGTAGGCATCAGAGTGCATGTTGATGACAGAAGCAATGTGACTGTTGGGTTCAAGTTTAACCACTGGGAGATACGAGGAGTGCCGTTGAGGCTGGAGGTTGGTCCAAAAGACATGGAGAAGAGCGAGGTATGTGTAGTGAGAAGAGACACACGAAAAAAGAAGCAGGCAAGTGCAGACAGAATATCTGAGGCGGTGGCTGATGAAATTGAGGCGATGCATGCGGAAATGCTTGCAAAAGCCACTGCGGAGCGTGACAGCAGGATTGCACAGGTAGGTAACTTTGATGAGTTCTTGAGTGCTCTTGACAAGAAGAATATTGTGATGGCGCCGTGGTGCTGCGATGGAGAATGCGAAATGGAGATTAAGTCAAGGAGCATGAAGGTTGATCCTAACGGGAATGTAACAGCTACAGGAGCAAAGACATTGTGCATTCCATACGAAGCTGAAGCATGTGATGGGATGAAATGTGTATATTGCGATAAGCAAGCGATGAAGCGTACCTTGTTTGGAAGGAGCTATTGAACCAAAGCAACAGTGGTTGTCAAGGGAGACAAGTACAATTAAATGCAGAGCATGAAGTGCATCCACGTTTGATTAAATTGTCATTCTTTTAATATTATCAACTTGAAGCATAGATGGGTGTGGATAAAGGTTGCTGGGTGCTGCATTTTGAGTTTGTCTGTATATCTATAGGCTGCTCATTCAGAAGAAGACAGTTCTCTGGTTTGTGCTTTGCAGGAACTTGTCTAGTGCTTTTCTTTTCGTTTATGATGCTCAGGATGTTTTTATATGATTCAGCATGAGGCTTTTTCGAGATGATTTCTGATGAGAAATGCTCTATGAAGTGTATTGCTGCGCCGTTTGTCCATCCAAATCCTCTCTGTAGTGTATACTCGCCCTTTCCGCCTGGCTCGCCAGCTCTTGTGCAATCGTACTTTTCGAATATCCCTCGCTTCCTCTCGTCTTGGAACGAGGTTGAGATGGAAATGTTTCTAACCAGCGCTCTAGCCATATGCAGTGCCATTTCTCGCTCGCCTATGCGGTCAAAGAAGAACGCCATGGTGTGAACAAGTGGAGGCCATACATTCGGGTAGTCCCACTGCAAGGGACTGTTTTTGTGTGCTGGGCCGCTGACAGGCATTCCTCCATCGTTTCCAAATATCTCGTGTGCAAACTTCTCCAGGATGTCATAAACCGTGGTGTCTGTATCTACCGGTGGGCGTATGCCATAACACAGTGGAATAAGGTTTGAAGCATAGAATCCGGTTGATGTATGCATCCTGTCTTCTATGTCGTAGTCATTCCAGATGCCCTCTGCACTGTTCCAAAGCACGTTGTTGATTGCCTGCAGCCGTTTGGCACTCATATCTTTGAATCGTGCAGCTTCTGATGAGTCTGTGCCTTGAGTAATCTCAAGCATCTTTGAAATAATTAGCTCATTGGCATACATGATTGCATTGAGGTCAACGGGAATTCGCTTCGATGTGCGAATTGATGCTAGATCAGACATTTGCTTAAGCCACCTTGATGAGAAGTCCCATCCTGACTCAGCAGCGGACTTGATGTCGGTGTATGTTTCGCTTTCTGTTCGCCTACTTTCTGGATCTCTACGGCTGTTTTCTTGTGCAAGCTGCCTGTCCTCTCTATATGCTTCTGGGCGTGGCGTATTAGAGTTTACCCTGTATATGTTGAGCAAATGCCTGCCATTTACATCGACCTCAATCGACCTGTTTGACATGAAGAAAGAATGCTCCTCGACGGCTGCCTCAAGGCCTGAAATCACCACATGCTTGATGTCTTCCCATGCTATGTTTCTATACAAAGCAAAAAGCATCATGGGAAAGTATGGAGGCTGTGTTCTGTTCAGGTAGTATGAGCGCAATCCATTTGGAATGTATCCGTACTTTCTGATCAGCCCAATGAAGTTCTCAACCATTCCAATTGCCGTCTTGTTCATTCCATTGTTGAGTAGCCCCTCAAGTATCCAGTATGCGTCCCAATAGTAGCATTCTCGGAACCTGTCCCCGGGAATGATGAATGGATTGTTGACCTTGAGCATTGTTGAGTAATGGCCTTGCTTTACCTTGTTCTGAACAACATATATGTCTTTCCACGCCTCGTTCAGCTTTTTTGAAAGCTTCAGCAAGTTGTCAAGCATTTTGTCGCCATCTGTATTGTTTGCACGTGCATCCTCGAGCTTTTTGATGTACGAAGGCGCACTACAGAACGGTCCGTCGTTTATTCCATTGTCTTTGACGAATCTGAAGTCCTCCTGCGATTTCGAAGACACCTTGTCGACAAACCGCCAGAAATCCTGTTCTGTTTCAAACTTTTCGTTGCCAATCATTTCATCGATGTGCTCTGTAGGAAACAAAAACAGCTTATCAACAAGTGTCTTGCTGTCCTTGGTAATGTTGAAATCAAAAGACGCTTCAAGCAATTTGTTACTGATGGATACGCCATAGCGATCTGTGCTATCATCAGATGCAAATGGCTTTGCATCATCTATACTGTGATTGTATTCATTCTCTGCATTATCGCCGTGCTCGATATCTGAACGCACAAACTCATTTGAATATGTATTGTACACATAGTTCTCGTGGCCTTTGTTGTCTAAGCCCAGCAGATCAGCGTTATTGGCCATGCTGGGTAATTCCAGGCCACATTTAGATTTGGCTATGTACTGCAGCATACGCATACCAAGACGAGCAAAAGCAAATACTACAGATGGCAGCAGTAAGCCCATTGGTAATGTAAACAAAGCGCTTTGTAAAAGCCGGGTTTTGGCTCAAGACTCTAATAAACAACAAAGATAGTTATGCTGCCATATAAGAAACAGTATGTTTGTATTTATTCCAGGTTCATGGTAACCCTGAAATGATTGAAACGCTGCTGATTCTGACTTGCATCCTCAGTTATGTATTTGTTGTGTATCTCAAGCTCAGGGAGCTGAGGAAACTGTCTAAAAAGCCTTCTGAGACATATCTGAATCTTGCAAGCATCGAGCAGATAGAAAAGACAAGAGAGTACAACAGGGACAAGCAAATAATGTCTATATTTGAGCTTTCGGTTCTTCTTTTGAAGGATATCTACTTTATATGGAAGAGGGTTATGCCTGAAATGTACAGCAGATATATGATTGATAAGTGGTATTGGGACATACTGTTTGTTATAGGGTACATGCATGTGCAGAAGATGTTTGAGGTTCCGTTTGAACTTGTGTCGACGTTTTATGTGGAAGCCAAGCATGGGTTCAACAAGACCACAGTGATTGAGTTTTTTAAGGATATTGTGAAGATGATGGTGGTGATGAGCGTAATTGTCGGGCCGTTTTCGTATGTGGTGCTCGAGATCATCCGAAGATACTACGAGAGATCGTTTTATATTTACCTATGGGTGGTAGTGGCGGCATTCCAGATTGTACTTGTGGTGGCATATCCGATCGTGATACAGCCGTTGTTCAACAAGTTTGAAGAGATGAAGGACTCTGAGCTGAAGACAAAGATAACGAAGCTTGCAGACAGGGTAGGGTTCCGTGCAAACAAGATCCTGGTTATGGACGCATCGCTTCGATCGGGGCACTCGAATGCGTATTTTGTTGGGATAATGAAGGAGAAGCGGGTTGTTATATATGACACGCTGCTGAGCCAAGTTGACGAGGAGGAGATTCTTGCGATTCTGTGCCATGAGTTTGGGCATTGGAAGCACGGGCACACATTGAAAATGATTTCTTTTGGGCTTCTGGTGCAGCTGTTGTATCTGTACCTGCTGAATGCCCTCTTGAGGTACCAGGACAAGTACGGAATGCTTGGCATTGAGATGCCGCTGATGATAAGATGCTTGTATTTTTTGATGTGTATTTCTGCGATGAGTGTTCCTATTGACATACTGGGCAACTGTGTATCAAGGTATTTTGAACGGCAGGCAGACAGGTTTGCAGTTGCGCTTGGGTATGGCAAGGAGTTGCGCTCAGGACTGCTGAAGCTGTACGAGAAGAACAATGGAAACATGGATCCTGACCATCTGTATGCAGCAGTGGTTTACAGGCATCCCACTGTGATCGAAAGGATCAGATTGATTGATGGCGAGATGAATAAATCGAAGTGATTGTATATGAGTGTTAAGTTTTCCACCGTGGTTGTTTATGGAGGGAGGAGAGAGCCTGATGAATTTTGTAAAGCTTGCGGTTGATTCGCTTTACAGAGCGGCATCTGCAAAGAAGATGAAGTCGCGGTATGTATATAAGAAGATTGCGTCGGAGCTTACGGAGTTTGGAAAGCAGTTGAGTAGCATCGATGATTTAAGGTCGATAAAGAATGTGGGAAGCAAGACGATTGATGCAATACAGAGATTTATTGATGGTAAAATAGCAAAGGAAGCAAGAAGCATTGATGTAGATCAATATTGTGATGTTGCTTCTGTGCCTGCGTATAGAATGATAAAGAGTGGAGAGGCTGACAAAAGCATATGTGAGAATGCGAATAGCGGGTGTGTAGATGTAAAGAAGAGCAGAGTGTATATTCCTGGATATAGGACGGGCGGATATGCGATCCTGAAGGCATTGTGGATGAAGGAAGGAAGCACCAAGCATGGGATTGCACATATTGGCAGGCATTACTGTGACGTTGAGTTTGACTTTGTAAGCAGATACTCTGCATGGACATCGATGAAGATGCTGATCAATAAAGGGCTGGTGTATAGGGAAGGCAAGTCGAGGTTTTATCTAACTTGTGAAGGCAAGATGCTGTGCACAACGATGTTTGCAAACACATCGATTGTTGAGGAGCCAGAGGATGGTGTTATTCTTGTTGTGGACACCCGTGAGATCAAGAGCAAGAAAAGCAGGACGTTTTTCCAGGAATACTTTGAATCGAGGAATGTGCGCTGTGAGACAAGAGTGCTTGAGGTTGGAGACTTTGTTTGGATTTGTAGCGAAAGGCTGTGTGGATGCATTATAGAGAGAAAGAGGGGAAGCGACTTTGTGAGCAGTATTGCAGATGGAAGGCTGAAAGAGCAGAAGGCCAGGTTGCTGAATAGCGGAATAGCGCGGGTTTTCTATGTTGTGGAGGGCCTTAGAGATAGCCATATGAAGAGCGTGGGGAAGAGGGCGGTTATGTCGCAGCTGATGTCGACAAAGCTTGGAGGCTTTACTGTGATTGAGACGCAGGATATCATGGAGACATGCTTGGTTATCTGTGAGATTGATGGGCAGATACGGCAAAGCGCAGAGAAGAGTGGGCACTGGAAAAAGAAGTCAGAAGAGGCAGTAGGAGAGTGCAGAGGAGAAGATGAGCTTGAGATTAGCTATGGAAGCTTCATTGAGAACAACACAAAAGCAGGATATAAGGGGCCGGAGTACTTTTTGTACATTGCATTGCTATCGATACGAGGCATAAGCCACCAGAAAGCAAATGCAATTGCAAAGCACTACATGTCTATTGAAGAGCTCGGAAGACGCTTAGGTGATGCAAAGGGCATTGAAGAGCTGCGTATGGTTGATATGGAAGGAAAGAGGATGACGAACAGAAATATAGAAGATGTGGTTGAGTACTTTGTGAGAGAATAGTAATTATTGTGGATATTTTTGGTCCTGAATGAGTGAGATCAGTGAGAAGCTGAAAGGATTGAAGTTTATGCAAAATACACAGAAAAAAAAGAGTGACGAACGCGAGGTTTCTTTTTCAACACACTTTTGCAAGGGAGGAGTCTTGAGCTATAATGGGAGCAAGCAGAAGATGAATGATGCAGAAGGGCCGAAGAAGCCCAAGAATCATTGATAGTGCCAAGGAGTAGATGGAGCAATATGTGTTTATTGAGAAGTGCAAAGCCCTTTGATGAATGACGATGGAGTGAACATTAAGGAGCTGATCAGTGCAAGGTTTCAGAACCCGAAGTTTGTGTATGATGGCAAGAGGATGCGAGTGCTGCAAGAAAGAAAGGTGGTTGACTATACGTCTGGGATATGCACACAGAGGAACAAGCGATGGATTGAGCCGCTGCTTGTTAGCACAGGGTTTGACCTATCTGCACAGATTCTGAACTTGAAGTCACCCGAGCTGTGCTACAACGATGTGTCAAGCTTGGTTACGACGAAGATTGAGCATGTTAGTGTGAACAAAGTGAAGTGTCCGGTGAATGTTGTGAAGTGGACGCCTGATGGGAGGCGACTGATGAGTGGAACTGCGACAGGTGAGTTTACGCTGTGGAACGGATACGGATGCAACTTTGAAACGATTCTCCAGGCACATGAGTCTCCGGTGCGCGGGATGTGCTGGTCTCCGTCGGGGTCGTTTTTGATATCGTCTGACAATTTTGGAATAATAAAGTACTGGCACCCGTCGATGAACAACATTCAGATTATACAGGGACACATGGAGGCGATCCGAGATCTGTCGTTTTCTCACAATGACACTAAGTTCTGCTCAGCCTCTGACGACTCCACAATAAAAGTCTGGGACTCTATTGAGGCGAAGGAGGAATCTGTTCTGAAGGGGCACAACTGGGACGTGAGAGCGGCGCAGTGGCACAGATACAAATCGTTGATAGCAAGCGCAGGAAAGGACAATCTTGTTAAGATGTGGGATCCACGCATTGCAGAGGAGTTGTGCACGCTGCACCACCACAAGAACACCATACTTGCACTGAAGTGGATGGGAGACGAGAACTATCTTCTCACAGGGGGAAAGGACCAGGTGATCAAGATGATTGATATCAGGACGATGACGGATGTGTTTACATACAAGAACCATAAGAAGGAGGTGACGTCGATAGGCATACATCCGAGACATCCGGATGTGTTTGTGAGCGGGGGAACTGAGGGAGGAATATACTTCTGGCAGGCATATAACCAGGAGCCGTTGGAGATAATCGATGAGGGGCACGAAGGGACTGTCTGGTCGTTGGAGTACCATCCTGTGGGGCATATCTTGGCGTCTGGATCTGTTGACCAAAGCGTCAGGTTCTGGGTTCGCCCAAGGCCTGATGAGAATGCAGAGCCTGCTAGCGGAGGGATCGCAGATGGCGAGCGAATGGCTTACAGTGAGGAAACAATACCTGGGCTGTGATGTGAGAGGAAGGGATGAGAAAGCCTGGATGTGATTGATGAGTAGATTAAAGAGTGAGAATTTGTTTATTGGCTATGCTGTATATGTTAGGAATTACAATTGGAAACAAAAACAAATCCTGAATGGCTGATGATGAGCAGTATGATTTTGCCATTCTTGGGACTGGGCTTGTCGAATGTGCAATTGGATGCATTCTTGCAGAGAACAACAAGAAGGTGATTCTTATTGACAGGAATGCGATGTATGGATCTGACTATGCGACGTTGAGATACAGTGAGCTTGAGTCGCACTTTGGAAGCGAAGAGGCTATTCCTGAGCTGAAGGTGTATGACAATGAGTTTTGTGTAGACCTTACGCCAAAGCTGTTTCTGGCAGACAGTAAGATGCTAAGGATGCTTGTTGAGCATGGGATTGATGAATACCTGGAGTTCTGCAGGATTCCAGGATCGTTTTTGTGGAAAGGAAAGCTGTACTCTGTTCCAACGAGCGAGACGCAGTCGATGACTACTGGAATGATAGGAATGTGGCAGAAGCCGAAGGTGATGAGGTTTTTCTGGAATGTCCGAGAATATGCAAAGGCAGCAATGAAGGGGGCAGGATACAAATTCAAGGCGACCATGAGGGACGAGTTCAAGGAGTATGGGCTGAGTGAGGAGTCGATGGAGCTGATTGGGCATGGGATTGCGCTTAATCTGGATGACTCGTATCTCGATAGAAACCCGAAGGAGACTTTTGACAAGATAATAACATACATCAAATCGATAGTGTGCTATGAAAATGCAATGGAATCCCCGTACCTGTATCCAAGATACGGACTTTCTGAGATTGCCCAAGGATTTGCAAGGAGTTGCTGCATGAAGGGAGGGGAGATCATGATTAATGCAGAGGTGCTGAGTGTGAATGAGAGCAGTGCAGAAATATTTGTACGAGAGCCTGTTAATAAGGAGATGCTGAGGATCAAGGCAACAAAGATTATTTCCGACCAGTCGTACTTCAAAAGGAGTGCTGTTGAGTATGAGATTATTCGGGCAATATGTGTGATCCGAGGCGAACCTTGTGAGGTGACGAGGGGAGCGTCATCGTCGCAGATAATTTTTCTGAAGGGGGAGATGAGGAGAAGGAACGATATTTTTGTGGTTGTTCTTGGATGTGATGAAAAGGCAACGCCTGATGGATACAAGGTTGCGATAATCAGTACGGTGAAGGAGACGAGCGATCCGGCGAGTGAGATTAAGACCGTTGTTGGCAAGCTGGGAGATGTTGTTAAGACATTTATGGAGGTGAAGCCGGTATATAGGGCGGAAGACACCGAGAATGTGATATTTACAAAGGGAGTGAATGAGTCGCCGCATTTTGAGGATGTGTATGATGAAATTGAGGAGATATGCAGGAAGCTGAATCTCAAGAGTGCAGGATGTGGAGAGAAGGCATGAAATGAATTAAAACGATTAGTGAAGCCCTTATGGAGATACGAGTAGGAGTGGCGAGGGGGGCGTTATCGTCATGCCACCTGAAGGATGCAAAGTCGTCAGTGCTGTGCATGATTTTTCTTGAGCAGAAGAATGAAGTTGATGCGCAGGTGGAGGTGAAATTTTCGGAGGGAGTGCCTGGTCCTATCCGTTTGCCTATCAAGTCGACGATAGAGAGTCTGTTTTGTGTGAAGAGCAGGTCTACCCGAATAAGAGTTGTGCTGCATGCAATACGAAGCGGAGAGGAGGTGTTTTGCAGTCTTATCAACTCGTTTTCAGTGTGTGTGATTCTGTCTGGGCTTGGTGTGATAGATACGGTGTGCTCTAGCATGCTATGTGTGGGCGATACTGAAGATAAGGAGAGGGGAGTTGGCACTATGGTTCATGCTGTGTATATGATTCATAGGAAACGGATTATGCAGGTGTATTTTGAAGGGCTGGTGGATGTAGAGAGGCTTGGAGATGCTGTAGAGAGGCTTGTTTCTGAATGTGAAAAGAAGGGAGAGGTGCTGAGAGCGAAGATAGAGGAGATTGTAGAGGGTGTAACGGAACGGTAAGTTTGCGATTGCACATGAGATAATATATAGTATTGCGTCTGGATTGAAATGCAAGGTTAGGGCGAGGCCCTTAGAATGGAGGAGCGAAGCTGCACAAAGAGCGAAGGAAGCGGAAAGAAGATATTTGTGGTTGTTGGAATGGCAGGCAGCGGAAAGACAACGTTTTGCCAACGGCTGTACTCATGGATTTCGCAAGAGAGATGTAGCATTGATAAATGCACAGGGCTGAACTCGAGGATATACTCCATGAATCTTGATCCTGCAGTGGTCAACTCGAAGATGCCGCTGAATCTCGACATACGGGATGTGGTGGACTACCATGAAGTGATGGAGAAATACAATTTAGGGCCGAATGGAGGAATTACGACGTGCTTGAACCTGTTCATGCTTGATATTGGAAAGTATTTGAACGAGATGAATGCAGAGTATGTGATTGTGGACACGCCTGGGCAGATTGAGGCGTTTACTTGGTCCTCGCCAGGATATGTGTTGATTGAGGCGTTGAAGGGAGTTGGAGAAGTAGTGGTTGTGTATGTGGTTGATTCGGTTGCATCCCACAGGCCTGCGGTTTTTATGTCGAATATGATGTATGCAGCATCGCTGATGTGCAGATATGAAAGTGAAGTGCTGTGTGTGTTCAATAAGAAGGACCTGGAGGGAAGTGAAAGGCTGAATGAATGGATTCGGGATTATGAGAAGTTCCAGCAGTCGTTGGACAACGAGGACATGTTTTCACCGATACTTGGGTCGATGGCGCTGCACTTTGAGGAGTTTTACAACACGGTGAAGACTGTTTCTGTGTCCTCGTATACTGGAGAGGGACGAAGCGAGTTTTTTGATGCCGTAGGCATAAGCACGGCTGTTTGATGGATGGAGAGAATGAGCAATAAAGATTTTGAAGTGATTTGTATGCGAGTGACATATGCAAGCGGAATGTGGTGTGTGGAGGAAGCAGTAGAAGCCAAATTATTATGGAATGCGATCCCCAAGACGAATGAAAGTGAAAGATAGAAGAAATATGATCAAGATGAAGATATCTGAAGATAAGCAGAGGAAGCAGAATGAAAGGATTGGGTACATGAGTGCTCATGGGCCTTATCTTGTTGTTTCTGTCGTCAGCCTTGGAGGCGATTGCACAGGATGGTTTGGTGGATACACTGGAGGGAAGCCAAGAGGGCTGTATTATTCTGAGGAATGCAAGATGAATTTTTTACTGCAGATGACTGATGGAATGGATGATTTTCGAACGGGATATATGTGCAGATCCAGTGACGTGGTTGTGTTTTTTGTTGATTCTGAGCAGATCGATGAGGAGAGGCTGAAGGTGGTTAAGAGACACATGCCAAGCAGTTTGATATGTGTATCCAGCGCATGCTTACGAGCAGCAGCAAGGAAGCTTGCCAAGAAGCACTTTCCAGATGAGAAGATAGTTGGGATTGAGGGGATGTTTCAGGCGTTAGGAAAGATGAGGATTAGAAATGCATCGGTGTGCAAACGACCGTATTTGGTTCCGAGCAGTGTGTATTGGGAGGAAGGCATCCTGTATGTTGAGGGATTGTTGAAGCATGGGTTTGTAAGTAACAAGGTGATTGTTAATGGAGTGCATGAGATGGAGATTGAGGAAGTAATAGCAGATAGGGTGTATCTTGGGAGTGAGTTGAGTGTAAGCATTGGGGCTGAGGAGGTTAAATGTTCAGCAGGTGCTCTGGAGTGTGATGAGTATGAATGCGAAAGAATGGATGTGGTAAGTGATGCAGAATGCAGCGATGATGAGGAGTTGTCTGAAGTATCTGAGGTAGATTATGCAGGATCTGAATGCACAATGGACGATGGGCCTGAAGAAATGGACGGATTTCCATCGTTGATTGAGAGATACGCAGGGTATCGTGGAATAAGGAATATTGCGACGTGTGATTTCAAATCATGTGTGTTTCCAGAGCACTACAAGGAGCTTGTGTTTTTTGATGACTTTAAGAAAGCAGAAAGGCTGGTTGTTGAGAAGATAAGTGTGATGCCAAGCAATCAGATGATCAAGATGAAGCTCAGGGGAGAAGGAGTGCCATTTGGGGATGTTTGTGTTGTGTTTGGATGCTATGAGTATGAAAGCAGAAAGACAATACACAATTTTTATTTTGATGGAAAGGAGGCACTGGTGGAGGAAGGGATGGCGATTGATCTTGGACACATGGTGGTTGATGCCAAGCCTATGCTGACGAAGAATTTAAATCAGAGGGTGTTTAAAAGGCAGCAAGAGCTTGAGTGTGGAGTGCTTAGTTTTGTGGGGCCGATTACATTTAACCTGACACGGGTTCTGATTTACAAGAAGAGTGTGCTAGGAGAGCTATGTGGACGGACGCTTGCTGTGATAGGAACGAATGGATTTACGGCGGACAGGATTGTGTTTGACGAGGTGGTTGTTCGAGGAATACCTATTAAGATGAAGAAGAGGTACAGTGTGATAAAGAGGATGTTTAGTAGCAAGGATGAGGTGATGTACTTCAGAAACATCCAGCTAAGGGTAGAGGGGCAGAAGACAACTGGGTTTATAAAGAAGCCCATAGGGACGAAAGGGCTATTTAAGGGGTATTTTACACAGCCTCTAAGGCCAGGATGCAAGGTAACGATGTCCTTGTACAAAAGGGCGTTTCTAGAGAATGAATAAAAGATGGGTTATGCGATTGTAAATGTGAGATTTGGATTCCCTGAATGAGGACGTATATCAAGGAGAAAAGGCTTGGGGAAGGAACATATGCAGTGATATATCTTGCATATGAAGGGAATGTGCAAGAAAGGCGGTTTGTCAGCACAGGAGACAGAAAAAGCGATCTTCCTGTTGCAATAAAGAAGATAAAGATCAACAAGTATTCTCAGGGCCACGAAATAAGTGCAATCCGAGAGATTAAGGCGCTTAAGAGAATGGAATGCAAATATGTTGTGCGGCTCTTAGATGTATTTGTGCAAGATAAATGTGCTCATATGGTTCTTGAGTATATTGAGACGAACCTAGAGAGTGTGATAAAGAATCCGGATAAGATTATCATGCCTGGCGATATCAAAGCATGGATGCTGATGGTGTTGAGGGGAGTGTATGAGTGCCATAGGCTGTTTATAATCCATAGAGACATCAAGCCAAACAACATACTTATTGCATCTGATGGAACGGCAAAGCTTGCAGACTTTGGGCTGAGCAGGTCGATAGGAAATTGCATGACGCCTCAGGCGGTTACAAGATGGTATCGTGCGCCTGAGCTTCTTATGGGAGCGAAGGAGTATGGATACTGTGTGGACATGTGGTCTGTTGGATGTGTGTTTGCGGAGCTGTTTTTGAGGATTCCCATGTTTGCAGGAGAAACGGACATTGGGCAGCTCGATATGATATTCAGAGCATTAGGAACGCCTTCTGAAACAAGCTGGAGGGGGGTGTCGATGCTGCCTGGGTTTCTTGAATTTCCGAAATACAGCCGAGCACCGCTTGGCTCGTTGTTTTCAGCAGTGTCTTCTGATGCCTTGGATTTGCTGGAAAGCCTTCTTATACTTGATCCGTCTAAGAGGATCAGCAGTGACAAGGCGATTAAGCATAAGTACTTCAGAGAGACACCGGCGCCAACACCTATTGGAAGACTGCTTGTTTGATTGTGCGGACAGCAGTGTGCAAGAGTGTTTGCTACTAAGCGGTATGAATGTGAATGTGTGTTTTCACGATGCAGTGATGTGCAGAGCGGATTGCAAAGCAGTGTGCAAGGCCTTGATATTGAAAACACCAAACCCTTCGTAAATACAAATGGACTTGAGAGATTCTATGTCTGAAGCAACACAACAAACAAGCAATGCATTTCCACGAGCATTTGAGGAACGAAAGAAGCAAAAGATGAAGATTCCTGATCTTCCGCATGAGCTTGAGAAGGATCAGACAGCTTTTGTGTCGTTTGACACGATGACGCAGCCACCGCCACTGAGCACAACAAATTGTTTTATAAGCGAGACAGGCAATGCTGATCCAAACCTTGTAAGATCTACTATGTGTGTTCTTCCGAAAAACTCCGACACATTTGATCTGATGGAGATTCCGCTTGGGATAGTTGTGAATCCGTTTTGCAGAAAGGCAATGCCTACTGAGCTAGACAAGTCGAAGTCTGTAAGATGCATGGAATGCCAGAGCTATGTGAATGCCTTTACAATAGTCGAGATGAATGTTTTCTACTGCAATATTTGTGGCATAAAGAACTGCCTGAAGGAAAGGATTTGTGAAGAAATAACCAGGTGCTCGACAGTTGAGTATGTGGAGAAGGAGGCAGTGCAGGAGAAAAAAGTGGTTGATTGTGGAAGCATTGTGTCTGAAGGGTTGTTCCGGATGAGGGCGATATGTGGGCCTGCCTTTTTGTTTGGAATTGACATGGCGTCACCTGTTTTGGTTGGACATGCATTGAAGGGAATTGGGAGGCTGGTTGGCGATGAGAACTTCAGGTTTCTGTTTAGGAAGGTGGGTATCGTCTTGCTGGGTGACGGAATATCTCTTCTGAGGGCAAGCAAGGGGGATGTGGAGGAGGTGCATCTGTCTGATAAGCAACATCTCCCTTTTATTTCGCCTGAGTTTTTAATGGATGTTGAGGATGATGGATTGATGAGAAGTGTGATGGAGTATCTTTCAGGTATGCCAAAGAATGGAGCAAGCAAAAGAGGAGGGATTTCTGATTGCCTAAGGATAGCTATTTCTATGGCTGGATATTGTAAAGGATCGAAGATGGCGCTGTTTACGAATTTGCAGGAGAAGATTGACAGTGAGATGATGATTAAGCAGTTTATAGAGATAGGGTGCTCACTAAATGTATTTTGCACTGAGAAGACATTGCTGACGCAGTTGTGCATTTCTAGCACAGGACGGACTTATTTGTATGCTCCTGGAGCACTTGCAAAACTGGAGGATGATTTGATTATTCTTGGTAGCATGAAGAGCTCGTATAAAGTGTCTATTGAGACGAAGACATCGGACTCGTTACGAAAGCTGATGTTCTATGGAAATACAAAATTTGAGCATCTTGGATTCCAGGAGTTTTCACAGATGGACGACAGCACGACTTTTGCACAGACATTTTCGCTGGGTGAGTCGCTTCAAAGCAATCACCGAGTGTATGCACAGGTGGTGGTGAGCTTCTATGGGTTTGATGGGACAAGCAGGGTTCTTGTGCTTAACACGTCGTTCGGGGTGTCGCCAAAGGTGTCTGATGTGTATGCAAGCCTGAGCTTTGACACACTGGCATGCATATATGCAAAGTACATGGCAATGGATGTTGATGGCTTTAAGACGAATTGCAAGAAGGTTGAAGAGATTATGAGCAGGTCCTTGAAGTTTTACAGAAGTAGCTGCTGCAAAGAAGCATCGAGTTCACAGTTTGTCTTGCCTGAGTCTATAAAGCTGATTCCACTGATGTACCAGTCGATGCTGAAGAACAGATATTTTTTGAATGAAAAGAGTGCAGAGAATATGGCAAGAGTAACGGGATTTACTGTTGAGCAGAGTCTTCGCTTTTTCTATCCGAGAATGCTTGCGTTTACTGATTTCTATATGAACAACAGCCTGGAGAAGGTGAAGGGGCTGAGGCTTACATCTGAGTCTCTTAGTTCAGAAGAGATTTATGTCCTCGATAATTCACAAAAACTGTATGTGTACATTGGAAAGGAAGTGGATACTACACTGAAAAAAGCAATATTTGCAGAAGGCACGGAGGAAAGTGGAGTACTGCATAAGATGATTGATGAGTTCTACTCGCACTACGATTGCGAACTGCCCGTGGTGTTTATTGAGGAAGGAAAAGGTGAGGCAGAGATTGAGTTTGTTGGATATCTTGTTGAGGACAAGATGAATAACATTGTTTCATACTCTGACTATATCTGTGAACTGCATTTCAAAGTTAAGAATGCATGAGGAATGCACAACACAAGTAAAGCAAAGATTATAAGCAAATATACTTTTATTTTAAATGGCGATTATACTTCTTCCTCAAACTCAGCGGGCTCTCTCATGAATGCAGCATGTAGTAAGACCAGTATTCCTATGAATGCAGAGATGGCAAGAAGCCCTATACTTGCATCCCTGAATATTATCAGCAATATCAACGTTATCACACTTCCAGCAATGCATATTGATCTTCGCTCTATTTCCACTTCAAGAACCACAAGCTTTGTTCTGCAAAAGTATATCATGGCTGCGACACATGCCAAGACCGTGAGCAGCTCCAAGTGTATCAGAACGTGCAACGCAACCATCACAAGCGCAATAAATCCATATTGATACTGGTACTTATCCAAGTTATGTAGTATATTCCTTTTAGTGTCTTCGGCATCACTTGGAATTGCTGTATTTCTTACATCTATGAACTCTCGCAAGATCTGCCGGTTTGTAGCATTGCTGAATCCCATCTTTGCTTGCTCTATTCCTCCTTGCATTCTTCTAGGGCCCAATGCATCTCATTCTCTTTTTGTTCTTACTTGTTTCGGAAATGATGGATCAAATAATCATCGTGTAAACAACCAATCTGTATTGCATGTTACAAACATTTACTTAGCCAATCAAATCTTTTCCCAGACCATATCTGCAACTTCAAGCATATCTGTACATGTATCTATCGGCATCATGAAAACATCATTCATCTTACGGCTTTTTATCCTTAACCACATGCCGTCGTCTTTTTCAACAAACTCCATCCCAAATCCTTTCACTATTTCCAGGTATATCTCATTGAATGATGGCCTGCTCATGCTTCTGATTCGTTCCTCTATTTCCTGTGCTTTCTTGTCGGTCTCTGCAATGCTTGCCCGGAGTTTTTCATTTTCATCTTCTAGCTCAACTATTTTCTTTGCAAGCCTTAGCTTCTCGGCATTGAGCTCCACAAACGCATCGTTTTTCTTACTCAGTGCATACGAATACTTCCTTACCTCTGACTCCAGCTGCATGTTTTTCTTTCTAAACAGCTGCATATTTTCCTGCAGTGTCTTCGTCACGCTTTCTATTCTGTGCCTGCCTTCTTTCATTTGCAGGCTGAGCGTCATAAGAACCTGCTTTTCCACCGGACTCTTGAACTTACCAATCAGCTCGTTCAAGAGCGTCTTTGCTTCATCCATGTTTGGGTACGGTAAAAATTTCAGGTATGGATACAGAGCCTGAAAGGCAACAACACCTACAAATACAAGCAGATATGCCAAACAACGATGGAAACGCAATAAACACATAGATACACACCAAACAGCATAATCGCAGTGCAGAACATAGACGGGAATATGCAAAAGCACACACTGGTTGTACAACTGCACAGCACTCCATCCACTAAAATCACAAACAGGACCAGAACTGCTTATGGGGTTGGATGGCCGAGTGGTCTAAGGCGCTGGCTTAAGGTGCCAGTCTCTTCGGAGGCGCGAGTTCGAACCTCGCTCCAGCCATTTTGCACAAACTCCATAAACTAATTTTATTCTCCACACAGCATCCTCTCTGCATCTCCAATCTCAAGCCTGCTGCATATATTCCCCTGCACCATCCCTTTACTAATCCTCAGATGCGATCCTATATATTCCTTCTCAAGCTTGCTCTTCATCGCCATATTGTCTGTTGCATTCACTGCCACAATACATTCCCTACCACTCACTCCATAGACAAAGCACGCCATCCCGTTCCTCATCACTTCCTCACATAACATCGAAACCCATCGGCACATGTCCTTCTCAGACCCAAGCCCTGCACTTTCATAGCAATAGCACACTCCACCTTTCTCCTGCTCTTGTGCTGCTTTCACCAGCTTAATAATCTCCTCCTTGTTCTTGTTATACCTAACTCTGTATACTTCTTCTTGCCTCTTCTTGTTCTCCAGGTTCTGCTTCTCAATCATCTGTTTACGTAGAAGTGGCACTGCTTTGTCCACATTCACAACATCTCCAATTTGTAATCTTGCAACATACTTCTCAGCCTCCGAATCAAGCTCTTCTGCTGCTTCCCCAGTCACCGCAACTATTCTCCTGGTGTTGGCAGACACTCCAGACTCCTTCAGAATCCGGAACTTCTTCACATCTGATACATTGCATACATGCGTTCCTCCACACATCTCTTCAATCTGATGCTCTCCGTTGTTCATCGCTATTATTCTTACTTCCTCGGGATACTCCTCATTCCTCATCCTTACAACCCCCGGCATCTGTAATGCTTCATCCCTGCAAACATTAATCACCTCAACAGGCGCCTTGCTTCCAATAAACTCATTGATGCCGTTCTCAACACCTTCAAGCTCCTCATTCGTCAGCCTCCTTCCTTCAAAGTCAAACCTCAGCTTCTCTGCATCCACAAGACTTCCTCGCTGCTCTGTCTTCATCACCTTGCGCAGAAAAAAATTCAGTAAATGCGTCCCCGTGTGATTCCTCATTATTCTTTTCCTATACTCACAATCATATCTTAGCCTCGCATGTAAGCTCATCCTTCCACTCAACGTTCCTCTATGCACCACACTTCCATTCATCAACTGCACATCAACAACCCTAAAAACCCCTATCTCGTTCCTTCGTTCATTCAAATCCTCCTCTTCAAACACAATCTCTCCAATATCTGCCACCTGCCCCCCACATTCTGCATAAAAACACGTTTTGTCAAATACCACCCCAACTTCCACACCTTCAGGCATTCTATCATACTCATAAACAACATTTCCATCTACCACTCCAAACATCCATCTTCCACATACATCATTAGTGCCATACTTGTACGAATCATCCGTACTCATCCCAACAGGAATCATACTCTCATCTATCCCCGTTCCCCTTGCCTTTTTGCTTGCTTCCTTGGCCTTCTGCTTGCAACTCTCAAAATTTGCATAATCAATCTCAACCCCTTTCTCAGCCGCCATCAGCTCAGTCAGATCCACAGGAAACCCATATGTGTCATACAGCACAAACAAATTCTCCCCATTTATCTTGCCCTCACACTCAACCAGCTTCTTAAACCTCTCTATTCCGTTGCGTAGAGTCTTCATAAACAGCCTCTCCTCTTTATCCACACACTCAATTTCCTCCAATCCTATTCCTATTGCATCAGCCGCTATCCTCACCACCTTCCCAATCTCCCCTGCCTTCAGTCCCAACACCTCGTGAGAGTACCGCACTGCCCTCCTCAGGATCCTTCGTAGCACATATCCAACACCCTCGCTTCCAAAGTCAACCTTGTCATGCACACACACCGCTATTGTTCGGCAGTGATCCGCAACCACCCTAAACGCAACATCCTTGCTGTCCATCCCGTCAGAATAAACATGCCCGCATCGTTCCTCTATCGCCCTAATTATCGTCCCAAAGCTATCAATCAAGTAGTTCGACTCTACTCCCATAAGTATGCTCAGTAGCCGCTCCAGCCCTATTCCTGTATCAATGCATTTCCTATCAAGAGGCACAAGCCCGCTGCTCGTCCTGTTGTACTCAATAAACACAATATTCCATATTTCAATCACGCTCGGATCCCCTGCATTCACCAGCAACGACGCATCCCTTCCACCAAAACGGTCATAGTGTATCTCTGTGCATGGCCCGCATGGCCCTGTCTCTCCCATCTCCCAGAAGTTGTCCTCATACGGCGCAGCTATGATCCTCGAGCTCGGAAGATACCGATGCCATATCTCCTTGCTCTCCTTGTCAAGCTCGTCATAGTACGTCACATACAGCCTCTCCTTGTCAAGCTTCAGCTCATCAACCAAAAACCCCCATGCATATTCAATCGCTTTCTCCTTGAAATAGTCTCCAAACGACCAATTCCCAAGCATTTCAAAATACGTGTGGTGGTAGTTGTCTTTGCCAACATCGTCGAGGTCATTGTGCTTCCCCCCTGCCCGGATACATCTTTGCACACTGCATGCCCTGCTAAGGTCATCTCGCACCCCGAGCAGGTTCTTCTTGAACTGCACCATCCCACTGTTCGTAAACAGCAGTGTGTCATCGTCATGCGGAACCACCGAACTCGACTCCACGACCTTGTGCGATCTACTTGAAAAATACCTCAAAAAACATTCACGAAGCTTCTCAGTGCTCCACTCCATCGGGGGCCAAAACATTTCAAATTATAACCACTTTATTCCTCACACGCTCTCCGTTCCTCACTGCACCCTTCCAGAGGCCTCGTTCATTGCATCCTCCAATACACGCACAAGGTCATCAGGATCAGCTCCACATTCAACTAGCTTGTACATCCACCCAATACTCTCCTCATCAAGCCCAACACCCAGCATCCTGCAAAGTTCATGCATCATCTTGTGCTTGTCGTCCATCAGCTCCATCTCTTCCGTGGCTCTCAATGGAAATTTCAAATAAAAATTGCTTTCTTGCAATAGCAGTAGGCATACTCCAAGCAACAGCCTCAGCAAATATGCAGCTCATGTATAATTTGCTGCGCCATGCATAGTTCATAGTGCATGAATGCGTTACTTACTCTGTCTGCTAATCTCTGCCATCTTCTCCGTATGCTCATTGCTTGGCACATTGCTTGACCCCTGTATCTCCCTTGCTCCAAAGCTGTAGTCAAAGTCCTTCTCAATTATCAGCTGGATCTCACTCTTTTCTATTATGCTCTTTCCCTTGTGCTTGCACAGTAATGCAGATCTGTGGATAATGTCCGAAAGAAACTTCTCAATCAGCAGCTGCAGATTCTTAACCACCTCGTTGTCCATCTTTGTGACCATATTCTTGTTGCACAGCTTCAGAAACTTCTGCAGCTTCTTTGGGCAGAGAAAGTGATGCTCGGCGTCCATTTACAGGGATTCAAAACATTCCATGGCTATTCTCCCCATTGGCCACAGCACCAATGACCAAAATACACTACATAAAATACATCGACGAAATCAACTATGCAATTGAGGGATTTTCAAGCGGAGATGAGGTATGCTCATTACAATCAATCGCCAAGATGATGCATGACGAGCACTTCAAGGCATTCATGAAGGAATCCAGGTATCTTATGCAGGTTGTGCAGGCAATGTCTCGTGCACAGACGCCAAGACGATTCGGCAACGAGGCATTGCATATAATTGCCGAAGCATTCAATCCGTACTCGTTTGAAGACATGAATGTGCTGTTCAGCATACTACTACAGATATTAAATGGCTCAGCATACAATGAGCTCATGCCTTTATGGATTACTTTACAGGCAAGCAAAATAATTGGAATAATGCGGAGGATTCCAATTAGGTGGTATTGCAGATATACCGAATGCATGGAGCTTGAGCAGCTTGTTTTTGAATTGCAGGTGCTTATTGGAAAACGGGTTCTGAAGTGGAGCAGGTTTTTGTGCCTGGTATTATCCACATGCTGTAAGTTTGTGCTTGAGGACAGGTTTGTGGGTAGAATGCTTACAAGAAGGGAATATAAAACACTTGGGATATACACACAGTCTGAGGAGAATGTAGCCAAGCTTGCGCAGAGAGCTTTTGTGATGCATAGGCTTGAGGATGCAGTCTGTAGCGAGTTTATCGGTAGAAACAGCGAGGTGATAGACGCAAATGCGAATGGAGTGTGCACATCAACAAATGCTGTGGGAGTTCTGGGCCGGCTAGATGTATATGAGAAAGCAAGCAACAGAATTGGACGCGAAAATGCAAGGAGAGATCTGCTTGCAATAGTGATAAACTTGGGATGCATGGGTGTTCGCCTGGATATACCATTGCGGCTAGTTGAAGAGATGCACCGTGCTGCAGATGGAGTCACCAAGTGCTACACCGCGATGCTTCTACTTATTTCACCGAATGCTATGGATGAGCTGCCGTGGATTGATATAGAAGAACTCAAAGAAAATGCCAGGAGGCTTGAGCATGTTACTGAGTGTTTGGTGAGCAAGACACAATTGAGCAAATTGATTAGTTTAATGGTATAAGAATAGCTAGATGGATACGATTTATGAACCCTAAGGTTTTACACAAGGTGATTGGGTATGGATGATGCATAGAGAAGGATATACTTGTACATGCACTGGCTATGGATTGAGTAATTGCCACATGCAGTATAGCATTGCTGCAAATTGTTGACAATACACAGAGATTTATTTTTTGTATGCACAGCCCCGATATGAATGATGCAGCATTAATTCAGGACGACAAGGAGGTTGCAAGAGAGCTGATGACACAGATAAAACAGGATACGAACACGATCACATCTGGGCTTGATGGAACAATCAGCGGAGTTGGTGTGAAGAGTGGGCAAAAGCTGCTAGTTGCAGAGCATTTTTCCGAGATGGGGCTTTCTGAAGAGTTGCTGAAGGCGATATATAGCCAGGGGTTTGAGAAGCCGAGCCTGATACAGAAGTCTGCGATTCCGCACATTCTCAGTAAGCATAACATTGTTGTACAGAGCAAGAGTGGGACTGGAAAGACGATTGCATACACATGTGGGATTCTTGGAAACATATTGGCAGGGGGGAATCCGCAGGCAATTGTGATAACGCCCACGAGGGAGTTGAGCATGCAGGTGACTAGTGTAATATCACAGGTTGCGGGGTCGCTTGGGGTCAAGGTGTTTTCAGCACTGAAGAATAAGATAACTGAGGCGATTAATGAGGAGATTATTGTTGGAAGCCCAGGAACAATACTGAAGCTGATTGAGAATGGAAAGCTCAACTACAAGGGAATAAAGATGATTGTCCTTGACGAGGCTGATGTGCTTCTTGACAAGGACATGATGGGGACACAAACATTTCGAATACTGAAGCTGGTGGCAGGGGCGCAGGTAGTGTTTTTTTCGGCAACGTATTCGGAGCAGGTGAAGCACACGATTGACTTCTATGTGCCTGATGCAATCAAGATGTATGAGGAGCGAAACGGAAAGCCTGAGGAGATCAAGCTGTTTTATATAGAGGCTGAGGGAGACAACAAGAGGAAAGCATTGAAATCGCTGTATGAGTATCTTTCTGTCAGCCAGATGATTATCTTTGTGAGCACAAAGGCAACTGTGAACTATCTGAGGAAGAAGCTTGAGGAAGACCTGCACTCTGTTTCGTGCCTGCACGGAGATTTGGAAATAGAAGAGAGGGAAAAGGCTGTTGATGAGTTTAGAAGGTCGAACACCAAGATCCTGCTGACCACGGATGTTTTTTCAAGAGGGATGGACATTCCGCAGGTGAATCTGATTGTGAATTATGATCTTCCCATATACAAAGGGATTGCATCTACACAGACATACATCCACAGAATAGGACGATCTGGAAGGTTTGGAAGGACGGGGTTTGTTGTTGACTTTGTAAAGGGAGATGAATGTGAGGCATATCTGGGGTTCCAGAATGAGTTGAAGTTTGCATCGAAGAAGTTTACGATTAAGGCGCTTGAGGAGGCAGCAGAGGAGATGGTATAGCAATAAAGATCTTGGATGAAATGAGCTGGGTGTGAATAAAGTTTTTATTTTGAGAATTTTTAACTGATGATTTAGATCCTTGAGATGGAGCAGCTAGAGGAAGGATTTGTGCCGGATTTTGAGCATGTGGCTGAAGGAGGCGAGGTGTCTAGCAGGGGAAGTGTTATCAGGCAGGCAGGAGAAAAGACATATATATCAGTGAATGAGAAGGTGAATGAATGGAACACGAGGTTTTTTAGTTTGGACAGGGTAGTGAGTGGATTGAAGAGAAAGATAGCTACTTTTGATTACTTAGAGGGGATTATAGCAGTGGGATATGATAATGGAGCTATACAGGTCCATTCTAGCAAAGTGAATACGTTCCGGCCACATTCGAAGAGAATAGTAAAGATGATGATTGTTGAAGGAAGTGTTATTTCGGCATCTGTGGATGGTAGTATTGCACACTATGATCTTGTGGGAGAGGAGTTGAGGATGTTTTACGAAGGGAACGAGGCGAGTGTGGAGGGAATGTCAGCAAATGCAAGGTTTGTTGCGGTGGGATGTGCAGATAACATGCTTCGTGTGTGGGAGTATGGGTTCAAGGCAATCATGAGTGTGCATGTGTTTGAGAAGCCCATAAAGGATGTGCATGTGCATGATGCCGATGTGGTTGTGTTTTTCAAGGATGGCGACTGTGTTTTATACATGATTGAAGAGAAGCGGGTTGCAGAGCTTGGACGATTTAAGAAGCTACGAAATACGAAGGCCAGAGGAACGAGGGTTTATATACAATGTAAGTCGAACATGTATGTATATGAGCTAAGTGTGACGGAGAAGGATGAAGCAGGAAACCGAAGTGCTAGCTTGAAGCATGTGAAAAATATTGCGATAAGTGATAGATATGTGGACTTTGATACAGCTGGGGACAACAAGCTGGTGTTTGCATGCGCTGACAACAGCTGGGAGTGTGTTGAAGAAGCAAGGATAGACAGTTTTGGCTATCATAGAAGTGAAATACTGAGCCTTGAGGTCTATGAAGGGAAGCTGATTACTTTTTCGAAGGACAGAGTGATTTTCTGGAGGGCTGATGGAGAAGAGCTTGAAATGACGGACAGTATAAGGATAACGAATGGAAAATGCATGTGCTTGTGGAACAATGAGGCAGTGATTGGAACGGATGGAGGAATGAGTGTGTATTCTTTACGAAGCCATGATGTGATTAGAGAAGAAGCAGTAGGGCGAGTATCAGCAGTCTGTACGGATGGATTAAGGCTGTTTGTGGGGATAGAGAATGTGTTGATGGTTTATGATAAAAATTATGAAGAGAAAGACAGGATGGATGTAGATGAGATAATCTGCTCGATGGAGGTGTCAATTGAAGGTAGGATCCTTTGCTTAGGGCTGCTGAACAGTAAAGTTTACATATACGATCTGAATGATATGAGTGTAAGGCTTACGTTGTATGGGCATTCGCTTCCGGTAAGATCGATGAAGGTTTCGCCTGATGGATCTGAGCTTCTTACGTGCGGAGCAGACAGAGTAGTAAAGATGTGGGGAATGCAGTTTGGAGAGTGTAGAAAGAGTTTTATTGGAGATGCAAAGAATGTGGAGTACTTGAGCAATGAGCTGTTTATGTTTGCATCTGGAAAAGTGCAATATTTCAAGAGATATGACAAGCTGAAGGAGTATAAGCGTCATGAGTCGAGTCTTGTAAAGGTAGTAGGAGACAGCATGATCTGTTGTGGAGCATTTAGTGTAAATGTGTATAAGATGAGCAAGTATGAGCTGCAGGTTGATGATGAGAGTGAAGAGGAAGAGGAGGAGGTAATTAGGATGGCAAATGTGGTAGACTATAAGGGGCATGAAAGATTTATGGAGTGTGTTGAGCAGCTTAGAAACAGCACGGGCAATGAGATTGAGATGTTCTTTGAGGTGCTTATGGACGTTGATTTTTGCGAGCTGGATAAGTTTTTGTGTTTGATGAGCTCACTGGATGTTATGCAAGTGATGGATGCATTGGATAAGTGTATTGAGTGGAACGGAGTGCTGGCTGCAAGGGCATTTATATCTCTTGTAAGGTTGCACAAGGAGGTGTGCATCAGCCATCCAAGGTTTGAAGAAATACTTGGCAGGGTTACAGATGGAGTAAAAAGCATAAGGAAAAGGGTTGATGCGAATGAGGCATGGATGCTTGTGAGCAAAAGCATTTGCGATGGATGCGTGGCTGATGAGTAGAGCGGAAATGCATAAGATTACTCCATTAATAAAGCAATATTAGTATGAGTCTGTGAGCAATCAAACATTTTATTTGGTTTTTAGTGCATGTAAACGTCTCCGCTCCAGAAGAGAACATAGAAGGGAGTGGACACACAGGACACGAGGTGCCAAATGGCATGCGAGTCAATCAGGTATGCATAAGGGGGGATGTCCTGAATCTCTATTGCACCAGCAAGGAAGAAGAAGAATGTAAACAAAAGAATATGCTTTGAATGCGAATGCTTCCTGTACTTGATGAATATTGCCATGTGAGAGACCAAAGTCAGGCCAATGATGATGATGCATGAAATCTTGTTGTATACATAATCGAACTCTATGCTTGACATTCTATAAACATGATATGAATAGAATGAGGTAAAGATGACTTGCAATGGCCTTCGTATTGAGATTTCAAATCCCGGGCTCGCTATTGATATTGCCCTGACAAGCGCCATGTAGAATCCAAAGAGAATTGTAAGGAATGCAAAGAAGTAGTCAAAGTTTCTTGTTAATGTGTTTTCGTGTATATGGAAGAGCGTGCTTGATATGAATGCAAGGTTGCATATGTAATACTGTATGTAGTACAATTTTCCAAAGCGCGACATTCTGAGATGCTTCTTCAGAACCTTATTAAAGCAGACTATATTTGTTATGAGGTTTGCAAATGAGAAGAGTACGGAAAAGAACTCGGTCATTCCAAGAACAGGCTGGAAGCCCCATCTGCCATTTCTCTTTATGTTTCCGCTGCTTGTTGCTTTAAGGCACGTGAGATGGCAGATGTTTGCTATTTTGTGGTCTGATGATCGCCTGAATATTCTATCTATGCTTTGGATCTTGATAAGGTTTTTTGACTCTTCTATGCACCTACTGAAGCATGATTTCATGTGAGGGATTGCGTATTGGAAATGAATTATGGTTTGTTTTGATGGTATCTGTAGAGATCAACAATTGTAATTGCATTCCAAGCATGCATGGCTGCAGATGCTTATCTGATGAGTGATGACATGGCAGCGATAAATTTGATGAGTGATTAGCATGCCGGAAGTAAAATATTTAATGAACGACGTTCACCCCTGATACCATGCTTAGTCAGAGCACCAGTTGGTTCTGGAAGGCTCGTTACAGGCATGGGACATGATGCTCCCTGAGAGTTGGTGTTCTTGATTGCAGCACCATAGTTGCGGAGCGATATTTTTGTGTAATGTTTGTTTTTATTATGTCTATGCAGTGAGGTGCACGGATATGCTGCAGTTTCTGCTTTTCTAGAGTGCTTGCTTAAGTTGGTGAGCTTCTGGCAGCCATGCGATTACAGAGGCAGAGGCGAGCTGCTGAAAAAGATGCTGAGCATGGAAGTGAGGAATACGAGCATTCCGAAAACAAAACCGGCATATGACAGAAATGTCAGCCATTTTGATCTGTCAATGTCCATTCTAAAGTAGAGCATTGTTGGGAAGATCAGGCATATGAATGTTGATGCAGTTGCACCGATGATGGAGTATATTGTGCCAAGACCCATTCCAGAGATAGCAAGAAGGTAAGTGGACAATATTATTGCGGTGGTTGCAATGAACTCCATAAAAGAGTCGTTCTGATCGACTTTTGAGTTGAGAGAAACAATATTCATGAGATGCGATCTACATGGATTGACTTGAAGAGGATATGACACGCCCATTGCAAGCACATAAAGACATCGAACAACGAATGCAAGAAGATCATCGGGATAGTTTTGCAGGATGTTGTCTTTGATCGCTTCTCTGTAGAGAAGGTAGTTAAGGATGCCAAATGAGATATACAGCAGTGCAGCTGTGGAGGCAACCATGTATATGAGCTTTTTCATTGTTGATGGAGAGTTGTCGTCCATTTCTGACTGAACGGTAAAGATGTTCTGATGGCAGGTGAATGCAAAGACAAACTTTCCAAGGCTGTCCAGCCATGTATACGATACCGGGACGAAGTAGTCGATCTTTTTGTGGATTATGAATGAAGAGTATCTGTACCTGTATGCAGTGGCCATTATGACAATCAGGATGGCGATCACGCCGCAGAATGAGGTGTACTTGAGCTTGTCGAGCTTGCTGAAGTATGAAAACGGACCTACACACAGTATGAATATGAGCAGAGATATGCTTGGATCGGAAAGCACAGAAGATCCGAATGCGCTTAGCATGAGCGAAGGAAGGAGGTGGACTGTGATGACAAGATACGACAGTGCAACGCCGAAGCATTTAAGAAACACACAGAAATCCACGAGTACTGTCACATATGGCATGTTTTCTGTGGCCAGCTTTGAGAGTGTTGCCTGTCTTCCCAGGCTCTGACTGCATATGGTATACAGCACAAGTCCTAGCACAGAAAAGATGCCCGATGCCATTGTCAAGATGATTCCTGTAAGTATTCCGTATGTCTTGAATAGATACGGAAACGACAGGATTCCGCTTCCAAGCGTTGTTTTTAGCAAGGTGATGTATCCCGATGCCAGTGTTGTTGCCATGTTTATTCAATAGGTTGTTTGGATGTGCCTGCATTAATGGCTGTAGGTGGCTGATGTGACCTGGTGTTTCAAAGTGGATTGTTGTGGAAGTATTGGGTGTTTAGTGCTTATGCAGAAAATGCAACAAGTTTATTGAAACGAAGATATTTTGGCTGACCAGATACCGTATGTATCTGCTACTTTTGCAAGGCGAGTGTTAGCTTCGGTGATTCTTTTGAGGACCGAGTTTATGTCGCGTAGTGTTGATGAGGTAGCTCCAAGAGTGAATTCGAGCCTTCTAACTAGCTTTGCCTTCCTTTCCTGGATGGATGTGCTCATGCTGGGGGAGCCAGGGTTAACAGTGCATATGATAAGCAATGGTGTAAAGTGAATTATTGGAAAAAAAATTTATCCCCATGGCACAGAAATATCAAGAAGGAAGCGAAGATACAAGTATCAAGGATTTTGAAGATAAAGATCAAGAGATACAGATCAAGGTGGCTAACACGTGGGAAGATCTTGCATTGAAGGAGAAATTGATGAAAGGAATATATGGAATGGGGTTTGAAAGCCCGTCGTTTATACAGAAGACGGCAATACTGCCGATGATAGATGGCAGAGACATCAGAGCACAGGCACAGAGCGGAACAGGAAAGACAGGTGCGTTTGCAGTTGCGGCGCTGCAGATATGCGATGAGAATACTGACGAGACACAAGTGCTTGTGCTGGCATCGACAAGAGAAATAGCGGCACAGAATGCAAGAAGGTTTGAGTCGCTTGGATGCTACATGGGCATAAGAGTTGGGTTGTTGTCTGGAGGAAGCCCGGTGTTTGAAGACAAGGATATGCTTAAGATGAAGCCACACGTTGTGGTGGGGACGCCAGGAAGGGTTGAGCACATGATCAAGGATGGAGCATTGAACATGGACTATATAAAGCTGTTTATTATTGATGAGGCTGACGAGATGCTGAAAGCTGGGTTCCAGGAGGATGTGAAGAAGATATTCCGAAGCATCACGAAGAAGGATGAGGTGCAGATTGCGATGTTTTCGGCAACCTATGATGAGGAGGAGCTGAGAGTAAGCGAGGAAATACTGATCAATCCGGTGATTATTGATCTGAGGCACAATGATCAGACGCTTAAGGGGATCAGGCAGTACTATATTGACCTTAAGAAGGAGCCGACGTTCAGGAATGGCAGGGAGGAGTATCTGCTGCCGAAGCTAGTGACGCTGTATGACATATTCAAGAAGCAACGGCTTGGACAGTGCATTGTGTTTGTCAACAGTAAGGAGGATGCCAGGATTGTGTATGACTGGCTAAAGAAGAACGATTGGGAATGTGAGCTTATATCTGCAGAGCTGATGCAGACGGAGAGAGAAGCAACATTGAACAGGTTCCGGGAGGGAACAGGAAGATGCTTAATATCTTCGGGGCTTCTTTCTCGAGGGGTTGATATACAGAATCTTTCGGTTGTGTTTTGCCTTGATGTGCCCAATTTTGAAAGAAGAAGCACATACATACATAGGATAGGAAGGTCTGGAAGATACGGAAGGAAGGGGATAGCAATAAATATTGTCTATGAGCATGAACTGAAGAATCTCAGAGAAATTGAGAAGTTCTACAGCACCACCATCAAAGAACTTCCTGCAGATTTCAGTTTCCAATAAAGTGTTTGGCATGGTTATTTGTGTTTGAGGGTTTTTATTGCAATGCTGATTAGTTATGATATAGTTTATTAGATAGGTCCTATATGGTGTTGTGGGGTACCTATGAAATGCAGTAGCATTAGCATTAGCTGAAGTTGATTTTACACATTATTTAGATGTGCTGATTGCATAGAGAAGTATGTATTCGATGGTAATGAACAATCTGAATATGAATCCAGACATTCCTTTATACAGCCTTCGTCTCTGGATATAATTTGTTTTGGTGGCTTTCATTCCTGTATAGACATCCTCTGTCATTTCTGCAACTCTTCTCCAATTGTATATGCTCTTAAGTCGTTGGTTATAGTCATGCTTATCATGGTTATGCTTCTTCAATGCATTCAGCACATTTTTGGCAAGATCATGTGCTGTGAGCCTGCTGAATGTAATCATATCTGGGGGAAGAACCTCATGCACGCCTCCAACATTTGTGCTGACAACATGCAGGCCACAAGAGGCAGCCTCTACTATTGCTATGCAGAATGCTTCTGTCAGGGATGCATTTAGGAAAACATCTCCTTTTCTCATTATACTGCCGACCTGTTCATGGCATACATCACTCATCATATCAACCCTATCATACAGGCCGTGCTCGTCCAAAGCCTGTTCGATGCATTCTCTCATTGGCCCATCACCAACTATGATGAACCTTACATCTGGGTCCGCTTTGCATACGATTGGAATGGCTCCAGCAAGCAAATCCACGCCTTTTCTATACACAAGCCTGCATACAATGATCACAACCTTGCCATTGCGAGCCCTATCTCGATCTGGATAGAAAAGCTCAGAAAGCATTGCGTTTGGGATCACATGGATTTTATCGAGAGGAACGTGTGTTCTCAGATGTGTGTTTTCTTTTGACGTGTATGTGACGCAAATACACCTGCCAACACTTTTCAATACGAACCTACACAATGCATTCACAACAATGTTTTCGAACGGCCCCACCTCAAATATCGAGTGATCAGTTATTACTGTCTTCAGGTTCAATGTAATCGCATGGAACAATGCCTCTATGCACATGCTTGACATGGTTTGGTGCCCATGGACTATTTCAACTTCTTCCTCATCAAATATCTCTTTAAGCAGCGAGAAATTTGAGAAAAGACTGGGAAATGCAACATTCCTGCATACAATAGGAATGTCCAGGAAATATGTCTTGATGTTTCCCACCATTCTACATCCAACGTGGTCTCCTGCCTTGTGTGTAATCACAATGACCTTATGCCCCATCATTATAAGCTCTTCTCCAAGATACCTTATGTGTGTCTCTACTCCTCCATTTGACGGATAGAAAAAGTCGGAAACCATGGCAATGCTCAGCTTTCTTTTCATTGCCAAGGCTCTAATTGGTAGGGTGGCTGCTTGCTTGCATCGTAACTCTGCCATTGTTGATAGATATTTAATTCAGGCAAATATGCACATGCATCCAAACACATTTTGAGTATTCGTATGCCACAGTGAATCAGTAAAAAAACACAGCCCATTGAACTATGGAGGAAACAAAGCGTCTTCAGAAAGTTTATCAGCTGTTCACCGAGTCTCCGGCAGAGAAGGCACCTGCAAACAGGCTCGTGGACATTTTGAGGTTTGCAGGATACATTGTTTCTGAAAGCTACGCAAATGAGCTCACATCCTCCATTGCAGGCGAAATGCTAGACTTCAGACAATTGGTGGACATCTGTGAAAGAATAAGAGAGCGTGAAGTTACCAGAGACGAGCTACAGAGATCATTCAGAAAACTTGATCCGGAAAGCACATCATATATTGACACAGGCAAGCTGGTGCAAATTCTTTCATCTGGTGAAAACAAGCTTAGCCAGGAAGAAATTGTGGAGCTGTTGAACATTCTGAATCCAGATGGAGATGGAAAGATCTGTTATGACCTCATAATCAAGAGCATATTCGGCTATTAAACCTGCATTCTATTATATCACGTGGTGTCTATACCATCTTCTATTAGTGGTATTAGATGGAATTTAGCATTCCCTATGTTGTATGCTGCATCATCATGCTCAACAAGTATGGATTCGCCAACGAATCTACTCAGAAGTGGGTATAAACTACCTCCGACCTTGAGCCCACAGCTTCCATCCTCATACAAAACGATTTTTGACACCTGTATATCCTCAGGAATAGAAAGCAGGACAGCTTGTTGCTTTTTAAATGCAAAGTGGCCATCGCTTGTGCCTGCATCTATGGTGCTGGGAACGCTCCATCCCTGCTTCTTAAACGAGAACTCTTCATTCGCTGCCACATCTTTTGAAGGCATTTCGATTTGCACTTCCATCTCTGCTTGCGACTGAGGAAGCTTTGGCTCAAACACATACTTCTTTGTAGGCCTTCTCGGATTCATATTCATTTGCAACTGGGCGATGTGGGCGGCTACTATCGGGATATTTCAACCGATATTTCTATCCTTCCATCCAGCATGTTAGACATGGTAAAGAATGTCCTTCCCGGTGATGAAGTATATTCTGCAAGCTCAAGGGCATTGGGATGCAGCAAGGGCAAGGCAATTGTGGCTGGGAGTGTGTGCAGTGTTTCCGGACATGTTTTTGTTCTTTCAAAAACAAATCGCTACCAGCCATGCATTGATGATATTGTGATAGGAAAGGTTACATTCGTAAACCAGGATACATACAAGGTAGACTTGAATGGAATATCTGCGGCGCTTCCATCACTCAGCTTCTGCAACGCAACAAAGAGGAACAAACCTGAAATTTCGAAAGGAGATTATGTCCTATGCAAGATAGTCAAGACTGGGGTTGAGCCGCTTCTGACATGCATAGGAGATGGATTTGGAAAGCTGAACGACATGGTTGTTCCGTTTGCGCCTTGGAAGGTTCGCCAGCTATATATGGATGACACACTGTCGAAGATCGGCAAGAAGTTTAAGTTCAGAATGGCTCTTGGGCTGAACGGAATGATATGGATCGACTCCGAAAAGCCAACAGATACACGAGAAATCATTCATCTAATCAGCACCTCACAACAACCTCCGTCTGATAAAAAACATTCGTATAAGTAAATCCTCAAAAACATTTCAAAGTTTAGCTTTTAATTCAATTCTTAATTTCATTGGGCTCAAGAATGATTACTCTGTCTGGCAGATGATAATCCGGTCCAAGAATTCCCTCAGGATCGTATGGCAGCATAATACGTACCTGTATTCCAATAATCCCCTGCTTTGTTTGCACACTTGCATATCCTGTCTTGATGTATTCTTTGATGAAATCACCACTATGCATTATTACTCCTTCCTGGAACTTCACAGACTTTGCCCTTTGCCCCTTGACCTTCCCACTGATTATCACCTGGCATCCCTGTGCTCCCGCATACTTCACGGTCCTCAGAATCATGTTCACTGCCCTCTTGTACTGTATTCCAGACATGATCTTTTCCTTAATGCTGTTTGCCTGTATAAGTGCACAAAGCCCCTTCTCATGCACCTTTTCAAAAATAATCTCGACATTCTCGTCAGGAAGCTCAAGCCTTTGCGCCACTAGGTGCTGGAACTGCCTCAGCCTGATTTTCCTTTCCCCAATCGCCTCATGCGGCTTCAGTACCTTCAAAATGATCTTGATTGGTGTCTCGTGCATCCTCAGCTCCATCGAGCTGAATCCCTCGTTCGTAAGAGCTTTCTCAAAAAACTCATTCAGCTCTGCATTCGCAAGCCCGTTCTTTATAAACCTCTTTATGATCTGATCATCGCTCATTTGAGGGCAAAATTTTTATTTGCTCAAATCATGGCCTTAAATGTCGCATCCTGCACATCAGGCAGACCATACCGAGGATCTCAAGGACATCGAAGACATGCTTGAAGACACAATCACCGGATATAGCAATGCATTGGATGTAAGTCAATATTTAATAATTTCAGGAGTACAGGAACGAAGTCACCAGAGCAGCATTTCTTTTAGGCATGCTTAGAAACCTTTTTTCAAATAAACAATAATGGACCGCACAAGCTCTCAAACAACCATCTTGCCTATTAGTCCAATTAATTCCACCGATCCGTGTTGCTCATCTGCAGAGTCAACCTCGCCACTGCTACTATCTATATTTGTGTTGATCGACAGTTCTCTCAAAAACTCTTCATAGCTTGCATCTTCAGGTACGTAGTTGTACTTCCTTTTGAAGTATTGCAAAACACACTTAAAGTCCCTTTTGAGATACACAAGCGCTCTACTGTCCGTATTCTTAATACATTGCGGAAAATCTATCACCTTAATGTCATTATTGACCATAATGTTGAACTCATTGAAGTCTCCATGAACATATCCTCGGCTCCAAAGGTTCCTAATAAACTCAAGCATCAGCCTGCATATATGCTCTGCGTTTTCCACTCTTGTTCTGTACAAAGGCTGATACTCCAGAAGCTCCTGCACAATAACATGCCTATCGTGGTCTAGCACCAAGGGAACACACATATCTTTGAACATCTCCAGATACGCAACTTCTCTATCACACGACACTTTCGACATCATAAGCCAGTTTACCCTTTCCTTCACATATCCCCTTGCCTTTCTTACACTGCGGAAGCTTGTTCTTCCAAGCCTGTGGAACTTCAGTGCAACGCTTCTTCCATCATACACCCCAATATATATATCAGACTCCTTCCCAATCCCTATCTTGTCCCCCATAATCTCCAATCCCCTGGATCTTAGAGTGTTGATTGCAAGACAGTCAAGCCCTGAGCACGAGAGCTTGTATCCTTGGTCAATATAAGTCAAAAACTTAAGCTTGCACAGATCAACAGCATACTCCATAAAGCATCCCTGTATTCTCGACCGACTCTTCAGCATCTCAAAGCTAATTGCTGCACTATGACTTTTCATACAATCCTCTGCGGTCTTGAGAATCCGCAAGTGTGTCTTGGATAACGTCCACACGCCGTCCGTTACTAGCTTCATTCAGGGCATACAAATCCAAGCATATTCGTCCCTCCACTGCATTTGCAAATATTACAGATTGTACTTTCCAAGAATAGATAGCATGCGTATTTTACAAGGTTCATTTCTCATGTCACGGATGTAGTACTTCCTGGTATACTCGACTAGCTTGATGAACGGCCCTCTGCATCTTGCAAAAAGCATCTTGCCAAGAATCGAAAAGAAACACTCAACAACATAGCAAGACATTTCGTTCTGCTCAGAGTTCAGCACAGATGCAATAAAAAACCACGCCTCGTCGGCTTCTCCCAATATTTCCAATACTCCAAAGTATATTCCGTACATCCCACGCACTGTGTTTATTGTTGCCTTCATCGTAAACAAAACCACTCGGAAATACTCCATCAATTCAACTGTGAAAAATTTGCAAAAAAGCACAGAAAACTCTCTGTATGAATTTGGACATGAACTTACTTGTATCCTCCCCTGCTCAATAAGCTTCAATACAAATGTTTCGATAAACAAGTATGAGTTTGAATATTCACGCAGTACATTAAATATCCTGTCCACTTGCCCGACGTTTCCACTCACCTGAGACAACCTTTTGTTGATTTGCATCTTTATTTGGATTTGCATCGATCTTGGCATCACAAGCTTTTCCCTGCAGATACTCTCTTCTATCTCTACATACCTCCTGTTCAATATAAACCTGGATACAAACTCATTTGAGAAAATAATGTTTGTGCAGTATTCTTGCGATGCATCCAAAGCTACTGTGCTTTCAATATTTTTGTGCTCACTGGCTGCTCTTTCAGCTATTAGCTGTGCACTTTGCGAGTCATAGTTCATAGCAATAGCAGATACACAGCTCTCTACTTCATTGGCCGGTTCGTCAGTTACCTTGTTAAGATTGGCCATAATCACGTCCTCCTGTGCATATCTACTTAGCTCCTGCTCAATGCTTTTATTGGTCATTTCTCTCTGCTGAAGCAGCCTGTATGCATGCTGGCTTACCATTTCTTTACGCCTCCTTTCAATATCTCCGTAGCTCAGACATCCCCTTCCATCCTCATTGCTCCTGTCTCCATCATCGTGCTCACAGCCATTCATATTGGGGCCCTGCATTTCTCACTCTCCTTTCAGCCAAATACCCAAAACACATCTCTCTAGAAAGAACATCTCTTTATTAAAAATACTCGCTCATCTTGTTCTTCTGTGCTCACGCTCACATTCAAGAATCTCAACAATGTCTCCATCAAACACAGACCCCTTAACCGCCCTCTGGATAGTGCGTTTGTTGTGAAGCAGCTCAATCTTCACCTGTGTCAGCATTCCAGACCCACCAGTCCTTCCAAGTACCTGAACAACTTTTCCAAAATATGTAACCTCTGCGCTGGTGTCCATCCTGAATCAGGGATAATTTTTTCCTTGTGCAAAAACTCAGCCCCAGAATGCATCTTCCAAATAGGATTATCCCGATGCTAAGGCAATTGGATCAGCCCTCGGACTTCCAGCTGTACAGGGATATCTTGAAATCCAGTCCAAAGCTGCCGCCACACGAATGGGCCAGCCTGTGCAAGCTTGTAAGAACCACCAAGCTGTACAACATCCTGCGCATGGATTTGTCTTCAAGAGAGGCAGAAATACTTGGAAATGCACTGAAGAAAGCGTCTCTCAATAGAGTAGATGATATGATAGGCATAGTAATAAAAGCAAACTACAAAAGCTCATCAATACTGCTCAAGTACATAATTGAAAAAAAAAAGAAAATAGACATCAGGCCAATACAAAAGTATCTCGAGGAGCAGATAGCACAGGGAGATCCAAAACTTAAGATGCTCAAGGTTATTTATGCACTGCACAGAAACTATCCAAACTCAATCACTCCCGAAATTCTTGACTTCTGCCGTGCCACCGATCATCCTATCTGCAAAGAGATACTAGAATCATCCATGGATGTCATTGAATAAAAATCATTTATTATTTATTGAGCATCTTGTTCAATTGCGTGTCTTGAATGCCATAGAACACTCGTTCCAGCCATCTCATCTATCCTTTAAAGTATTCAGTCGGTTAATATTTTCCACCACTTCTTCTCTCCTCAATGCCAACTCATCCACATACTTTTTGAGCTCGTTCCTGATCTCTTCGTTCTGCCCAAATACACAACGAGAACCGGATGAATCGCTTTCGGACTCCTCGTCAAGACTTATGCGTGCTCCTGCATGCTTCGGAATATACATCTCGATTTTCTTCTCGCATCGCTGGATCTCATTATCAATATACACTTTCATTCTTCTCAGCTCATCAACCGTCGGCTCCAGAACCTTGCATGCTTTCTTTCCATCCATATGCACAGAGTGGTATCCAAAAAAATACTCTTGCCCGCTCATGTTTTTAATCTGCTCTTTCGCCTTCTGCACCTCCTCTTTTTGCTTGTTTATCTTCGCAAGCCTCTTCACCAAGTCTTTCTTCTTCTCAAGCTTACCATACTTCTGGCGTGTTTTCGGTTGCTTTCTTTCCTGGTACACTTTTTCTCTTCGCATCTGCCGGGCTTCCAAATCATTGCATTAAACATACCAATGCATCTTTACATTAAGCACTCACTTGCATTGCTAGCTATGCCTGCATCATGCTAATCATTCTCATGATCTTTTACTGCTCATGAATCTCTTGTTGCATCCTGCATGCGGACATACAAACTTAGAGTTTCCCTTTAAATACTTTAATGCTTCCTTCTTCTCTATAGCATGCCCACAATCTCCAAAATACGCATCAACTATCTCCTTCTGCCCTATGGGACATATCAATTTCTTCTCGACCTTTACACATTCAATATGATCCTTTATGCTCCTCATCTCAACAACATCCGGTCTTGAACATGCTCTTTTTTCTAACTCACAACGGAAGTCCTTTGCAGCAACAACATCCGGGTCCAGAAGTAGCTCTCGATGGATTGCAGCCATCTCAAACAGATCATAGTCTTTCTCTTGCGATTTAAATGCCATGCTGCACACTTCACTGATCAATTCCCTTCTTTTCTCAATGTACTCATCCATCTCAGGACTTTTGCAGTACACACTTATCAACACAGCAATATACTATTGCTACAACACAAGACACAGCCCATATGAATCTGCACCCGGATGATCTGGACATCCTTCAGACCGATCCTGAATTCAACTCGTATCTTCGTAAGCTACATAAGATACACAAGCATAGCACGGAGGTGCCTGAAATCGCCTTCGGCAAGAGAACAACAGAGGTAACACAGATGATGCTTGGAAACACACTGGTAGATTTCACATATAGGGTATGGCTGTTTTCAGACAGCGCTGTGATTTTCATATGCAATAAATGTCTGTTCCAATGCCACGACTCTACAGCAATGGGAAACCATAGGCATACCTGTACTGGGAGAATACCTGGCATGTGCATATACAATGATCATGTGGAAAACATAGCCGTAGTGGAATTAGATGGAGAAAATCAGCCTATACTGTGCAGAAGGATATGCATAATAGGAAAGGCATTCATCGAGAGAAAAACAGTATATTTGGATGTCAAGGGATATCTGTTTTACGTTCTTATAGTAGATGAATGCTTTGCAGGGTTTTTTAGTAAGGAAAAGGAAAGCTCAGAGCACAACCTGTCGTGTTTATTGGTGTTGCCCATGTACAGATCAAAAGGGTACGCCATTCTGTTGATCGACCTGAGCTATATTCTTGCGCCAGGATCACCAGAAAAGCCTTTGAGTAATCAGGGCCAAGCAGTATACAGAAGGTACTGGAAGAACAAAATCTTGTTGGCACTCAAGGAATTCAATGGATGTGAAATATCCATATACGAGCTGTCCTTGGCATCCAGGCTTTCTGTGGATGATGTGATTTGTGCACTGGAGATTTTGAATGTTGATCCAAGGCTGTTAACATATGAAATCGTGCAAAGAAGATGTGATTACCTGAGAATGTGCAAGAAGGAGTTTTTAATCTTAGGCCAGAATGTTAATAATAACAATACGCAAATGTAAAGACTTTTTAGTATATTTTCTTATTCAGTTGTAGCATCCGCTTTCATCTGCAGGATTGCTAACACTAAATGCCTTAACAAGAGCAGTATATATCTCAAATCTTCGCTTGCTCTTGTCAATATTCGAGCCTGTACACTCTAAAGCTCCATTGATTGCCTTTGTAGACGAACCATAGTGGTTTTCCTTTACGCCTGGTGCATTTTCCACATTTTCCTTCCAGAAGTATATGGAGACATCGGCACCAAGATTTGGATCCTGTGCAACCTTATCGGGATTTTCGTATAGCTCGTCGCCCAGCCCAAGAGCCTGGCTTGCTGCCTTGTAGTTATCTGGCCATGATAATTGTATGAACCCGCGCCCGTGATAGGACTTTCCTGATGCGCCTGTTCCATACTGGCCAGCACAGCTCGTACCACCAGCACATGCTATTTCCTCTATGTACTGATATCCTCCTGACTCGTGTGCACACTGTGACAAAAACATGACTGCATTGTTCAGTTCTGTGAATTTCGAGTTTACTCTACTGACAACGGCATCAACGAATTCTGGGTTTGGAGCAAAGCTTAGCTTTTTCAGTTCCTCTATCAACTTTTCTGAGGTTATATTTACATTTCCTCCAGATGACGGTGTACTGGGCTTGCTAGTGGATGTACCATTAGATGAGGATGCATCAGGCATAGATGATTTGGAATCTGATGTACTAGGTGTTGACTGAGATGGTGGATTTGGTGTGCTAGGTGCAGGCTGAGATGTATTGGAATTCGATGTAGGTTGAGTTAGCACAGGATTAGGCGATGCAGGCTGAGATGGAATGTCAACAGAGGGTTGTTGGCTGGGTGTGCTAGGTACGGGTGCCGATGGTTGCTGGCTCATCGATCCTGTGCTATTAGGAGCACTAAGATTTGCTGTTGATGGCTCAGCTGCATTGCCTTTGTTTTGATTGTTGCTGCTAGGCAAAGATGGCTGACTAGGAGGAGTAGTAGATTGATCAATAAGCCTAACGCTTGGCTCAACTTGATTTGAAACATACTCCAGCTTGATTTCAGATGGCGCCTGCTTCTGAACAATCATTTTTGTGATAGTTACTGTCGAAGGCTCTCCTCCGTTGTATATTGTTCGTGTGATTGTCCTTGTGTTGCTTCGTAATCTTGGAGAAACGTTGTGCTTTGTTCCCAGCCGCTTATTCCTGGCTGGCCTTGGTATGTCGTTATCTCTGTTATTTGCATCTTCCTCATCCTTGGTATTTTCGTGTGATTGATCATCGTGGCCATTTTCTTTAGTGTTAGCTTGGCTGTCATCATTGTCAAGATCATTGGCATTGCTTCTATTCTTCTCATGTTCTGAATTCCTATCATCATGCTTATAATCCTGATTGGCAACCTCAGAATCCGGCTCTGCATCGCTGGGATGCGAATTAAGGTCATGCTTCTGATGGAAATCGTCTGTATTTTTACTCTTACTTGCACATGTTACGTTTTCGCCAACCACCTTGCATTTAGAATCAGCTGGGCAGTCAATAACAGCCCATTGCTTGTTCATTCCACAGACACGAAGAGTATTTCCTACACACTCTGCAGAGCCAGGAACACACGAATTCTTTGCATTCACAAGTGCAATACCAGCAAGAAGCAGCAGCATCTATATTTGCGACAATGCCCAATGCATTAATAACCAGAAATCCAAAACCTTTGTTTCATTCTGGATAGTCTTAATAAACAACTCAAATAGCCAAGCATTAAGGATAATTGATGAATACCATATCATGTTTTAACTGTATATGCAATAAACAATCAAAATATGCACAAATGCCATGCAGCTCCAGAATAACGGTGATCGTACATATTGAGTACCGCCGCAACCCTAATGGATCTGCTTGTGAATAAATATCGTCCTAAGGATGTGCAGGAAGTGGTTGGGAATCCCCAAACGGTGGAAATGATCTCGCTGATAGTGCAAAGCAATGACATGCCGCATCTTCTATTTACGGGCCCGCCAGGAACCGGAAAGACAACATGTGCAAAGATGCTAGCAAAGACACTTCTTGCCAATAATCCAGAAGGACTGCTGGAACTGAATGCATCAGATGAGAGAGGAATAGACACAGTTAGGACAACAATAAAAAGTTTTGCTCAGCGTAAGATAAGCAACTGTGTTTTTAAAATAATCATACTTGACGAGGCAGACTCAATGACCACTGCAGCTCAGCAAGCAATGCGTAGGATCATGGAGATCCACAGCAACGACTGCAGGTTCATATTGATATGCAATGCTTTTGCAAAGATCTTTGAGCCGATCCAAAGCAGATGTGCAGTGTTAAAGTTCGACAAGATCGATCGATCGATTGTTTTCAGTAGGCTTAGGGAGATATCGAAGTATGAAGCAATCAATATAACCGAGGAAGCTTTGGGTCTGCTTGCCGACCTCAGCGATGGCGATATGCGGCAGGCATTAAACATCCTTCAGGCATGCATCAATGTATCTTTTCCAATAGATCAAAAATTCATTATCAAGATAATAGGGCTTCCATCTCCAAGAAGAATTGAGGGCATACTGAGAAGACTTTTGAAGAACGACATTGAAAACGCAATTGCTGAGTTTAATGCAGTATGGAACGAAGGATTTGATGCGACAGACCTGATGGGCTCGTTTTTCAAAGCATGCAAAAAGATTGAGAATTACGAGCTACTGAAGATAGTTGGGCTAGCAACAATGCGAATTTCCGAAGGAGTAGACTCCAAGACGCAGTTTTATGGGCTATTCAATGACATTGTGTGTATAGGTGCTCGTAATGCTTAGAAAAGCCTGTCTTATTTATTATTTATATTTAATTCGGAAGATAGATCTTGATTTCCGACGGATTGCCATTTAATACAATGACGTTTCGTTCTTTGGCTTTGTTAGCATCGCATGATCCGAAATAAACAAGTTTGATGTCGAATCCTTTTGTTTCAGGATGCTTACAGGCATCGTTCAGGTCCTTGAGAAAGAAAAAGTATGTTGCCGAGACATCATCGATTCCATACTTCTCAAGAAAGCACCCGTCCTTTTCAATTACATCGTGTATTGTAATGGATTCATACATGGCCTTGTAGCTTTCCAATGTTGGGACGGTTTTGCCATTGATTCCAAGCAGCGAATTCAATGTTGTTGTTTTTCCACATCCTCTTGGGCCAACAAACTTCACGATCCTTGAGCCCTTTCTGTTTCGCACACTCATAAAGAGCACGTATGCAAACGTCAATACAATCAGAAAAAAAACAAAGATCATGGGGTGAGAACAAGTAGGATATTCATGCTACGTGTGCATTTGTCACGGCATACACAACAATTATGGATAAAAAATTTGCCCCTAAAGATGAGTGCAGGGCTGGCGAACATGTGCAAGGCAATCAATAATGCCAGTAGAGCAGGCAAACGACAACTTATTCTGAGGGCTGACTCTAAGGAAATGCGCACGTTTCTCACACAGATGCTGAAACATGGGTATATCTCCGGTTTTTCGTACATCAAAGACAAAATGAAAGGCAAAAGCATCATCGACCTCAATGGAAGGCTGAACAGGTGCGCAGCAATCTGTCCGAATTACAGAGTTGGCATTGACAGTATTGAAGACTTCCGCTCAAGGCTTCTTCCTGCCAGGCAGTTTGGTCACGTGCTTTTCAGTACATCAAAGGGTGTTCTTGATCACAAGGAATGCCAAGAAGAAAACGTTGGGGGAGAAATCCTTGGGTACTTCTACTAAAATCCGCTTTATTCTCATCAGTTAGTCTTTAATTGAAAATAGTCAATTCATCGTTGTTCTTAATCCAAATACCACAGGATGCAAATTCAGATATTACATTCTGGATCTCATCAGCATCATACTTCCCTCTTGCGGCATCCCACAGACTGCCAAGCTTGACATATCGTTTGATTCCATCATCAATTGCAAGTGAGAGAATAAGGTTGTAAATGGCTCGCTTGTTTGAAACCTCTTCTTTCTTTCGCTTTGGGGTGGGAATCTTCATGACTTCCATCAATCTTAACGCCTCATTGACATCATCTTCACATGCCTCCTCACAGAATCTCAATCTGGCATGTGCAAGAGTCAGTCTTATCAGAGACAGAAGATATCTCGGCGTAACATTTGAGCATTCCTTCCTAACTTTTACATATGCATTTGTCAATTTCTTGGACAGGCTCGAAGGAAGCACCGGATCTAACCCTTTGGCCTGCTCAATAATCACTCGAACCTCATCATATGATACCGATTCAAGCTCTTCGTTCAGATGTATCGATGTTATGTGCTTAGCGAGATGCTCGTCCTTTTCAGTGTCAGGCTCATCCCTGAGAATAACAACCACATCAAATCTAGACAAAAGTGAGCATGGAAGGCCAACATTGTGTTCTATACTTTGCTTTGTATCATACCTTCCCCTCACAGGATTGGCTGCTGCAAGTACACAGCATCGCGCATTCAGCGTTGTGTTTATTCCTGCCTTGCTTACAGAAACACTCTGTTGCTCCATCACTTCATGAATACTAACCCTATCAACCTCGTTCATCTTGTCTAGCTCATCAATACAACATATTCCTCCATCTGCAAGAACCAACGCTCCTCCTTCGAGCACCATCTCCCCAGTGACCTGCTCTTTCGAAACACTTGCAGTAAGTCCCACTCCACTGGATCCCTTTCCGGTCGTATATATTCCTCTCTTACTTATCTTTGCACATGTTTTGAGCAGCTGGCTTTTTGCAATCCCAGGATCCCCTAGTAGCAACACATTGATATCTCCTCGTATCCTCATTCCATCCGACTGGACTCTCAACGGCGCACCTATTAGCATCAGCAGCAGCACTTTCTTTACATCATCCATCCCAAATATCTCTGGCGCAATCGAGCTCACCAACTGCTCCACTGAATACCCTTTCAAAACCCCCTTATGCTCAAAAACACGGTCTCCAGCCGTCTTGATATGCATTGCATGAACATACGTATCTGCAATCAGCCCAGCCTTCAATCTTTTTATCCCATAGTACGGCTTAGGCATAAAAACACCACCAACCACCACAACATCTCCAGGCCTGCACTTCTCTGCAGTTGACGAGTAACACTCAACAGCCAGCATCCTTGGAATACATCCATGGGGAACATCACTTGTTAACTCCTGTATATAAACTGTTTGGTGCTTGATAAATTTAGATCCTCTGGTGACAAGAATCAGGGTTCCTCGTATATTCTTGATCCTACACTTTTCGCTTCCGCACTCCTCAAGTAGATCAAACACATCTCCCTCAACCTGCTGATATGTTTCTGTCCCGCAGCTCTCGCATATGTATGTTGCAACCTTGATGCTTGGCTTCACCTGGCTAACCTTCGTGACCACTCCGCTTACCCTCACCAAAGCCCCTATATCCCTCGATTTCAGCTCTCTGACTCCACACACTCTTAGCCCTTTTCGCGGCTTCAGTATCAGCGAGTATCTGCGTAGCAAAAACGACGGAAACACCTCAGAAACCTGCTTGTCAGGATACTTCTCCTTGAATCTCGAAATCCGATGGTAAAAAAAAACGTCTCCTTCATCCTCATCCATTGCAAGCTCTCCTTCATTGTACAGAATATCATCTATCGCTTTGTAGAACATGTTTATGTACGACATTGCGTTTCGCTCTATTCTGCTTGCCAATCCTGTTTCGTCATAAACCGCTATATCCTCCATATCGACTTCAATACTTTCTCTAAGCCTTCGCAGACAATTCACATACGGTAGTTCCCCTCCCTCCTCAAAAAACAGCAAAAACTTGCTTATCCTGTCCATGTCGTGCTTGTAGTCACTATGTGCGTCAAACTCACGGAGCTCACTCGTTAGATTCATTCCTGGGGATACAAAACCAAGTGCTATATTGCACTCCATCCACAGCAAATCCTGAAGCTCATATTGCATCCCACATAGTAAAAACGAAAACTTTATTGAAAAACAATCAAACACTATCCTTCAACAGTCGCTTAGCTTATGCATCAGTAGGGACATATTCAGTACCATCCAGCAAGCAAATATCAGAAAACGCCTTGAGTTTCAACACAATATCATTTTTAGAAGAATCAAAGTCCTTTAAAGCCTTCATGAGGTCTTTAATGTGTTCCGCGGACATAATCCTAGCAAAATCAATTTCCTGTACGTTATTATCTATGCCAATATAACTCCCTATCGGTGTACCGTCTCTTTCTTCTACATCAATCAATTTCAATGTCGTTTTCGTGGGTCTACACACCACCACCATGTCATTAGATGTATGAGTCAACTGATAGAATGAATCAGTACTAATAATTTTCGAATTCAGAGCAGTCTTTGCTGATCCATGCTTTCCGTTCTTCACAGATGAAATATCCATCACTCTTGCCGTAACCATTGATCCATTCGATTCGACCTTGATGTAATCGCCTTTTCGAACATCCTTCGGGTCAGTTAGTGACTCCTCAAATATCAATCCCAGTAAATCCATGAAGGGCTTATATATTTTTCTTTTTGATAAAGCTTCTCGCCCATTCATATTCATGCAGCCTGGCGAGATGTAATCACAATTTATACAGCATGCTTTAAAAATTTATTTCTTAGGCCCAAACAGATCTATAAACTCCTTTGTTTTCACATACTTACTCAGATCATCGAATCCTCCAATAAACTTCTTATTCAAGAAAATCTTTGGAAAGGTAGTGTAGCTGTATTTCTTCCTGATCGCTTCGTCAAGACTCTTATTCTTGGCTCCATCAAAATCACGAAACTTAATCTTCCAATCATTCAAAAGACCAACTGCATTTATGCAGTAGGGACATCCTGCCTTTGTTACAATAATGTTACTGCCACTTTTCAACACATTCTCAATCTCGTCACAGTCAGACATCACAAGCCTCAAAAAATACACAGCTATATATATGCCCCATTCTCCTTTCATCGGTTTAATGCAAATTAAGGAGCTCTTGATTAATCCATAAATTGCTTCTCACCGCATGTCATCGCACCAATCACTTGGCACTTTAACCCATTCTAAATCTTTCAAGCTCTTCAACAACCAAGTCCTTCGTCTCTATATCGCATATCCTTTCGAGCATATCCTTGTCATTCTCAATGTCATCCACAAACAGCCTATACTCTCGTATATTGCTTTCATTCACATCTATCTTCCACTTCACATTACCCTTAGGCTCCTTCCTGATAAGCACTACCTCAGAGTCTTTCTCATACTCAACTGCAAGGTTAGAATGCTGCAAATCATATCCCAGCAGCACATCATCTTCTTGAACATCTCCTATATGAAACCTGGCTTCAACAAAGTCGCATCCATTCTCAGTAACCGTCATGTCGTAGCACTCATCCTCCACATTCCTTCGCCTGTTCTTCATTACAACTGTGTATTTCTTGAAATCTTTGGAACTCATTAGCACCTTAAATGCATCATGGTTGGCCCAGTAAAACATCCCCGTCATTTTGACACTCCTCATCTGCTTCACATCGAACAAAACAACATTTGTAGCTATCTTATGCACCACTACCAACTCTCCCACTCCAAGGCACTTTGCAACATCCTTGCCAACGACAACAAGATCGTCCTTGCACAGCGGAGCAATCTCCACCGAGTAGCTGAACTTGTAGTTACACTTGCTTGTGTGCACATCCTTGCTTATCAACCTTTCAGACATCTTCACTTTAACCGGAAGCACACTCTGCAAAAAGCTCACCATCTTAATTGCTCCATGCCTATCAGTGTAGTAAAAGTCAATTCCTCCCCTTCGCTGCTTGATGTTCGTCGTGTCTTCATATGCATCGTTTTTCAGAATAAGATGCTCCAGATATATAAACATTCTTCGATGCTCCTGCCTGTGTCTTACCTGCACTAGGCTGTTCCAATACTGCTTGGCTTCAACTTTTGCACAGTCTGTGCATTGCTGGTTCTTTATACTGTATCTGATCTCAAGAGACTGCTCAACACCAGATTCTTTCACAACAAGACCAACAACTATCTTTTTCGAGTTTGGCTCTGTATACACAAAGTTAGAGTCAACAATGCACAGCTTGCTCAATGTCTTGTTCTTTTTCACCAGAAACAAAAGAAACTCCCTTGAGCCCCATGAAAACTCTATCCAGTTGTTGGGAGGCTGGAGATATCGCTCACACCCTCTGCATCGTTCAACTGCAACACTTCGCTTCACCTTCGAGGAAATACTAACCTCTGCAGTCAGGCACCTATCACACATGTTCATTAGCCTTGGCTCAATGGGAATTCCACATTTGCAACATAGAATCATTACAGGGCTCAAAATTAAACCGTTTAATCACAACAACCGGAATCAGCAATCATCTTGGAAAAGCAAACTTACCTCCTCTACATCTTCGGTTGCAATGACCTTTCCATATGTCTTCAAAAGTGGAACCAGGCTTGTGCAATATCTCAAGCTTCTTGAAGCACTCAGCTTGGCAAACACATCAAATGCATTCTCATCCATCATAAGCCCTTCCTCATTCATTCTCATTCTGAGTATTTCCTTGCTCGATTCTGCATCGTTCCTTCGGACATTTATCACAACCACCCTGTCAAGCAAATCCTTTGTTATTCCAAAGCATCCAGCCATCCCATCACTTCCTCGGATCAGTTCATCTCCCTTATTGGATGCAAAAATAATTGTTGGGCTGAGAGGCGACTCAAGCACTTTATGCAGAAACGTAAGGCATTCAATATCAAGCATATGGACCTCATCAATAAACAAAACACCGGGTATCACATCTGCATTTCCTCTCTCCATATATTCATTTACCATTCTGTTGACATCTCCACGAAGCCTGTCTGTTATCTCGCTTTTCCTTGGATTGAGGATTCTGAATACCAGAGAAAGCATGTCCTGCCCAGAAGGCTTGGCATTTGCCATGTCAAGGTCGTGAAGAGTCACAGACTGAATCACCTCTTTTCTTTTCTGAACCTCGCCCTTTGGAATCGGCACATAAGCATCTGCCTCCAGATCGAAGTCGTTCATGTGTGCCTCGCTTCGTCCAAGCTTTTTGATGATTCCAGAAGACATCTCGATGTATACAACATCTCCATTGATGATTTTTTGTCTGTCTATCTGCTCATGCAGCATCGGAGAAAGCTTCAACCTTTTGGATTCTTTTGTTGTTTTCAAGGTGATGAACATTTCCTTGACCTTCCTGGAATACGAGCACAATGGATTGTCTTCATCAACAATCTTCAGCTCAACAATCTCGCCTTCGTATATATCCTTCAATTCTCTGATCTTTACCAGAATCGATCTTCTTAACGCCTCCTGCAAAACCTCTGTTTTCTTTATCTCACTAGAATACATCTCGCTTCCGCTCATGGTGGTAAACGGTGTTTCTGGCCCAAGCTCGCAGCTGATTCCAACAGCAAGTGCAGTCTTTCCACATCCAATGGGGCCGGATATAAGAACCGCTCTCCCAGCCATTTTTCTTGACTTCACCATATCCACAATCAGGCCAGCGGCCTCTCTTGCATCCTCGTTCCCCACAACGGCATTTGCGATCTTTACGGGGATTCCGTGCTCGTCTAATCCAAGTGACTTGATGTGGCTATGAACCGCCACATTACTGCTTTTGACCATTTGTAAGGGGGATTTCAAAGCACAAGTTCAATCGAATTGCAAATACCGTAGAATTGGATCGTGGCTGTATACACATATGCAGCACATACACAGTACGCGTGCACATGCATGTGTACAGCTTGCATAATCTGACTGTATATGCATCTGTGACTGGTGTCCATGTAGCTCAATCGGTAGAGCGCGGCTCTCCTAAAGCCGAGGCTGTGGGTTCGATTCCCACCATGGACGGTTGCGTTTTGCCACTTCTCCCGTAGCAATACCATGCACTACCCAGCATATACATCTGCTTGCCAATGCCTATAACAACACAACCGTCAAAGAAAACCAGTTTTTATTCAGACATCATACTCTGCAACACTCTCAGCCCTGGCTTCCGTTTCCTGCACTGAAAAACGACCTTGGAAGCTCGTCAAAATTCACATCCATTAGATCAGCCAGAATCTGTTTCAACACAGACGTACTGGTGTCAAGCATGTCCTCGGACTTTCTAACAACCAGCGGGCCAAACACTTCATACACCTCATCCATCTTGCGCTGCACATCTTCAGCGCCATCCTCCATTGACCCAAACACCCTCTTCAACGACTTCAGGAATATCCTGTGCGAATCATTCAACACAAACGGGATTCTCGGCATAATAACCTTCTTCCTTTCTTCATCATTGCTTTTGTATGCCTCTATTACATTCTGCCGTACTCTTACTGGGATAATTGCTTTTAGGTTCTTGTCAACATACACCCTGAATGCCATTGCTGAGTCAAGTATGTCAATGGTTTCATAATCTATCTTCTCGTTAAATTCAAGCAAGCTCACACAGCTATTCATACTTTCAGACGATTTTGTACTGATGAACAATCCATCCACACCCGGTGCATTTCTTTCCAAGTATTGCATCAACGAAAGCATAGACTCATTCACAGCCATGTCCACCTCAAAACTGTCCATACAGCAGCATATCTGCCTGAATTGCTCAAGAACATACGACAAGCTCATTCCGTTTTCCGACTCTTTTTTCTCTATTACATTCATGCATGCTTCTTTGAGATTTTCTGCCTCAGTGGTATGCAGAGAATCGTACAGAATCATTGTTGAGCCACCATTCCCACCAGATGTTATCATCCAGAAAACTCATTCATGTATTTTAATCATTCATCCGATCAATCACATATTGACAGCCAAAAGGAGATAGTTTGGCTTGTCCAATTACATTGTGCTCATTGTGAATGCCATATCTGATGATCTGAGGCAAACAAACTGGTCTGAAGGCACTTTAGTATTTTGCATATATTGTTTGATGCATTCATTGCTCAGTATCCCTGGATAATGTCTCTAAGCAAGGAAGAGACATGCATGTTCTACTTAAAAACAAACGGATGCAAGTATGGCCCAGAATGCACAAAGATGCACAGCATTCCATCAAGTAGCAAGGTTGTTGTTGTAAAGAACATGTATATGTATCCGAAAAATGACTTTGCATCTACCCTAAGCGCAAATTCATTGCAGATCCATTTTGATCTGTTTTACGAGGATTGGCTTTCCGAAGTGTCAATAGAATATGGGCCAGTAAAAAGACTTGTGGTTGCATCAAACAGGTGCGCACATCTGCAGGGAAACATATACATAGAATTCTATGAGGAACACAGTGCACTGAAATGCGCAAGAATGATCTCAAAGAGATATTACGATGGCAAGAGAATTACTTCAGAGCTTGGATGCTCCAGCAGAATAAGTGATGGAGTGTGTTCTGAGAATAGCAGAGGATGCTGCAGTAAGGAGGAGCAGTGTGGATTCATTCATGCAATAAATCCAAGCCCAGATGTTGAAAGAGAGCTTTTCGATGCCCAGGATCTTCTATATGCAGAAAACAGATATCAAGGCATGGCATTCGAAAGACAAAGCAAGCATACTGCATGCACTCAAGATAATAAAAGAAATCACAGTATATATCCAAATGAATGCTACGAGGGCAAGCATAGCAGAAATATACAAGATGAAGTAGCCAAGAGAGTCAAATATAGTACAAATAGGAATTACAGCAGAAATAAGGAGATGCAACAAAAGCAATCCAACTATAAATACTAAACATAATTTGTATACCATGCACAAGCAAATACAGCCCATAGTGCTGCGCCACAACTGTCCAATGTTACTTGTAAATCTCAAAGTATTTCACATTAAAATCATTTTATTTGTCAATGTATTTGCTGCTTGCTCTAATGTAATTGCGATTTATGCTACAATCATATTCAGAAATAGGGTATAGTATATAGTATATATTGCGCCAAGGTTTTTGAATCACACTAGCACCTCAAGCTTTGAATATGTTGGCGGGCTCATGTACTTGCGCCAAAGCTTTTGAATCACACTCACCATTATTGCAAGAGTATTAACGACTATAATCTTCAAAAGGAATAGATAGAATGGCTTCTGGTACCTTAGCAGCCCTTTCCTGATCATAAAGTACACAATGTATACTATCAGAGACAGCGCAGATGAAAAATACATCATAGGTGTTCTTTTTGTAGCTGTAAGCATCACCATAAGAATCTCATTAATGACCAAACATGTAAATGTCAGGGTCGATATAATGAAGAACTCCTGCTTCAGCAAGTAAAACGCTATCATCATTATTGTTCCCTGGTAAAATGATATCAGTGTCCATACTGAAAAGTGTGTGTAAGAAAGCAGCCGATTCTCAATAAGCTCCTTGTGCAGCTCAGGAAATTTCATTACAACACTCCTATTGATATCGCTCGAGCAGATAATAGAGAAAATCGGGAGGAACGAGTACACAGTTACAAACATCATCAACAGCTCTCCTCTGAACAATCCAGATGCAACAAACCCATTCAACGAGCAGAATATTGCCTGAATAACAGCAAGGGTAAGCCCTCTGTGTATTATCAAATGAGATATCTTTGCAGTCCTCTGGTAAGAATTCCTGCCATGCCAGAACAGTAGATCAGAGATGTGGCAAAACTTATTGATGCTGAAATCAGAGGCCAACGATGCTTGATTGCCCTCCTTCCCAACAATCCCTATCCCTACATTCGCCTCCATGATCATAGAAACATCATTGCCTCCGTCTCCTACACAACAAATGCACTTTTTTGCCATTTTCTTGAGTTCCCTTGCCATCGCTGCTTTCTGAGTAGGTGTGTATCTGCATCCAATAACCGCCTCCATTTCCGATACAAGCAGGACAAACTCACTCATGTAGCTATCCGTTACGTACGACAGGCTTTGGCCATCTATCACCAGTGAGTTATAGTACGACCCCCTCAGAAGATCCAGCTTCTGTTTTACCTCCCCAGTCGATCTTGCATTGCTTATCACCAAGTAGTTACTGCCTCTGTGGAATATCCTCGATGACTTTGCAATCGAAATTGCTGTTTCTATCTTGTCTCCCGTCAGCATCCATATCTTCATTCCTGCATTTCTTAGATTCTCAAGCGTAACTTTGACGTCGTCCTGCAGTTTATCCTCGACTCCCGTCAATCCAAGCACATCCATCTCTCTTTCTATCATGCTCATTGCCTCGTTCAATGATTCTACCCTGTCAATCAAGCTAACCCTGGCCTTGCTGTATGCATCTTCAAACAGAGCAAACTCTTCCTCAGAAAGAACCTTCTTTGCTATCACAAGCGTCCTTAGCCCATCTCTAGCCATGTTGTCTGCCTCCTCCTCAACCCAGTCATTGCTCTTAATTATCTTGTTCATGACAACATCAGCACCTTTCACGAAAAACAGGATCTCCCCATCATGCTTAACAATAATTCCCATCCGCTTTGTTTCGCTGGTAAATGGAAACACATGCAGAACCTGATACTCCTGGTCATCATTAAGAGGATCACGGATCACAATTGTGTTTCGGTCTCTCCTGAACAACTTCATGCCAACACATTCGGTCCATTCAACAATCGCAATTTCATCCGGACTTGATGCCTGGTAAATAGTCTCTTCTCCAGATACCACCGGCGTGACATTGTGGCACACACTCAATGCCTGCACTAAGTCATACAATCTTACATTGATGTCTCTTTTTCCTCTCGAAAACATTCCCTTTCCATTGCTTCTGCTGGTCAACACCTTCGCAAGATTCTTGTTTATCTCTCTATTCAGCTCCTTTGTATAGCAAATCGTTCCAAGATGTATTTTCTTCATCTCCATCTCATTCTTCGTTAGCGTGCCTGTTTTGTCCGTTAGAACATATGACACCCGTCCGAGCTCCTCGGGCAGGCTTGTCGATCTCATAATCGCACCCTCGATCTTTTCATCCACAGAAATATATCTTGCATAGCAATACCTTGCCCAATCAATATTGATCCTCAGCGAGATCGGAATCACAGACGAGAACAAAACAAGAAACCGGATAAAAACAATGTCCGGCCGGGATCCAATCCCGCATATGTACGTGTATACTGCTGCAAGTATCACGCACCCAACACCCAGAACCTTCATGTATCCATTCAACTCAAGCTCGATAATTCCAATTTTGTTCCTAGGCCGAGACGTGTTGAGAATCGCTCTGGCATCCTTTCCCGTGTATATGACACATCCAAGAACCGAGCATGTCGCAACCACCGTGCTCATCCAGATCACGTTTTCATAGCCCAAAGCATGAACAGAATTCACTATGCTACCATCTTTCGCATCGTTCCGTCTTGCACCGTTATCGCATTCATTTTTAGCTGCTTCAGTTTCCGTTTCTTCCTCGCTGTGCTGTGGCATGCTGTGTCGGCTGCTACCTGTTTTATTCTGTTCGTCAGATGTTATCCACGAAACGTCTTTGGTAATTTTTTCATGAGCAGCTTGATCAATTTCGTCTCTTGCTTTGAATCCAAAGTCAAGGAATGCCTCAATCCTGCTTCTAAGCCCTTCCTCCATGTGATCCTCCTCTAAAACTCCTTCAAGATCCTCTTCAGAAAACTTCCCAATCTTGATCTTCCCATTGAACGCATATATGTTCTTATTAGGTTCCTCTGCAAGAACACTCAGAGAGCCCATGTCCTCAAAGGACGCCGATTGTATCTGTGGAACCACCAGCTTCTGCTTCCAATCGGTTTCTCCATCCAGCTGATCCGTTCTGATAAATACCTGCCCTGTGGCATCAGATGTTTTCAGCAAGATCATATCTGCGGGTACTCTTTCGTTCTTATCGAGCACTATCAGGTCACCAACCTGTATTTTACAGCTAGGAACGCTCACGAATCCCTTGCTTGTAAGCTTCGTATATAGCTGGTTATTGGTGCTTTTGTCTCGCTCGTATCTTTTGTAATCTTCAACGCCTTCCTTGAACAACGAAAACAGCAAGACCATCATCCACGGTGCTACAGATGACATAGGCGATGACACAAGATATTCCTTCCTCAGCTGTGTCATGCATATAAAGAAAATAAACGTGTTGAAGAAGTGCTCAAACTGCAGCCTCATCACAGCAAAGAAAAACGTGTACCATTTGTACTTCTGGTTTCTTATTACATTCGGGGAGTAGCTGTTCGTGCATTCCTTTGATATATACCTAAACCTCTGAATTGAATCCATCACTAGCCCTTGCTGTTGACTGTGTTATATGCGTGTTTCTTTATTGCTCTTTTAAAAACATTGCATCTGATTGGTCTGCTTTGCATATATATCAATCATTGGTGCATTTTGTGTTTCATTCCCAGCAAGCGTCTGTTTGGTAGCGTCTCATGGCGGATCTGATCTGTATACAAAGTACTCGAGTAGCTAGACACTGCTTGGAGACATGCAATTACAAACATGCTGAGCCCCTGCAACGAAATGTCCATGCCGAAGATAGACTATCGATACAAGATAATTGTTCTTGGTGAAAGCGATGTGGGGAAAACTTGCTTGCTTCACAAGTACAAGGAGGACGACTTCAAGCAGTCATTGATGACAACAATAGGTGTGGATACTGTTTCAAAGAGTATTGTCCTGGATGGCAAGAACATAATGCTGAATATCTGGGACACTGCAGGACAGGAAAGATTTTTTTCAATAACAAAGAGCTACTACAGGAATGCCGATGGAATCCTGCTGATCTTCGACGTCAGTGACGAAAGAACGTTTTCGTGTGTTGACAGGTGGGTTGGGAGAATTCGCGAGGAAACATGCAATGTCCCACTTTTTCTTGTGGGGAACAAGAAGGACAAGGTTGCAAGCTCAACTTATAATGCAATGGAAAGCAAGTTCAAGCAAAAGGCCGAGCAAATAGGTGCCAGATACTACACTACAAGTGCAAAGACCGGTGAGAATGTAAGCTGTATATTTGAAGATATGGCTACGGATCTATTGGAAAAGCAAGCACTTGGAAGGAGATGGGATCCTCAGAATCTGTTTGCTCCTCCAAAAAACGCAAAGGGAGATAAAGTGAAGCACAAGTGCTGTTTCTGAGCATACTTACGCGTATCTCTTTGTGCTTCTTTTTGATTTATTATAAACATGTTAATATAATCTTTTAATATCAAATGACATTCACAACCACTTATTCCGCTTGTTAATTAATGATGTGCTTCGCAAGTAGATCTCATCTTTTGTTTTTATTGCAGACTAGCCGTCCATTCTGAAATGTATGCTGCCTTGATTTTTCGCACTGGACTACCCATTTCCACCTTACCAACAACCGTATTTGTGTTCAAGTCCCATATGCAAATAGTGCCTTCTTCGCTTGTAGAGTACAGATATTCTCCACAGAAGCTTATTTCTAGGCCAACTATTGCACTTTTGTGGTATACCATGATTATTGGCTCTTTACTGCTTGTGTTTGAACAGAATATCCTTCCATCACATGCTCCACAGTATATATTTGTAAGAAGCGGGTCAGTGCACACTTTGGTTATTCTTTCAGGCATGTATATCACAAGAACTTTCTTTCCTTTGCAGTACAGTGAAACCTCATGCCCTATAGATGTCAAAAGCACATCTCGTATGCAGTAATGCGTGCTTGCAACGTATGTATCTTTCAATTCAAGCGTTTCTGTTGAGTATACAGATAGCCGTTCGCTTTCCTGCACGCCAATGTCACGTCCGATCTTCCCAAGATACCCATCAAAGTGATCTGTAACAGCCTGAGTCTTCTTTCCATCCCATACAACTATAGACTCCTTCGAAAGCACAACCATCCGTTCACCAATAACTACAATGTCCGAAACATTTCCACTGTACTCAATCTCATGATGCATCTTAAACGGCAAAAGCCGATACACCTTAATGCCATTGTCAGATACATACAGATACTTTGCAAATGGAGACTCTTGAACAGCAGCCGCTGATTTCACGAGGATTATCTTTGCCGTATGAGGTAGCTTAACCTCCTTTACTGCATCCGTTTCCACAACTAGGCTAGATTCATATCTGACCATTTACTGCTCACGGGCTTACACTTCGCAGCCATTTATACAATATAAAACATAAAATTAACAAAATAGACATCGCGTAAATCCACTATTTAATCAGTGCTACTGCTGCTCCTCTTGCTGCTGAAGCTTGAGGCTCTTAGAACAGGCCGTTCATATGCTGGGCTTGCAGACAGGGTTGTATCGTTAAACTTGCTGTTGTTGATCCTGATAATTGCATCGTCCCTCTCCTTGTGCGTGCTGTATTCTGCAAAAACATATCCATTGCGCTTTTCCAGGCCAGAAATCGTGCATTTCCCCAGAAGCTTCGAAAGATCGTCCTTTTCTGTATCCAACGGAATCCCAGACACATAAATCTTCTTCTCAGAAACAACTCCTTTCTCTCCAAACTTCGGTGCCCTCTTCTTTGCATATCTCAAACTCCTCACTGCTCCTCCAATCTTTGCTGTCCCTTCTCCAAATACACTTTCAGTGATCTCTACCGAGTCAAACTCAACATACGCAACCTTCAGGCCTTCCTCCTTCCCCTTCTTCTGCTTCAAAAGCTTAATCCCAATTCTAAAGTTAGTATCAGAAACAATCGTTGTCATCACAAGTTCAGTTTCACGAACCAAGGATATTTCTCTCTTCACTTACATGTCTGCCTCATACTTCGAAAACGCATCCAGCACCGCCCTTATCTTTGTGGATGGCTGCAAATCAGGTATTGCAAGCTGATTCGTCTTTTTCATCTGCATCTTCTGGGGTTCATTTTTGTTATACTTAAATAGCAATTTTTTCCTTCCTCTTAGTGCATTTCAATCATATTCAGAATCCCGTCATCTCCTCCACTGACTATCCTGTTATTTTTTGCGTCGTATGCTATGCTATTTATGCAATCAGAATGGATGTTCTCCATCGATTCCATAAGGTTCAGGCTGCTGTCAAATATTCCAATGCTTTGCCTGTTCAGAACATATGCAACCCCACATCCTATCTCGCACATTGAGTAGATCGGAAACACCGACATTTTCTTGGTAGTCTCCAGTTCCCATCCATTCCTCAGGCTGTATACGCTTATAATCCCGTCTTCGGTGGCACTGAACATCTTTTCCTCGTAGAATGCTATACACCAGACAGTATTGCTCTCGTCTATCGATTGCATTAGTTCCCAGCTATCATCGTAGTCAAACCTGTCATATACTTTGATTGTGTTGTCGTATCCATATGTAAACAGCATTCCATTATTGAAAGTGCACCCCTTGACATCATGTAGGTGGTCTTCTATTATCTTGTCAATCTCTATTTCTCCACAAAGCTTTATTATCCAAACCGACTTTCCTCTGGTGGCCATTGCAAGATGCTTTCCATCCTCAGAAAACGCCACACACTTAATCTCAGTGTCAGGTCCTTCAATAACATCCACAACATTTTCGTTTTGCAGAAGCACCGCTGTGCAATCATAGCTTCCGCAGCATATGTAATCGCCATGGCTTGCTATTGCTCTCACAGACTTTTTGCACTTGCACAGCACTGCACCTGTGTCCTGATTCACAAGTGTTCCCGACGTTCCTCCTGTGTACACATTGTCCCTGACATGTACAGCCAGCACTTTCTCATCCAGAGCTTTCGAAGTGATCGTGTATTGCATGCCACGGATCTTTTTTGCACAATTACACATGCATAAAATGCTTCAAGGTTTGCATTTCAGAGCCCTTCTAAATGGCTGGTAATGAAGTGTCAGACCTTATAGAGAAATTCAGTGCACAGGGTTTGGCATCGATTGACAAGCTTGAGCTGCTTGTTGGGATCGACAGAATACTAAATGATGCATTGATCAGCCATCTAGGAGCTACGCCTCCCGAAGTAAAACACTTAAGTGTGTGTGAGATGATGCTTCTCGAGGAGCCTGAAAAGGCAAAGCCATTGATTGAAAGGATTCTGAGGAAGTTTCCATCAAGCGTGGAGGAGTTTGTAAGTGGGCTTTTGAAGTCGTCTTTCTACACTCAACGCCAGGCAGTTGCATGGGTAGCACTGAAGTTTGGATATTCAGAGGTGAAGAGTGCAGTAAGGGCATGCATAGGAGATGTATCTGTACCTGTAGTACGAAGCACGGTGTCTGCGCTTGAGGATTACGATGGGCAGCCATTTGATGACGAGGAGCTTGTTGATATTGTAGACGAACTGCATAAGAGTCCGTCTGAATGTGTGCAATGCATGGCGCCCGATGTAATTGTGCTGATAAAAAAAAAAACACGGTTTGTTGCAGAAACATGTGTTTCGAGCTCATGGAGACGAAGATATGCCATTGCGAAGAAGATTGAAAAGCTCAGCGACGATGACAGGGCGACCGTTTACTTGCACCTGTCTGAAGACCCGGAAGAGGAGATCAGAATATGCCTTGCAAAGAGTATGGAGCATGTCAAAGACTGGAATGGGTTTGTGTCATTGTTTCTAAGAGACAGTAGCCCAGCAGTAAGGGCTTTGGCGATTCAGGCTGTAGGATGCCGCGAGGAATTTCAGGAGATACTCAAGGATGTTATTTCCGATGGAAACTGGGAGGTGAGGAAAGCATTGCTGTGTGTGCAGAAGGCAGAGATGTACAAGAATGTGGTTGTTCCGCTTATCAACTCGCTCCAACAGTCTCCGAACTGGAGGATGCGGAAGGAGGTTCTGGAGTCGATTGTACAGACCTCAAAGCAGGATGAAAATCTTTTGCATGAATTTCTGTCGAAGTATCTTCTTGGATATCTTCATGACAGGGTGCATGATATAAGAAAAGAGGCATCTATGAGCATAGGAGAGCTTGTTAGACTGTATGACTGGACATATGAATGGCGCACAGATATAGAGACTGCAGTGGCATCCAAAAGCTATTTGCACAGAATAACGTCTGTGAGTGCAGCCCTTTCGTTTGACAAAGTCCATGGGACTGATTTTGTAAAAAGGCTTTTGAATGATAAGGTAGTGAATGTAAAGCTGAGTGTGCTAAAAGCAATAGATCTGTCCGGGATGGATCAGGAAATCAGAAGCATGGTTATGAGCATGTGCGAAAGTAATGATAGGGAGTTGCAAGCAATGGCAAGAAGTGTGGCCGATATAGAGCTATGAGAGGCTGTTTTATATAATAAAATATGTGTGTTTATCTGTGCGATGCAAGATATAAATTCTGTTTGCAGCCAACCTTCATCAATGAATGATCCCAAAGCTTTTGAGCATGAGTTTGTGCATAAGTTCTATGAGGAAAATGCATCAGAGTTTTCAGGCACACGAAGAAAGCACTGGGGAATGACAAGAAAATTTTTTGACATGTACTACACGCCTGAGTCGCTAGTTTTAGATGCTGGGTGTGGTAATGGACGGTCGTTTATTGTCCCAGGTGTTGTTGGGCTTGACTATTGCAGGGGTCTCCTGGAAGATGCAGCAATGGTAGAAAACATGGGATTAGTGAGAGGGGATGTGCTGAGCATGCCATTTGCAGACAGCAGCTTTGATTTGGTGATGAGTGTTGCAGTGATACATCATTTAAGTACGAGTTTCCGACGAAAAGAGGCAATGAGTGAGATGAGAAGGGTTCTTAAGAAGGGAGGGAGGATGCTATTGTATGTGTGGGGCGATGTAGTGAGCAGCAAGAGAAAGTTTTCTCGTACACATGACATGCCTAAAGGTGATTATTTTGCATCATGGAAACTTCGGAGCGACATCAGGAGATACTATTATCTATATAGCATACAAGAGTTGCTAATATTTTGTGAGTCAGTGGGATTTAAGGTAATTGACCATGGAGCAGAGGAGGAGAGTTTATTTGTTATTTTAGAGAAGTAAGCCGGATCTGCAGGCATAGATGCAGATGCTGCAATGAATTGACGGATGGTATCTGTGTGGAGTATGAATGCAGTATTGTGCACATTTTCTTGTGTGGCGAAACAACAAATGGAGAATTGGGAGCCCTTTAAATGGAGGGGATATTTGACATCTCTGACTTGCTTGAGAGATGCAAGGATAGGGTGTTTTTGAGCAACAACAGAGAAAAAATAAGAGAGATAGTTATGAAGCCTCCACTAAAGGAGCAAGCAAGGATGTTGCTAGGAACCAAAAAGAATGTATTTGCGATCAGACTGATTGAGGCAACAGACATTCCTGCGCTTGAGATGATTCCGTGCCTTGCAGACAAGAGAAATATCAATCAGTATGTATATTCTACGTACTACCATTTTTATAGGACTGGCCTGATTGAGAGGGCTGTGTTTGAGAAGGCGAGGGAAGATTTCAAATGCATGAAGAACTACGAAAAGATGTTTGAAGACACAAGGAGCTCGTTCATTATTTCGAAGATAGAGTCTGACAGACGAAAGGACAAGGTTATGAAGAGAGAGCTAAGCAGGGTGGTTGATGTACGAGACGAGATAAAGTCGTTGATGATTGAGCTACCTGAGATTTCTTGTGAAGAAGTAATGAGGATCGAGGGTGTTGATTCAGGAGTGAAGAATGTGTTTGTGGTTGATCTTGACCCGATTTTTGACATCAAATGGCTGAGGTGCCAGGCAAAGGAAGAGGTAGTGAAAAGGATATCAGACATCCGAGATATCTTATTCTGCATTGATAGAGGAGATGCAATCAATACACTTGGCGATGTAGGAGAGTGCCATGCGGGGAGATGCTATAATGGAAGATCAATGGCAGACATAAAGGGCGAGAAGTATTGCAAGCTTGAGAGAGTGTTTAATGGGCCTGAGAAGCTGAATTTTACATGCACACCTCTTTTCTATACGATTGATAGGCTTTTGAAGAATCGAATAACAAGGCTATACGATTCGATTGTGAAGCTGTATAGAATGAAGCAGCCTGTGTATCTTGTGTCAACATGCAGCCTTTCCCAGGTTCTTGCAGAGCTCCTGTTTTTTGAATATTCGTGTGTAGATATAAGGTTCGTCATATCAATTGGTGGGAATGCATCTGCAGTGTATGAGGATATCCAGAAGAAAGACAATGCAAGAATTGTTTGCGTTGGAAGTGGAACATATCTTTCTTCAGACAGGGCAGACGTATATCGCATCGAGTATGAAAACTTCAAGAAGATGGTTGATGGCATGCTTCATATGTGGAATGAAAAAGGAGCAGAACATGAACATGGCGAGGTTGATGCATAGAAATAAAAATGTTTGAGTCATTTGCATACCCAGGTGAATTTTGTAAATGAGAAAGATTATTTATGAGTTTGAGCAATGTGATCCAAAGAGATGCTCTGGAAAAAAGCTAATTAGACAGAACAAGGTACAATCCATCAAGAAGAATAGAAACTTTTCCGGGGTTGTGCTTTCACCTGATGCAGAGAAATCCATATCTCCATCTGATCGGGAAATCATAGAAAGGTTCGGAATAGGTCTTATTGATTGTTCATGGGCGCAGCTGGATGCAGTTGATTTCAAAAAGTTGCCTAAGAAGTGCAACAGGCTTCTTCCATTCATGGTTGCAGCAAACCCAGTGAATTACGGAAAACCGTTCAAACTTAATTGTGCGGAAGCCCTCAGTGCTTCTTTATATATTTGTGGATTTGTCGATGAAGCACATGACATTCTCGATGGATTCAGCTATGGAGATGAGTTTTACAAGCTCAATCAGGACATCCTTGACGAATATTCAAAATGCGCATCAAGCACAGAAGTCGTGGAAGTTCAGAACAAATTTCTGGCAGCAAATAGCAAATCCACTTAGGCTAGCATACATATATGGAGCCTCAGTAACTCATATATACCTTTAATAAGCCAAGTCTATCAGTAACAAAATACTCAAAACATTTAAAAAAATTGAATAAAGTTGTTTATTCTCCTTGGCAAAGGATAACTTAATTACCACTTTATTCTGAGATCTCGACGCTTCCATTGTCAAATTGTTGTTCAGCGACATTTGATCCAACAAATTGTCCTTTGTTGAGGGTTTCAATAGGATTAACCAGAGCTCCGCCCTCACTTTCGAGAAGACGTTGCTGCTCACGCTTTTCTTCAGCCTCCTTCCTTAATTTTGCTCCATCATCAGAATACATCATACCCGCATATACTCTTGAAATGCAAAAACATGCAATCAATGCTCTTGCAATCGTAGATGTGCACTTCATTTGGGGTTACTCCGTTTCTTGTTAATATACTTTTTAAGGAAATATTAATGTCCATAATAGGAAGTATATCTATAATAAGACGTCATATCAAAGTAGAATTATTTTACTTTATTAAATACGTATATTTCAGGTATTTGCACTATGCATATAGCACACAAATATCTTTGCATGTCTCCATAGTAGTTTTCTTTGTTTGCACTTAAACAATTTGTTACATCAAGAATATTCATTTATTGGTATTGCTGCAATATACTATACTTTCATGCTAATTAGCATTTCTTCGACAGGCATATCATTAAAACTGTACACATTTAGAATAGTTATAGAAAGAATTGCCAAATAGCAATAATTGATATTCTTGTTGACTTGCTTTTTAGAAGTTTTGAAATAATAATAAAAGCATTGCGATCCTGATCTTCAAACTCGCTACATGGTGTTTTATCCTCAAGAGCCTTTTCATCGCTCATTTTACTTTACTTTTTTGTTTTTAGCATCATCAATTTTACTTCTTAGCTTTATTTCGGCTTCAAATAACTCTTTTATGCCTGCACGTCGTTTCGCTCTATTTTTAAATTCACTGAATTTTATTTTTCATCATTTAACTTCTTTAATGCACATGATTTCACTTTTTACTATCTAAGATTATATTCGACAAATATACTCTGGAAACATCTATTATTCATAAAACCATCACCAATATCTAAACAAGCTTTCATATCGATGCTTTACATCCTCAACTATCATATAGTCGCCTGATATCTTGATTAATACATTTATCTGAGCTTTTATACATCACTACTATAGGTTAAAGTGCTTTTAATTGTCATTTTATCATACTCAAATCGGATAATATACCAGATTCAGCCATCACTAAAATGCTTGGCTACTTTTATTCAGATAAGAAATCTTATTATTATTTTTTATGAATTTAACCTAAATTTCTCAGGAAATATAGAACGATATGACGGAGGATTCTTATCCTGATGATGAAGAAGAGGATTATCATCCTGATGATGAAAAGGAGGAGCTGATGGGGTATATTTTGAATTTACTGATTCCTGGTCTTGAAAACTATAGTTGCTATGACGCGATTGCGTATTTGGACTTTTTTGTGGTACGCCCTGAGGAGAAGAGGTAGAATTAGCTATACTTTTAACCGCAATATACAGCAGAGTTATAACAACCAGAGTGCAAAACACATATAAAAGTATCATTCCTATCCACTTCATCCATTTCCATTGTATTTCAGATACCAATTCTGCTTTCTTATTCCTAATATCCACTATTAATGCATTTATCTCCCTCTCCACATCTTTCTGTTTCGTCCGTATATCATATATTTTAACTAGCTCAGACTCTGATATATAGTGCTTCTCTTCACTTTTAATTCGTTCATTCTTGTGTTGTACTTTGGTATTATACTTAATTTTCTTATTCTGCATCTCATTCTTCTTCTCATTAATCTGCCTACTTAATTCTCTCAACTGCAGATTATAATTTCCATCTTTCTGGTTTAGATCTGCTAGATCTCTTATATACGAGATATTGTTCATAGACCTCTCCAGATCTGTCATGCACACGCTTGCCATATTCTTGTGCTTTGTTGTTAATTGGTCTATACTACACTTATTATTCCATATCGACCACGCTATATTGCTATGCTCACCATTTAGCTTCTCTATTTCTTGATTAATATTCTCCATTTCTATAGCATGCGCATACTCCATCTCAAATATCTCTTCTCGCAATCTGTATATCTTCCGAGGCAATCTTTTCAGCTCTTCCTTACGTAGAAGATTCTTTTCCTCAACCTTCGTATTAAGAAGGACCTCATACTGCTTTATCTCATTCTCCAGCATCTCTTTCTTGCTAGATCCATCTTTCGCGCTCATTAAGGGGTATCTGTAGTGCCATATAATATTCATAAATATGGCAACTGATATAATATGCCCACATATCATTTCTACTGATTACACACAAGCAAATTTATCCATCACATATTTATTCACATACACCACTCCTCACAAACATTCTCATTCTCATATACACTATATACACAGCTCAATAATCTCAAGTGCACTTCTATGCAGTTCACTCACCATTCCTGTCTGCATCACGTCATTCATCACCGTCACTCCCATCATCACAAACACCAAAATTCCATTCATAACTCCATTCCTCTTGTTCCTCTTGATCTCAAACACATTCTCAAGCATCATTACCCCTACTGCCATCATTACCACTACTGCTATCCGCAGCATCTTCACGTTCATTTCGTGCACAAACATACAATTCGATCCATATGTTATCTCTGCCATTCGCAGTAGCCCTGCTATAAGCATCCCCCCCATTACAATCCCATCATACACATTCGATGTATTCACATTCCCCATATATTTCATTCCAACTATCACTGCAAGCATCACGGCCAGAACCCCCATCAAATCATCCCTCATCATCCCTCGCCTTTCCTTCGTGTTCATCATCCCGCACATCATCGCATACGGTGTCATAAGCATCCCAATAACTACCGCAATCACACTGTTTCCAACGACTCGGTCACACACACCACCTCCACGGCTCTTCTTTATCATCTCGTGCATCCTAAGCCTCATCACCATCCATATCCATCCCATCATTGGTGTAATTATGCACAACAGCTTGACCCATCTTGTAATCACAATCTTTGCCTGAATTACCTTTCGCATCGTCTCACTATCAATATCGCATCTTGAACCATGCACATCACACCATATCGTGCATACCATCGTTGCAACCACACAAATTTCCACATGCATTTCAGAGCCAACACTATCTATCACGCTATCCCATGTTTGCTTATCATAATCCTTCATTGCTTCATTCTCCATGTCTATAACTATTTCTCCAACTATCCTTCGCACATTCACATATGCTTTTTTGCTAAAAAGATGTGTATACTTCGAATTTGCAAAATTATTCACAACACATCTAATCTCCGGCGTTTCTATCTTCAGTAGATCTATCAGGCTCATAACATCCTCTTCTTCTATCTCCTCCTTGCAATCTTCTATCTTATGCATCAGCTCGCTCAGTTGCTTGCTTTTATCTGTACTTCCAATATATGCATCACTGTTACTGCATGCTCTATCGCCAGCATTTCCATCTCTTACTCTTCTATTTTTTATTTCGTTCAGCACTTCACTCAGTGTTCTAATTGCAAAGTCCATATTCAAGCCATACAGCTTCTTGCCCCAAGCATCAATCCTCAGCACAGACATCATCAACTCTACAATCGCCCTGTTCCTATTAAATATTGTATCCTTCATAAACACTGCCTTTCCATTCCTAGAACACAGTAGATATCCATTTGCTACATATGCACTCAGCTGTTCTTCATCGCTATACATGTCTAAGCTATTCAATTTCTGGCCGTAAATCTCCCTAAACAACATCATCCGCTGGCTAATTTCAGTATACATCTCATTATTTGTGCTGTTCAACAAATCATTTCCACATCCATTCACGTTTCTTGTGCTGTTTGTATTATTAAGAACATCACAAAACTTCTTCAATACGTTTTCTCCGCTCTGCATAATATTCAATTTCACTATCTCATAATCGCATAACTTCATCATCCGATCTATACAAGCTTTCACCTTTTCTTCATTTCGAATGATCGCTCCAGCATGCTCATCTGTTATATCCAAATACTTATCCATCACAAACCTTATCTTGTCTACATCATTCACCACCTTCTGCCTATAAATATCAATCCCATCAAACTCATCCATCACCTCAATAATCGTATTGCTGAGCTTATGCTTATACTTTCCATTTACACGGCTACTCGCGTTATTGAGCGTATCTGTCAGATTTTTTCTGGCTTTTGCTGTTTTTTCGCTCAAATAATTGCTCCTATACTCTAAACTATTCAAGTACGTACTCAATATACGTACACAATCATCAATGCTTTTAATACCATTCTGTGTTTCGAACTCATTCAATTCATTACAGTCTATAGCGAACCAATCTGCCACCACTTGCCTGTACTTGTTTATATTCATCCATTTGCATCGGTTAATCCATTTTGTGCCATCCATCACTCACACTGGATGGGTATCATGCTTCGACATCACATACCACATGCAATTACTCATCAATTAATCAACATTTTGCATACCTATAGATTCGCATATCCATGCCACATTACATCAAATACAGTAGAATAGCAGCATTCAATTCTCTGCACATATCATGCAGTATACAGCACAATCCCAACCTTTCAGATTGCCAATATCAATTAATCTGCAATTGCATGAAAAATTTGCATGTGTAGTACTTACAATCCAATTAAAACACCATTAATATATTTAGCATCCACTTGCTCAGCATTGCTCTATATGTGCTAAGTGTAATTATTAAATAAATTCATACACACTTTTAAAAATTATTTATTAGCTCAGACTCGACATAATTAACTAATTGTATGCATCCATTGATGGCTGGAAATTATTTGCAATACATTCAGCATAATATATAATAGCAAGCATAAAAGTTATCGCAAGGCATAAGCCTTTAAGTTCTGTATTATTATTCCGATAAAACGTACTTTTTATTGATTCTAGTTTACTTGAATCATATTCTTTCAATATATTGAATATTTTAGTTATAGTATTGAAATTATAAATATCTTTTATTTGATCTATTGTCATTGACTTCAATAATTCAAATATCCTATCGTCTCTCATCGTATTAATAATTATCTCTGCATATTCAATATTACTTTCACAAATGGTCTTTATTTCACTTATTTCTACTTCATTATTTTCTATCAATTTTATACAATAATTCATCTCTACTTCGTTATCATCAATTCCACTTTCACTAACTATTTTTTCTAATTTTGCCAATATATGTATCAAGTCAATACTATTAGACACTACCTTAGGCTCTGCTGTTCTGCTTTCATCAGGCATAGTAGAGGTTTGCCATGCACACTTATTATAGTCCACATGCTATGCATATGCCACGAGTAGATGTGTATTCGTTTATCAACATTGGATAGCTGATGAAAAATATATAAGTCATCGTGCATGCACAAGCATCATGAAGATGTTGGTGCCACTCAGGACATTTGCAGCATGCATGCAGATGTACATGGCATGTGCAGGCTGCTTCCATATAGCCGATACAACAATTAATGTTCCACTTTTCACTGCATGTCATTCACAAGCATTTTCAAATTATCCAATTCCACTGAGTTCGTTGGCACTAATGCGATTGTTGCCATTACTATCCTGTGATTTATCAAATTTTAAAAGATCGATACCAGT